CAAGACCGCATTTTCTAATTATTCAGTTTGATGCTTCATGGTAACTCTTCCATGTGAATGCACAATTTACTCAAGCAAAAAGAGTCAAGCATGCATAGAGCGAGCAGGATTTACGCTGCATTCCATAGAGATGATGTGGCTGTGTTATCGACTTGAATTCAACTACATTCACAGAGACAAAAGAAACAATCCCAAGGTATATTACCTTCAAAGCGAGAAACTCCCATTCTGACGACTTTCATAATTTCATCGACACTTTTTACCTCTACTCATGGGAATCAGAGTTTGTCATTAAAATATCCCTGTTCTGTCTGATTTCTCCTGATGCAGAATTCATTCAATTTTTTGGACGAAAACGTGCTTTTATCTCTAAATCAGTCAAAAGTCTCCTCCATCGGTGGTTTAAAGAAGAGTCCATTTTCAGAGCACATACTTTTTTAGAGGCCAATTTTCATTTACCATGAATTTCCGACAACAGCGGCCGCAGCAAATTTTAATTTTTGGAACAAAACTTTCAAACGTTCCTCATTCTATGGTTTACGAAGGAGCCATAACCGTGTGAACGGAAATGTGAATAAGCTGTCCATATACTTCACAAGGCCAGAAACAAAGGTCCCAAAACTAACAGTTCATAGGTGTTCACTCGGCTGAACGCAGCTGATACCGCACCATTTAAGCCCACTGAACAATCGAGTCGCTGTGGTTACTTATGCAGGAGGAGTAAGCAAACCAGTATTATTTTTGAACAGACGCTTTTTATTTTGCACAATGATCGCGTGATAAGGATGGGAGACAAAGAGAAAATTTGAGTTTCAAGTTTCTTGCATGTAGGTAACAAGCTCAGAGATGGCTGTGATCGATTTGAACAACTTATGGTTCTACTAATTTTTATTTGAAAGTGCAGTTATGGCAGTAGGAGTCTGGGTAACTTCCTCAATTAATTAAAAAATGCACAATTTGCTTAAAAATTTCCTTTGAGCGCACTAACTAATCAAGGGAAGTGATTCCATTTTGTTGACAGAAAAAAAAACACAGCTTTATCGACGCACGTTGCCTAGGAGATGGTCTTTGATCTGTTGATCATTCTGTGTAAACAACCTGTTGCTTAAGTGGACATGTTATTATTATGTAACAGGTGAAAACATGGCTGGTACGTTGTTACACCTGTTAAATTTATTACACGCTTCGATGAACGTCGTTGCTGACATCACGCAGTGAACGGCAGTGAGGTTTTGATGCGTCTCCGACCTAAACAAAGCAGCGTCCAAATGAAAGGCGGAAGTCTACGCTATATGCCTAGCCGGAAGTGGTGCTCAAGTCTCGCGCAGTCTAAGTGATAGCTGGATACAAAGTATGGTTCACCTGTAATACGAGGCTGTGATGACAAAATGATGATTTAGTAAATAAAAGGTTCTCAGTGGGTTAGTATCTTTAATGGTTGGCGGTCAAGGAGAGGCAGTTTGGACTCTTGGCGGCCAAATTTTTGGCCATTTGATGGTCAACAGGTAATTTTTCTAAGTGGAACTTAACAGTTCGTGACGAAAAATAAAGTTTTGATATTTCTCAGCAAGACACAATTCCCGGAATACTTTGAAAAAAAACATTTTTCAATGCTTTAGCCATCTAAAACAGACCCACAGCAGTGCTTCTTTCCGATACACAGACGCCATTTCAGTTGCTCGTAAGGAATGTCTGAAGGATTTGACGGATTATATTGGTTTGCGTTTTGAACGGGTGACGTTTGCTCTTTTGACGGTCAATGAGTTAGATATTTGACGGTTGACGGTTAACCTGATAAAAACCTTCAGATAAGTGATACGTCAAGCCACAGGACTGAGTAGCTTGTGGGCTTAACAGTCGTTTCACATCTAGTTAGGAGCGTTCGTCAACAATTGGATCCGTCGTTTCGTACCCATACTAATAAAGTATGTTTCCATGTCAAAGATTTCTTAAGTTGGATAACAACACAATCTGGGTTAAATAAGTTTTGTTTACGCGGCGTCTATTTTTAAAACGTGACCACTCAATTTTAGGCCCTGTTTTTGTCAAGAAGGTCACAAGTTTACATAATCCACATCCATTTACGCGCTTGCGCGAGACGTATTTCGTTAGATCTCCTAGGTTTCATCGTCACTGAATTTTTACAACCATGAAATGAGGAACAAGTAAGCCACCGAGTTAAGAACTATGGGCAGCTGTTTTAAATTTTGTTAAAACCAACATCGTGGAAGCAAAGTGTGGTGCTATTTCAGTTTCTTTGCACTGAGTTAAAACGAGGCCAGTGTGTTGTGTTCTTTGGCAAATCATTTTACTTCTACAGAGGCCTCTTTCCACTTACCGGCGAATTATCTGTCTCCCATCTAGTTAAGTCTAATACTGACTACACATATATGAAAATCATATAAATGTGAACTGCGGTTCAAGAAATGAGCGATCTTCGCAGTAATGAACACTACTTAAACATTAGTGAAAGTAAGTCCTGGAAAAAACATTAGGCTTCAATGGGATTTGAACCCATGACCTCTGCAATACCGGTGCAGTGCTCTACCAACTGAGCTAAAAAGCCAACTGGGAGCTGGTTATCATGTTGGTCTGTAATAGGGCCGTGAAGTTGTGAATCGATGACTGTGAATTTATGAAAATCACATCTAGGCGAGCTGCGGTTTAGGAAATGATTATAAAAGCGATCTTCGCGGCACCGGCATCGCAGAGGCCATGGGTTCAAATCCCGTACAGACCTGAATTTTTCTCACGCCCTATTTTCACTACTGCTTAAGTAGTGTTTATCATTGCGAAGATCGCTTTCATCATGAGTCGCTTCATGCTGCTGAAACTGGGCCACTTGCTTCAAGTAGAGATTACTTATCAACTTCTATCTACCAAATACCACTAATACTATTGCTATTTTTTTCATTATCATCATTTTAAGTAGTATTTTTCTTTTTTACTAAAGGTCACTGAAACAACAAATGATGAAATAAATGATATTGGACGAACATAAAGTTGGAAGACTGGTGGAAAGATTCTTTTTCTCAAATTTTAGATTATGGTTCCCTTCAACCTAGAAATTTTCGCGAGAGGAGAGCGAGTTTGTAAAAATATTCCTTTCAAGATATATTTACCTTTCAAATCTGAGAGTTTTGTTTTAATGCAGCGTAACAGTAGGCTAACATTTGTAAATGAACTGTCTTAAGAAAATCGAAACGATTAATCTGTGTTCACTTATTTCAGTGGATGCAGTAAACTGAACTATTCGTTTCGTACTGACATTTACAATTTTCCTAAATGCTCAAGATAAGAAAACTTCGCGGGGAATATCATACTTAGGGGGGGTTAATTGTGTTAATATAATATTTTCAAGAAAACTTTCAGCAGCTTGATACAAGTCTCAGCACTGCTCCAGCCCTCTAAATCATAGACAACTCCTTCCAGGTACTCCAGCAGGTGGAATCTTTGATTTCTTTGTATGTGTGTATCCTTTTTCCTCCGAGTTCGTGTGGTACTGAACGAAAACAATGCTCACCGGAGTGATCGAAAATAGACATTAGAAGTTTGGAAGGGGAAGGGAAGGGGGGTTGGTAGCTTAAAGAATAAGAAATGCGCATGGCTAATTTGGCATGACCGAAAGCAAACTGACATCGCAAAGTACCAATAATGTAAGATAAATGTATTATGGGCGATCCACAAAACAGCGAATTTGTTACCAGAACTAATCATACAGCTTGCATCCCATGCGTTTATTATTATTGTTATTGCTATAATTGTCTTTTTCTTCTATTTTGTGATTGTCTCTTGATTCCCTCCCGTTTCGCCTCGTTCACTGATCGAAAAATCGGCCTGACATATGTCATGCTGTTTTGAAAAGGACGGAAAAAAAAAACAGCCAGATTAGGTATTACATCTCTTTCGTAAAGGTTATCAACTGGTAATTTCTTATTGGAAATTTGACGTCGTTTATAACGTCGTTTGCTGTTTTATTGGTGTTACCTTCTCTCATCACATGACTGAATAAAAATTGCACTACGAAATCATCCTCAAATTATTCTAAGAAACATGCCAACATGTTACGTTACATGGTATAATCGCCCTTAGAGACATAATTAAGGACAGAGCTTGTTTCATTACAAAAGAATTTTTAATTTTCCGTGCCTCCAAAAATTTACATATTTCCAACACGTGTGTCACACAATCACTTCGTGCTGTGAACGAAAGCAAAACCCGTTAGTCACTTATGAGAGTCAATTTTCAATAGCAAGTCTATTGAAAATACATTTTTTTCTATTTCTCTTCCAAATTATAGCGGAAACAGCGTCCGTCAAGTTCGCTCTACGATAGATTCTTAGCTTAAGAGGTGCTGATACGTGTCTTATTGAGCATTTTTTGTTGAACAAAAGTTATTGAAAAATTAAGAAAGTTAATCACGCACGCACTTGAGAACTAGAGAGAATTTTGCTACAACTTTGCATCATCCGTGAATAATCGGTACATGAATTTCCGAATAATTTTCTCTAGCTTTTAAACGATATTCTTTGAATTTGTTTTTCGCCTGTAATTGGCTTTTCTGAACCGAATTCGGCTTAGGACGGTTATGAAGAAACCTGATTTAAAAGTCAAATCTTACGAATTTCTCAAGTAAGCAGTACTTATTTTGACCGATGAAAATGAAGTCATAAAAATTTATTTTGGTAACCTAAGGCAAAAAGGAAACCGCAACACATCTGATTTTATTTTGTCGACCACTACTTTCAACGCTTGCTGCACGCGTTATCATGCGTTCATTCGCAGTTTTGGTCTCTTGTGATACAGCGGGCTCAGAGGTGTTCCTTAGCGACTAAAACTTCGCGCAAGAAATGTGCCAACAAAGCGCTGTTAAAATGCAGAAAAAAGGATGAAATCGTTTTAAAATTCAAAACCAAAGTTAGTAATCTTACACGTTTGCAAAATTCAGCCTATCACAGACAGATTTTGGTTCTTCCAGCGTGGCATGTAACGCAGGGCAAAAACTACATCATTCCCGATGACGAACCAGTCAGTTCACTGATCCTGTTAGGCCATCATGGACAAACAAACCTTTTTAGCGCTTATTCTAAGCTCTTTCTTGGGTCTTTGTAGTGGGTTTTTGGGACTTGGTGGTTCTGAGAGCAGTGCTAAGGTACAATTTCACAAAGGAAGCCAATTTGGCTTTGAAAAAGACCCTAACGTTTATGCGCATTTCGTAATTCCTCCGTGGAACAGACCATTCAAACCAGGATACTGTCTTAGTTGGGAATGGCACACAGACAAGAAATACAGAGATAAAAGAGTGGCCATCTGCAAGCAATACAACGAAGGTACGTTCTGCTTGCTTATACTGTTACTTGGAATTATTGCAGGCAAACTGCAGGCAAACACCAATTTGCTCAAATCCGAATGCAAATTTTTCAATACTGAACTTATTCCATAAGCGGCTGACGTGGGCATATAACAGCCAGCTGTGCTGAAAGGCGAGACCAAAACACAAGAGCCAGCTCGCAAGCTAAACAGACGGTGGTAAGAGGTGTTATAGGCGGTGATAGAACGCCGGTAAACTGCTTTCGTTAAAACCCCTGGTAGAGGTAGATGCTGTGAATATTGAGATCAGCTATCTTTCTTTTGCTGGAATAGATATACAATGTGCAAAACACTTCTTGAGCTGGGTCCAAAAAAGCCTTTCGAACTTTTGTAATCAGGTTTGTCAAAAAGTTAAATCACAAATATGATCTGACGTGCTTTTTTTTTTTAAATTTGATTTCGCTTCAAAATTGCCTACTGCTTAGTTGAAATCTCCGCTACCCAACGACTTCGATGACAAGTAATACGTGTACATACGTCAAATTTTACGCTAAGGCTGAAACGAATCTCTTTCATAGAACATTTTCACATTTTCATGAAATCTTGTTGAAGCAGATTTCAGCAATATCTAAATTATTTTCATTTTCGAAATTTCCTGGTAATTATCAGTTAGCGCTATAAACGCGGTAAACGCGTCGGCAAAACTTATCCCAAGAAAATATCGACCGAACTACTCAATGACTTATTCATAGTTTATCACCTTTCCTCTAAAAGCAGGTAGTTGTCTTTTGTCTTTGATGACACTTAAATGTGCAGTATATCAATATTAACATTACTTCGATTCAACCCTTTTTCAATTTTTTTTTAACGTTTCTTCTTCTTAGCTAAAAGTAAGTCCTTTGAGAAAAAATATTTTCTATCTTGGCCAATAATCTAAAACTTCGCGGGTGCAGCTTCAATGTTTCTACTTCTTAGCTAAAAGTAAGTCTTTTGAGAAAAAAATATTTTCTATTTTGGCCAATAATCTAAAACTTCGCGGGTGCAGCTACACAAGGACCGCTATCTCTAGTTTGAAATAAATCTATGAATTTTATGCAGGAACATGTTTTTTGTCCTTTCTCCATGTTTTTCTCGTCAAATTACACTGAAAGCAAGTAGTGATACTCCCAATCGCTTCCTGCTAAGGAAACCGGAACAGGCTCCGGCTAAGTGGGCCACTAACTTGGTTCGAGTGCACACTTTACCTTTTACCTTTCTCTCAATAGGCAAGCACGAATGTGACTCAGAGTCTGGTTTCTGTCCTGATAAATGTCCTTACACTAACGGCAGTTATCCTTACTGGAGAATACGTAACGCAGCGGATGTACCTTTCCTGTGGGTTGTATCAGGCATAAAGTTTTACGACACCGCAGCGTCCACCAAAGCACTTAACGCTGAGCCCAAGAGAGGCTATGCCAGCAGCTACTTTGGACCTGGTGAGTCGAGTGGACATCATTTAAGGCTACGGCAAACGTCTCTATTGTATTGTGTGTAGAGATGAGTAGATGTAATATGTGTTTGTTGATGCAGCTCTAGGAGAAATTGTCAAAAAAAAAAAGTTACCAATTGGCAACTGGGTGGTGGTGGTGGTGTTGGAAAGGAAAAAGGATAGACTTTTTGTTTATGATTTTCTGCTTTAAAGGACAATTATAATATCGTACCCAGATCCTACCATGTACCTCTAATTGCTTGGCCGTGAAAGGCCTGGCTGCGAGACTAAGACAATTCGTTACTACTCTAGTCAGTTTTTAGGCAAAATTGTGCTGAACATTTCTTTTTTATCATTTTTTCTTGTTATCGTTGTTGTTTTTGTTTGTTGTTTCTCTTATCCTTCTTTTCATTCTATCTTTTTTTCCTAAAGAGGACAATAAAAGTGCGGGATTTTGCACCATAGTAATGTGAAATGGTATAACTCACATTTTGTGTCACACAGTATATTGGGATCCATCAAGAGAACAGTTTATATTTCCTTGGATTCTTATATTTTTCACGCTGGGTGTAAATTTGGTCTTTTTTCTAGCGTTTAAAGGAAATGAAAATAGTGACCGTTCTCAAACTTAGCATTACGATTACTCTTACAGGATATGCTCCCAGCATGGCATTCGATAATAATCCCGAGAGCCTTTGGATTTCCAACGGTGCTGCTCCTCCGGGCATGCAGTGGATTGCGTACGAATTTCCCTACCCAGTCTTTGTAGGCTCGATTCACATCGCATCAGAGGAAGACAAACCCGATCGGATGCCTTCATTGATGTATGTGGAGGCTTCCTGTGAGAAGTACTTCAGAAATTTTGTCACTCAGTGGGTTATTTTCAACCCTGAGCATAGCGTGAACAAGCGATATAACGGTGAGTTTACGGAATTCTATCCCCTCCTTTTAAGAGAGCTCACTGGGAGAGGGTAATTTGCCATGATTTTGAAGCCCTGATTTCTTTGTGTTTGTATTGAGGATAGAAAAAAAACATTTTTTCATTCGTGGCATGACGACCTCATAGTGCTTCGTCAAGCACACCGAGATAATTTCTTAAAGTTATTCGTAAAATTTGACATCAAAACGAACAGTTTTTTTGCACGTGATATGTGCATTGCACTCCATCTAGTTCATACCATTTCAAACCTCCAGTACAGCGAGACTTCTCCTTCCAGAAACTAAACAATAAAATTCCATACCTTTTCCTCAAGACCCCTAAACTCTGCTGGGCGTTCGCCGCTTTGTTAATATCAGCTAATATCTGCTCTTGATTAACGTTGAACCATTTTCCTCAGTATTTTCTATGGCAAAGTTCACAACTCTTGGAGCCACAGGCCGCCTGGGTCCCACATCAGTGGGGAATTACTATCATGGTCAAGATCACGAGGGACAAGTGACCGTTAACAAGGGAATTCAGATGTGGAAGATCCCAGCCACCGGAATGTACACAATTGAAGCTGCAGGAGCTGCTGGTGGACACGACAAGTTCACTTCATGTAAGTCAATATAATCTGTCCTAATGGTGTACGCCTCAGTAAGGCAGCCGTATTGGGGAATTTTCCCTTACCTCTATCTTACTTAACAGATGTCATGAAAAACGACTCTCTCAGCCAGGAGACTAAGAAAAAAATTCATCTCCGGAGGGGACGAAAAATCGGGGGTCAAAAGAAATGAAAGAAGAAAGAAATGAAATGGAGAAATGAAATTTCCAGAGAATGGTGTAATTAGTGCGAGGTTCTTTCACTAATCACGGGGCACTGATTAAATCCTGAACCTTAACCAAGCTCGACTCTCGGTTGAAAACTGTTCGTTTTGGTTAACCTATGATACAATGAGACTGATCATTTTTTATTGTCTGGGGTGAAGGATTCGGGTTGTATCACAATAAAATTGAGCTGATTCCCCCCATAAGGCTTTGTAGTATTCAAATGAACCCCTCATTGGCAGTCAATATTCTTTAGTCCCCCTATAAAATCTTTTTGCGACTTCTGATTTCCCCCTGTGATCTCCCCCAAAAAAAATTCTTTTAAATTTCTTTCTCCCTCCCCTCCCCCCCGCCCCCCATCTCCTTAGGCGATTAATGACGAATGATTCCTAAAGACGTCGGGCCTAATTTCATTACCAAGATCAGAATCTACCATTCTCCCTATTCTATGCGACTTTTTTCTTAAATTTTGTCCCGTGCCAACGATTAAAGGCAGCAAATCTTCATTTTCTTCAAAAGCTTAGATGTTTGCTTTAAAATCTTGAATATAAACTAAAGTTTTAGTGAGCCGAACCTTGAGTCTTCTTGACTAACTAAGCTTTGTGTCAATCCAACAGCAAGCAAGCGCGGAAAGGGAGCTCGCGTTAAGGGAAATTTCCATCTGAAACGAGGGGATGTTCTTAAGGTCCTCGTTGGTCAGGAGGGAGGAGTTAACACTGTTTCTGGAGGAGCAGGGGGAGGCGGTGGAAGCTTTGTAGTTGCTGATGACAACACACCTCTTTTAATCGGTGAGTGAGCAAGAGATCATTTTTATTAGTAAACATAATACTGAAAAATTGGATAGCATTGAAGACACACTTTGATTGGCCACTCAAGTTCCTGATATCCTTTGATATTCATCTCAAAGCAACCTGTACAGGATTTGTGCCATCTTTTTGTGCTATATCATCTCACTGTTTTAGTATATACTAGTAAAAACTATTTACCTTGGTGCAAGTGGTTAGCGGTGGATATTTACCTCGCCGCTTCGAGGCTCGGTACAAATCTACCATTAGCCACCTCCTGTTTGTTGAATAGTTGTCAGTCATTCCATAATTTCGAACAGGCAGCCAATCCAAAGGAGCTAACCAAGTTCAAAACGCGCTCAGCTCATGTTTTATTTAACAATCATATTGTTTTGTCATAGCCTGGTGGTTTGTTTATTGAGATTCACCAGTCAATTCCGAAAAGAAATAACGTTTTACTTTAAGTCGTTTAAGTTGAGAAAGTGAACTATTGATAAAAGCAATAGGAAATCTTAAGGAAAATTGAAATTAAACCTTAGGGTATCTCCACGGAAGTTCAAAACATATCATCTATCTCAGGTGTAAAAAACCCCTTAATTTTGCAGGGATTGCTACGGGAAGCCACATTTACAGACAAAAACCGTTTTTCATGTCATCGCCTTGTTGCACTAAGACAACAAAACTGCAACCATATTGATTTTTTCATACCCGTTCTTCGGGACATAAACCTTTTTATTTAACCGTACACTTCTGTTCTGTTCAATGAGAACTGTTTCTTGCGACGAATTAGGTGGAAAAGCTCTGATGTGAGAAGTATTGCAAATACAACTGCGGTATCGATGATAATGCATCATTTAGATTTCATAGTTGTGACGGTTTCCTCTTTTCTATCCAGCCGGTGGAGGTGGTGGTGTCGATAAAATGAAGGGTGAGAGCCCGCGGTGTCACGGGTCAGGCTCTAGCGATGGAAACGCGGGATATGGTGGTTCACAGTTCCAGGGAGGCACTGGAGGGAAGGGAGCTGAAGAAGGCGACAATAATTACTCTGGGGGAGGTGGTGGTGGATTTGAGACTAACGGACGCTCAAACCAAAACTTCGGTGGCGCTAAGGGAACAGGTGGTGAAGGAGGAAAATCATTCTACAAAGGTAATGGACGAGTTAACCGTTATAAGCCTTTAAACAGATTGATATGGCTGTTTTTAAAGAGGCTGTCTGCAAAAAAGGGTCAAATTGCAGGCAATCCAACCCCAAAAGTGATTGTTCCTCAGGATTTCAGGGAAATCTTTGAAAAAACGTCCCTCTATGGGGGCAAAGCTGGTTTAATGAATTTTGTACATACTCAACGTATCACAATTTATTGATTACCAAACATCCAGATTACCGTTTGAGATTATCGCGTGCACCTTTTTCCTTCATTTCCGACACTCTTTCTAGAAACAGCTGCAGACAAAGATAATTTTCAAAATCTAAAATAAAGATTCTTTATAGATCCCTGCAGGGAACTTATAAGGATAGAAGCGTATTAGAGCACTTGATGAGCCTCGATTTGATAGCCTCCCAAAATATTCCCCTTTATTTTTATTGGTACTAGACTTTTCATGAAATTCTATGAAAAATCTTCATGCCACAGAAATATTTATGATTATTGCTATAACAATTAATCATTATTGAATAATCATTAAACGAAATGGTTCTACGGATAACTGAAATATGTCAATCATTTCATAGGTGGTGTCGGAGGTCGATCCAATCAGAATGAAATAGAAGGTGGATTCGGTGGCGGCGGCGGACCAAACGGAGCCGGCGGTGGTGGTGGTGGTGGTGGTGGCTACTCTGGGGGTGCCAGTGGAAGCCGATCTAATTCCTGTGGGGGAGGTGGTGGATCGCATAACAGTGGCAAGGAGCAGTCTAACCAAGCTGGTTCTAACGCCGGTCCTGGTTACGTTATCATCAAACTTCTCAACGTCAGATAGTTCCAAAGTTGAATTTTTTACATTCGAGTTTTCAAATGAAACTAGTCGAGCTTTTTTTCCTGTTTCGATTTCTTAGAAATAACCGATGATTCTCCTCACCTCAAAATAGTCCTAAGGCAAAGAATGTTTCTAATCATTTTGAAACTATGATTGTCACTTTGTTTTAAATGAAAAATAAAGCAATTGAATGCATTTGACCAATCAATATTTCACACACCCAACAGATGAATGATGGTATACCTGGCTGCAATTGCTAGTAATTGCATATAGGTTCAATATAATCACAAACAGTTCCCCATTAATATTAATTCAAATAAGTTGCTTGTTTTAGTTCAGACATATTTGATAAAAAAGCCAGAGAATCCCTCTCTCGGGTGGAAGAAGATTTTGTAAAGCCCTTGCTCTTCTTTTTGAGCACTCGATACTCTTTGTTTGATTCCAGTCTCAGAATACAACACTACCGCGTCGTAGGAAATTTAAATTGTCGCAAAATGGAGAAAAAACTCGTTCTCCAATGTAGAAAACTGGAAAGTGCGAGAGTTCTACTCCTCCTTTCTCTCCATTAGAAACGTTTGATTTTGAAGATAGACTCGTTTCTCACCGCGCTTAGAGACTTTTCTTAAAAATCTTCAGTGTATGTTTCTTACGCTTGCTCTGTCTTTTCAACTGTCTCGCAAACCTTCTTGTTACAGATCCCGTAGTGTTCGTTTTGTTTACCAATACAGGATTCAAGACCTTTTGTAAAGCTGGTAGACACTGATACCTCACTTTCAGTTTTCCATCTCTTCCCTGTCTCGACACAGGGCAGAACACGGCTTGTTTGTGCCCAATACGCTGTTGAGGTGCTTGATTATTTTGAAAGGCTTTCATTGCACACTGTTGCTTGATCCTCTCTCTTTCCTGTTCTTTTAAATCAGTGTCATTCATTGTGATATCCAGAATGTCGATCATTCCGTTAATTCCGCATCTTAGGATCAAATCTCCTGATTCGGAAGCTCCTGGAATTGGTGTAAAAAATTAATGACGTAATCTATCTATCTATCTGTAGTAAGAACTAATAGGCCCGACCTCAAAATTCAAAATTTTCTTGGACCCATTTTTAAAACAGAACAAGAGAGAAATCCATGAGAGCTGTGCAAATGGTGTATTGACTACTGGATTGACTAATACTTTATGTAAAACTCTCCTTGTACAAGTGATAAGTATGAACCAATCATTTCAAGCTAGCTGTTGGTGTCTTTGCAACGTTTTTCCATCTCCCCAATCCCTCCCCCTCCTTCCTGTGCCCCCCTTCACACACCCTCTATCAACCTCTCTGTACAGTTTTTACAGAGCTGCACCCTACAAACATGTATGGCATATTTGAATCACATACAACTTACGTGTATGAACCAATTGCCTCCGCGGGTCACCATCTTGCGCGCATTGATATACTGCGACTATCATGACGTCAGAAGGAATTTTTCTTCCTACAAAACTTAGCTCGCATTCTGCAGCTTGTGTGTTATTCGTAAGACGGAAACTGCCTTGGCATTCACTCTGAGACTGAGCGTAAATTCCAGGGAACACGTGATTAGCTTCCACTGTTCGTTTCATCTTGAAGAGGGAGATACCGCTTAAAATGATTTTATTCGCGAGAACATCTTCGCAGGTCAATTTTAAGGGAGCACCATAGGACTTTGCTGAGGACACAAAATGTCTCCATAAATATCAGTTTAAATTAAAAGCCTTAGTTCTCTTAGAAAATAATAACTGCTTCCGATTTTTTTTGGTCTCAAGACCACAATGCTGAATCTTTAAGCTGCCAAAATGCAAATCCAAACCAATAAACATAAATAAAGACAATTTACAAAGCCGATCACTCCGCCAATCGAGTATTTAGGGGCGCGGCTGCCAAACATAAAAGTAACTATAAAAAAGAACACCTAATGTTCTTTTTGTGGAAGTATACTTTAAACGTAACAAAGCCACGGTTTTAGCACGTATTTATAAATTATTTAAACTCCTCAACAGACGTTAATCATGGTTCAACGAAAACTGTTTTGTTTTTTTCTGAACTATTGTTAATTAAAAACGGTACGAAACAAAATTGTTAGCTTACCTATGAGTACACGAGGACCATGCTGCGAAACGGATAGAAAATTTGAGCTGGTACTTGACATCAATTGAAGAAAAGTGATTAGAACAGACCAAAGTTCACGTCGCATTTTGAAGCTCGACTGCTTACGCTTCATTTCTTTCAAGTCTTATATTTGGAAAGAATCATTTTGAGGATTTTAAACGAAAGCATCTTAAATCCTGACAAGGTGTTCAAAGGTTTGGTGATATGATGAAAACGGCGACATTGGCCAAACTCTGAGGGATTCGGTGCCAAATTCAAATGGAATCTCGTCTACAAGCTACACCCGTAAATTATTTCTTATAAGACAATCCATTGGAAGTTTGCAGGTTATTCATTGTGGCAAGGGTGGGGAAATCACGGGTGTATATGAAATCTATGCAAACAGCTAAAGTACAAAGTAGTAAAATGGATTCTTGAACCCTTTAAGAGATCATAAAATGCTAATTCAATTGTTACTTTTGCCACAACTAACTGAAACAATTGAGCTTGACTTTTCAAACTGTAAATGAGCTGGTCTGGAACTCGGAACATTTCCTTACTAATGAAATGAGGAATTTTTCAGAGCTTGTTAAGGTCCCTAAATTCCAACTTATTTTATCTTTAGGGGATGATTCAGGCTCGTGGGTCAGTCATTAACGTTATAGAATTTAGAAACCATGAAAGTATCAAATGAGAAATAAGATTCAGAACCCATGTGATTTCATCTCCACCATTAGAAATTATATTCATTGTTTTTTTGTACTTCTCACGGCGTTTAAATATTCCAAAGAACAGCTTAACCTTTCAAAATTTCTATTCCACTATGCTGAAAATATGTGTTATTGACCAAGTGTGACATCAACGTGGGTGGATAATTTTAAACTGAGTTGACAACGTAAATTGGCCACCGTGAAGAGTTTACAAAGCTGACGTTTCGAGCGTTAGCCCTTCGTCAGGGCGAATGACCACAGTTTCTTTAGAAACTTACCCCTTTTATTGCCTGACGTTTGCTGACTTCTTTTTCTTTTTTTTTTTTGTGTTTTAATGGACCGAGACGAAATCGAAGTCCATAAAGGCCAAAAAGGACGAAGCTAATATCCGGTCTTCTTGACCAAACAAGATTATATTGGTCAATAAAAGCAAACAGGATCGGCACAATAAACCCACGAGAGTCATTTACGTTTCCTTTGTTTTGACTTTCTTTGGCCACTTTTTACGACTCCACTGGAAAAATCTATCAAAAATTAGATTCTTTGTTATTCGCTCCACCAATTTCTCTTTTTCTTTCGCAAGGTCATAGCAGGCAATCCTGAAAAGGCAAGATGAGCCGGTCCGTACCCGCTTTGGAAGCCTATCAGAACATAGGTTTCGCTGAAAAAAAGGAAGTAGCTTGTTCATTTACGGCCAAATGGTGACCGGAGATAAAAATCAGAAATTTAGTTCAAATTTGCTCTTCGCGATATTCTTAGACAGACTAGCAGGAGATGCAAAGCCAGGTGACCTCAATTTTATAAAACGTGCAAACAATTTTCAATTTCATAAAAGTCTCACAATCAAAACAGGTAAAAGTCGACTTATATAGTATAATGCGGGAGGTTTTTCGCTGATATTCAGGGATAAAATTGCGTGAAATAATTCTTAATGAAATACATGTGAGGCTTTTGGCATAAATAAAGGTCATGTTACTCTTTCTGTCTCACTTTAAGTGTGTCTGTTTCTTTCTTTTTGTTTATTGTTTTTGTTTACCTTTTATGACGCACACGCTAGTGGGATTTAGTTGATGTTTTTTAGTCTTAAAAAGAGAAAAAACATTTCTTTACCACGCTATCGAAGAACTGCAGTGGGCGATTTTTCTCGTTCGATTTAGGGGAAGAAAATCTTGGTCACTTGTCAAAATTAAAGTAAAAAAATTCTTCTTTGTCACTTCCTGCCAAATTTGATGACTCGCCCATTTAATTCTCCTCTTGGGTCTCGTGACAGGATGCCTGAGAGATGTTCACTGACCGGATTTTGGACTTAATCTGGGCACCTTTATAGTATGCTTCGGCGGCATTACAGCGCCGTCTAATAGTACTTTTGCTCGATCGGGTCACGCAAAATTGCATACCAAACTTCGACCAGAAGCGCTAGATACACTGCTGGAACTTACTAGCAGTGCGTGATATCTTGAGTCATGTTTTAAACATGATTTCTTCCCGAGTCAACTGAAATGTCGTAAGCTACAGCTAAGGCAGACCTTGTTATTGATGTATGAAAGACTTCCCACAGATTCAGCTGTGATAACAAAAACAACGGACTCGCTTCAGCAGACACGTTCATAGGATAGTATTTCCATCATAATATCATTCGCCAATGAAGGGGGGGGGGCAGTTGGAAGGGGCCCATACAAGATTATAATTTTTAGTGAAAATCAAGAAATATAATGATTAATAGCTATTGAAACGGCTACAGAACAGGACACTCAAGACAGCAATATCGATGCTTCATGATCTCACAGCGCGAACAGTACGAATTGAACAGTAGTCAGAGCAAACAATGCTCCTGTGGGAACACTTTGCGTGATGTAACGAGAGATGAAGTAAATATCTGAGGTCACCTATGAGGTAAATGAGCTAAAGCCAGAAGGGAAGTTTTCAAATTGAGATGGTCCGCTGAGCTGAGGCGCTTCAACTAACTCGTACACGAATTAACCCTTTCATTATTGTATCTCCACTCGCCATGGATAACAGCGCACGAGATACAAAAATGACCACCAGAAAAAGAGACCGTAGAGAAATGTTTTACACATGCTCTTCTATGCTATCGGTCATTGGAATTTTGTTGGGTTTTGCTCTGGTTGCGAGAATAGAAACTGTCGCTCGGGATTTGAGGACCATGGACACGAAATTCTCGCTACAAATTCATCAAATCCGAGACATTCTTAAGGAAAGTGCAGCCTCTTCTCGCGGGAGCGAAAACTTTGACACATCAAATGGTAGGGTGACTGAGAACTTACTCTGAATTTTTCTAGTTTTTAGCCCAAAGTTGCTCTATTGTGTACATGTTCTTTCCTGTAATGATAGAATGGGGAATCTGTGTTTTCTTCTGAACATTGGATAGAAGAACAGTAAGTTTACAGGCACAAGAATTCTATCACGCATTTAATTCATGGGCGAGTGGTGTAATTGTTTCATTACTAATTCACCAGTCGTTCCAAACTTAACATCAAGACAGGCTCTTGTTTTTATTTAATTTTATCTACAGCGACAAAAAATAGCTTTATATGCTGTACGTATAGGTAATAAAATGATTTCGAATGAAATTTGGCGTTGATAGGCACGAGGAAACTTTTAAAAGCAACAAAATTGCCCGCTGTCTATAATTTGCACTCGTGTTACAATTTTGCACTCGTATTACAACTTTGCGCTCGTGTTACATAAGAATGCATGCGTTTTCAGGATGTAATTTTTGTCAAGTACATTTTTGATAACGGAACAGGTAACGAATAGCAAAGCCAATCAGACTGCAGAAATTGTATTAGAATGCTAATAAGATTTATACTACGTGTAGTAATATGTAAGATTCGTTAAAAGGGCACAATGTCATCTATGGAAGGTTCTCGAGCCCAGAATGATCTGAGCTCGAGTACACACGCTAAAAATGTATTTAGATCTCTTCAAATCGCCTGATCCGGGTTATGTCGTCTGCTCCGGATTATGTCGTCTGCTCCAATAACTGAATGCGGAAATTCTAACCATTCTTACAAAATGATCAAAGAATATGTCAATACTGAATGCAGCCAAAATATACTTGAAACATTATTCAACGATTTTGCATTGTTTATTTTAGCCATCCGATACAAAATTCCAATTGTTCGTCGCAGCGTGGATACAGTCAACGGCAATGAATCGATTAGCCACTATGACATTGGAGAGGCTATCAAGAGATACGTGCGATCGACTATGAAGGGATATGTCTGTCAAAGTCCAGACAGGGTTTGTGTAGTAGGGTCTCCCGGACCAATAGGAGCTCGTGGTCTTCCCGGGAAGAGAGGGCCCAAAGGAATTAGGGGGAAAAAGGGAACGCGAGGAGTTGTGGGACCTCCAGGAGGACTGGGAAAGCAAGGCATCAAGGGAGATATTGGCCCTGAAGGAATCAAGGGAGAAAAAGGTAAACAATAAGACAATGATGATAATCATAATAATGATAATGAAAAAATTACAAGTTATTTTTGTCATTAGAGATTTTGCCCACGATGGCTGAATAGGAGGTGGTGAAAATTTGTTGCGGAGTCACACGGAAGCGCCTCGCGAGTCCAGGACATTTTGACCACTGTGATGAAAAATATCGCTGTCAATAAGAGTACAGACCACGTTAATTTGTTAGTTATAGAACCAGTCGCGCAGTAAGACTTTTTCTTTCTGTCACTTATCGATGACATTGCCTTTTAAGCCCTTTGAGAGACGGTCATCAGTATTACGGGCTATCGTTGTGAGATAGTATCTGTATGATGCTAAAGTTTGTTGTTGTCTTGCATAAAACTCAAAGTATATCCTTAATCAGAACACAGTGTCACCACATACACACAGACAAAATAATTCAATCACATTTATAGCGGATATTGCTTTTACAAAATTTAATAGACTTTTTCTTCAAATCAATGTCTAGTTGCAAAAAAAATCGTTGCAAGTTACCCACTAAGTTTTTGTATACTTTTTTTACAATCGTAAAATGAAATAATAAAATTATTGTTTGTTAAGTTTACGTCAAAGATGTTTTTTTTATTTCTCTATCTTAAGGTGCGATCTTTAATGAATATTATTTTATTATTTCCTTCAATAACTCTTCTTTTCCCATTGTTACACTAAGGAATCCCAGGGACACCTGGACAACCAGGAGCTAAAGGTGAACCGGGCGAGTCCCTATCAGCGCCAGAGGTGACTGTATCACTAACTACAGACACTGTTACTGAAAACCAAACTGCCACGTTTTATTGCTCGGCTAATGGCAATCCAATGCCTACCGTCACCTGGAGTAAAACTGGTGATACGAAACCAATTTCAAGCCGACATAATAAGTTAGAAATCACAAAAGCTACTTATAATGACTCGGGAAATTATGTTTGCACGGCCAAGAACGTATTGGGTGAGGTGCAAAAGCAGGTGAAGCTCTTTGTGGAAGGTAAGCATATTTTAATGAATAGAGTTTGTTACAGTCTGCAATTGTGAGCCTGATGATGCGCATTGCAATACTGAGGAGTCACGGTAACTTTATGCATTATAATAAGTTCGATAATAGTGGTAATGATAGTGATAATAGATTTTACAATAACAATAATGTTTATGATAATGGTTATGATAAATGATGATGATAATTATTTTAAAAATAATATTAACAATAACGATAATAATAACGACACTAAAGATCAAAATACTTTAGGTCTATATTTATTTATGGTCCATATTCTGCATTTTTTTTTCTCTTATCGTTACTGCAATTATGATTTTGTTTCTTTTGTCTTCAGCGTTTGATTTTACCACCGAGGTCCCCTAGAACACTTCCTAAGGAATAAACTATTTGACCTGAACTTTATCTTTGGATTTCAGTTCAAAATTTGGAATGCTCACTAAATCACGCAGTTCGATCCTCAATTCTTTTACTTGTCTTTTTTTCCTATTCTTTAGAAAGTGAGCCAAGATTTTTAAGAATTTCTAAGTGAACTTAGATAAAAACGTGTTTTTTCTTTGCTTTCCTCAGTTCCTCCACGATTCACAAAAACTCCAAACAGAGTCATTAAAATCAACAGAGGCGAAAAAGCATCTGCTTCTTGCCAAGCGTTTGGATTTCCTTCGCCAAAAATAATTTGGTCAAGAGGACTTGTCCCGTTACCACAAGGTAGAACAAGTGTCAGCAATGGAACTCTAGACATATCACACTTTGATCTTAAAGATTCTGGTACGTACCAATGTACCGCGTCCAACAAGCTGGGATCTGTCAGTGCTTTAACAACCTTATATTATATACACATAGGTATGTCTGAAAACGATACCCTTCTTTTTTTTCCGAAAAAAAGGTAAGGATGTTGATTGTTATAGATGAATGAAATCGGTGTACTCAAACTCAACCAAAATTACCAAGTAATCCCCTTGACTTGAAAAAGGGAATTTTTCAATAAAACTAATCTCTCTTTTTGCAACTAAAAAACTGTTGCAAAGTCTAACACTGCATTCGATTTCAAATTTAAAACTTCAAAAAGGTTTTTTTTTTGTTTCTCCTAGTGAGAGGAAGGAGTATGTTTAGGACTATTAACGTCATTTTCATTAACGGTAAATTGACATAACAAATATTTCTCAGTTACCAACACGACGAAGAATCGATCAATTTTTAAAAAAGATACTATCTTTTTGTGTTAACTAAAAAGATTTTAAGGCCGTCTTTACCAACCTTGGTGCGAGTGGAAGATTTGGTCCAACATCGCCTGGTAGTCACTACGCTAATCAGGATCATGACGGACAAGTTACACTGTCCAGCGGTATTCAACAGTGGACTGTGCCGTACACTGGTGACTACAGAATAGAAGCAATAGGAGCAGCAGGAGGTTATGATACAGTCCCTAACAGTGCTCAGTACCGAGGAAGAGGAGCAAGAATGATTGGAACATTCCGCTTAAAAAAGGGTGAAGTTATTCGAATACTTGTCGGTCAAGAAGGAGCAATAAACAAGGCGACTCGTTCCTCTGGAGGTGGTGGAGGAACATTTGTAGTTAGAGGAGCCAACACACCTTTGATTATAGCCGGGGGCGGAGGAGGCACAGAATCTGCACGTTCAAGGCATTCAGGATGTGATGCTAATATTGTTTCATCGGGAAATCCTGGGTTCAGGTCATGGTCAGGGGGGAGCAATGGACATGGTGCACAGACTGCTGATGCTAGTAATTCTGGTTAGTGGAACTGAACCAAAATATTTATGTGTATCATCCGCATGTCAGTCAATTATTGCCAGAAAAAAGCGGAAAGTAAAAATTATTAAAGTTATGATAAGTCATTTTAATGGCGAACTACATGATATGAAGGCTAGGGATTTATAATTGTTAAATGTTAAATTATTTTGTTTTTGTTTGGTTTTTGTTTCTTTTGTCTGGTGGTTGTTTCCTTTTTTTTTCATTTTTTAAGCAAAGCTTAAAAACTTTAATGCTACCGAAGGGAACCTGAGAACAGATTGTTTATTTGATATTCTCGCATTTGTCATATCACCTAATCATAGTCGCTAGAAATCTAATTGAAGATGAGTTTTATCGTCATGTATTTTACGTTGCAGTTTTGTATTTCAATTTTGGCCCGTAGGCATTGCTATATTTTAAATTCTTTCTTCATTTTTTCAAAGTGCAAACCAATTAATGAAGTTTTTCATATAGATTTTTCATGAACATTAACTCATTTGTTCCGGCATTATTGTGATATCGACCTGCATTCAATGACTCGGTCTCTCTGAGCAACCATCATCGATCTCCGCTAATCTCTGACAAACGAAAGTAACTTCTAGTCTAATCAGTCAAAGAATGAACGATAATACTAAGTTCTGAACCCAAATGTACAGATTTAGAAGCAACTGCATATAATTACCATTCTTGTTATTGTTAACACCGACAGGTGGCGGTGGCGGAGGTTTCTACTCCAGTGGCAGAAGTTCAAAGCAGTTTGGCGGTACCATGGGAAGAGGTGGAGAAGGAGGAAAAGGATTTCTCCAAGGAGGGGTGGGGGGTGGAGCCAAGCTTAACAATGCTGTTGGTGGATTTGGTGGAGGTGGTGGTGCTTACGGAAATGGAGGGGGTGCAGGAGGAGGAGGAGGATACTCTGGAGGAAGCAGTGGAGATAACGAGTCTGATTCATGTGGAGGCGGTGGAGGGTCTTATAATGCTGGTAAAGATCAACAAAACGAATGTTGCTATCAATCATCTGGCCATGGTCAGGTGATCATAACCTTATTGTAAAAAAAAGTATTTAAAGTAAAGTATTTTGGGCATTATTAAACGCTTTAAGACTGATCCCGATATAAACATCCCTTTGCTCAAGGCGGGGTCGAGGATAAAAAACATCTGTTCCTCGAGGGAAAAGTCGGTCAGCATTCAGTTTTCCTTTTTTCTTTTCCAAATTCTCAACCAATTATTGAAATAACAGTGTATTGTAAGGAAACACTATCAGATTAATCATTGGGTTTGAGATGGCCTCACCAGTTTGCCATTCGAGGCTTTTTTAAAATATCATAAATGTCGACTGGTTTGTAAGTTTTTATTTAGCAAAAAATAGGAAATCAAGTAGTTTTTTTCTCGTGGATGTTTCCATTTCATTGTATTTTATCTCAAGATTTCTCGAGGTCGACGCTTGCCCATTGTTCTTGTGGAAATCAGTGCGTTGTTTTAGTTTAATAAGCTGAAGATGTTAAGCTTGAGAGAAGTGGGCTGTATCTCTGCATCCTTTTTTTTCTTTCTTTTTAGACTCGATGCGGCATGATATATTTGGAGAGGTAACAAAAAACAAAAACAAAAATTAAAACTGTTCCAGACTTAAAGATTGCTGGACTTGCGCTATTTCTGAGGATAGTCTTGAATTAATTGCAAATGAGCGATACCGTGACATGATTTCAAAAAACTAATTAGTAGCAGAAGGTCTTACATCTCCATGTTTTAAATAAAACAAATGAAAGATAAAATATATTATTGTAGGCCTGATTGCACCTTAGGCAAACGTAAAGCAGCAATATAAATTTTATTCAAAATTCATTTCGAGAGATTGTCCGTTTTTCCATAGTTATATAATGTTTGCCGCGTCTCTTATAACTGTCACAATTAGTGAAGATGAAGCGTAAAATCATTTTTAGATGTAAATTAAAACTGATTTTATTTAATGTCACAATTTAAAAGGAAAATAGCAAACAGTTTGCACATTGACTTATTAAAGTCTTATGAGTTTGTCAAGATGTCACCTTTATTTGAGCTTTTGTAAAGCCGAAATGTCTCTTTTAAAATGTCCCCTTTCAGTCGGCAGTAAATTAGATTTCGTCATGCCCTGCTTGGCTTTGACAAAAAGGTGCAAACTGAGTTATTACATCTTCACACTCAAATGGTTGTATCATGAGAATCGCAACTAGTGAAAGCATCATTTGTTTTCCAAAAATTAATTGGTATCCACATGATCGGCACAAGGCGAAAATATGATTGCCTCAGCTTGATGGCATCGGTACCAAGTTTAAATAGGAGAGAACGCGAAGAAAAAACAAGGCGTCTGCAACGGGTTACTTTTCCCTTACCGGCTCCTGACACTTCCTTCTAAAAAAAGCTGCTTAAATTATATTTTTATCGTAGACTGCATTCATTAAGCTTTCCTCTGATGTGTAGTTTGCTAAGATTTTAGTGGAACTAGCGCACGCACGAATTTTTTCCCGAAGGACACCCGCAAAGGTGGGAGGTAACCTTAACTAACCCTAACAGCTTAGAAGTATCACCGGATTTTGGACGAGAATGTATATAATGGCGTAGTATGTGACTAACACAGTTTACAGACTAGACGATTTCACGCTACTATCTGCGTCGGTTATTAATTATAATAAACTAGTATATAATTAAATTATATTAGTGGCGTAAAATTTACATTATATAAATCACCGACTGGAAGAAGTTAGTTACTGGCGTAAAATCGGTAATACATATATAGAATAAGATTTTACACCAGTAACTGGCGGCGTAATTTTATTCTGTCAGTAATTTATATATGTAAGATTTTACTTTAGTAACTAACAGCGTAATTTCCTCCAATCGGTAGTGGAAATATGTAAGATTTTACGCAAGTAACTAACAGCGTAAATTTTTCCAGTCGGTATATACGCATACTGAGAGATTTTACGCCGTTGGTTAACAGCTTAAAATCTTACAGTATATACACCGACGCAGATAGTGGCGTAAAATCGTAGTCTAGTCTAAGACGCCGTCATCTAACTACCGATTTTGGATTTAATCTGGGTTCCTTTTTAGTACGCTTCGGCGGTATTACAGAGCCGTCTGATTTTGCCATTATTACTTTGGCTCGACCGGGTTACGCAAATTGCCAACCATACTTCAATCAGAACCGCTTGATACGCTGCCGGAACTTACTAGCGATGCGTTATGTCTTGAAATCATGTTATTAACATGATTTCGTCACGGGTCAACTGAAAGGTCGTAAGCTTTAGCGAAGGCAGACGTTGTCACTGATGTATGAAAGACCTCCCGCAGGGCCAGCTGTGATTTCAAAAACAACCGAATCGCTTTAGCAGACACGTTCACAGGATAATATTTGCATCGAAACATCATACGAAGAGTAAAAATTATCGCCAATGAAGGTGGGAGGGGAGGGGGCCCATACAAGATTATAGATTTAAGTCGCAATCACGCAAAACAATGATTAATAGGTGAGGTAACGGTTACAGAACAGGACAATCAAGACAGCATTATCGATGTGTATGACCTCAACGCGTGAAAATAACGAATTCAGGCGTGAATATGAAAGTGATCTTCGTAGCAATGAACACAATGAGCAGTAGTGGAAATAGGGCCTGAACCTTTTTATTATTATTATGATAATTATTATTATGATGATTATTATTATTATGATTATTATTATTATTATGATTATTATTATTATTATGATTATTATTATTATTATGATTATTATGATTATTATGATTATTATGATTATTATTATTATTATGATTATTATTATTATTATGATTATTATTATTATTATGATTATTATTATTATTATGATTATTATTATTATTATGATTATTATTATTATTATGATTATTATTATTATTATGATTATTATTATTATTATTATTATTATGATTATTATTATTATTATTATTATGATTATTATTATGATTATTATTATTATTATTATGATTATTATTATTATTATTATTATGATTATTATTATTATTATTATGATTATTATTATTATTATGATTATTATTATTATTATGATTGTTTTTTAGGCCTCATTTTCACTACTGCTAAAGTAGTGTTCATTACTGTGAAGATCGCTTTCATATTCACGTCTTTATCCGTAGTTCATATATTCACAGTCATAACGAATTAAGTAGTAAGCAGAGCAAAAAGTGCTCCTGTGGGAATGCTGTGCGCGATGTATCAAGAGGAAGTATATATCTGAGGTCACGTATGAGATAATCAAATGGAGATTGTAGAAGTTCCTTCCGCTCCTGCTACACATTCTAGGGGCCCCCGAAGGGCTTCAACGAACTTGTACATGAATTTTCACCTTTGTATCTCCATTCGCCATGGATAACAACGTACGAGATACAAAAATGACCACCAGAAAAAGAGACCGAAGCGAAATACTTTACACGTGCTCTTCTACGCTATCGATCATTTCAATTGTCTTAGTTTTTGCTCTGTTTGCGAGAATAGAAACTGTCGCCCGGGACTTGAGGACAGCGGACACGAAATTCTCGCTGCAAATTCAGCAAATCCGAGACGTTCTGAAAGAAAGTTCAGCCTCTTCCCGCGGGAGCGAAAACTTCGACACATCAAATGGTAAGGTGACTGAGAACTTACTCTGAATTTTTTAGTTTTTAGACCAAATTTTGTTATTGTGTATATATTCTCTTTTATAAAAGCTATATAGTGTACGGTATGTGTGTTTTTTGTCTGGACATTGGATAGAAGAACGATAAGATAACGAGCACGATAATTTTATCACGCATTTTATTCATGGGCGACTAATGTAATTGTTTAGTATTAATTCCTCAGTCGTTTAAAACTTAACATCAAGACAGGCTCATGTTTTTATTAATTTTGTCTACAGCCATGCAAAATTTTATTAATTAGGCTAGTAACTTTAATCGCCATAGATATAATTTGGAGTGAAATTTGGGGTCAATAAGCACGAGTAAATTTTTTAAAGACAACAAAATTGCTCGCGCCGGTAGGGCAAGTTAAAGCGTGCGTGCGCTATTTGTAATTTGCATTCGTCCTACAACTTTGCACTCGTGTTTCATGAGAATATATCCGTTTTCAGCGCGTTTTTTTTTTTTCATGTATATTATACAAACGGAGCAAGTAATGAATAACGAAGCCAATCAGACTGCCGAAATTATATTAGAACGCTTTTACAAGATTTATACTACATTGATATGTTAGATTCGTCCGTGAAAAGGCACAACATCAACTATCAAAGGTTCTCGTTCTATCCAGAAGCATCTGGGCTCGAGTGCGCACACTTTAAAAATGTCTTTAGACTTTTGCAAATCACCTGACCCAGATTATATCGTCTGTTCCGATGACTGAATGCCGCAATTCTTTTAACTCTTACAAAATTAATAAAGAATATGTCAATATTGAATACAGCCAAAATATACTTGAAACACTAGTCAATGATTTTACTTTGTTTATTTTAGCGAGCCGATACAAAATTTCGGTTGTTCGTCGCAGCGCGGATACAGTTAACGGCAATGAATCGATTAGGAACTATGACATTGGAGAGTCTATCAAGAGATACGTGCAATCGATTATAAAAGGATATATTTGTCAAAGTCCAGACAGGGTTTGCGTGGCAGGGTCCCCCGGACCAATAGGAGCTCATGGTCTTCCGGGAAAAAGAGGGCCTAAAGGAATTAGGGGAAAGAAGGGAACGCGAGGAGTTGTGAGACCTCCAGGAGAACCGGGAAAGCAAGGCATCAAGGGAGATATTGGCCCCAAAGGAGTCAAGGGAGAAAAAGGTAAACAATAAGATAACGATAATGATCATAATAATGACAACAGAAAAACTTATTTTTTTGGAAAAAAATATGTGGTCAAATACTAATACAATGTTAGTTCGAGATGATAATTTAATTAAATGTGATCTTGTTTCATTTTACAACTAATTCATTTTCATTGGTGTATATTTCCTTTCATCATTTCATCGCAAAATTGCTTAATGCTGAGCGTGCGCTTTTTGAAGTTACCTTGAAGTTCTGTGTTTGTATGGACTGTTTTTTACAATGGTATAATAATAATAAAGCCGTTTTCAGCATTGTTGTTAAGTTTACGTTACACGTATGATCTTTTATATGTCTCTGTCTAAAGGCGCGATCTTTAATGATTATTATTTCATTACCTCCTTTACCTGGCAACTCTTCTTTTCTCAGGAAACCCAGGGACACCTGGACAACCAGGAGCTAAAGGTGAACCAGGCGAGTCCCTATCTGCACCAAAGGTGACTGTATCACCAACTTCAGACACTGTTACTGAAAACCAAACTGCTACGTTTTATTGCTCGGCTAATGGCAATCCAACGCCTACCGTCACCTGGAGTAAAACAGGTGATACGGAACCAATTGTAAGCCCACATAATAAGTTAGAAATCACAAAAGCTACGTATAATGACTCGGGAAATTATGCTTGCACAGCTAAGAGCATATTGGGTGAGATGCAAAAGCAGGTGAAGCTCCTTGTGGAAGGTAAGCATATTTTGCAGAATGGATTTTTTAACAGCCAGCAATCGTGACCCTAATGAGTTTATATTTGATTTTTTTTTTTTTTTTGGTTGGTGTAACTCTTCACGGAATGTTCGGAAAAGACTTCATTCAAAAAGATTCCTCAGAAAAAAGTTATCTAACATTTTCTCTTTTAACTTTCCTTAAATTTTCCTTAGCCATGTCTGTGTCAAAAAAAAATACAGTCAAAAATATGTCATTGTGCTTGTTTAAGAGATAGGATGGGCCAAGCTTACCCCATTTATGCCTGTGCTGGCACTAATCACGTGCATTATTGAATCGGTTCACAGTACATTTAGCGGTAGCTTGAAGGAAGAGCTTTTAAAGTAACAATTGTTACGCGTAAATTTACTGATTTTTCTGTGTGTTTGTTTGGGACATATTTACGCATAAACGTTTCATGCTAACCATTTCCAATTTATTCAAGTTCTTTCGTTCTTGTATTTCAACAAATTGGAAAAGCCACAATAGTTTTTGAATTTCGAACTGTCACATTTTGCTCGTTATTTTGGTTTCGTTATACACCTGTATGTCGGTACTTTGATGAACATTTCTGTTGAAATTGCATGTAAACATAGTGTCAGTGCTCTCCCTGGAAATACAATTATAAGTTTTCATGATCTTTCTGGGAAATCGATTCTCATGGAAGTTGGCAGCTGAGTTTGGGCTCGTAAGTTCGCTTTCCTTTCATAGGATAATTGCTCGCCTTGCCGCTTTTTCAGAAATTATTATTACGTCCCACTTTTATTTTCTAAGCTGCTCTACCGCAATTAAGAGAGGTGTTCAGATGGCCTAGAGTCTATTTAATCCGTTCTTTAGTTTTGAAATTATTTCCCAAACAGAGGGAATACTTAACTAGAATCACTTAGCTTCAAAGAGACATTTTCCGCTTCTTTTCGTAACCTTATTCAGATATTTTAAATTTAAGGAACAATATAGCCACGCGCTCGATAGTACTTAGGAAGTAAATTGTAAAGCTTTTTCGATTACATAGACGACTGCAAGCCGATTACATTGATTACGAAGTTAGCTACGCCAGAGTTCATATCGGTTTTTTAACCTGAACTAGAAAAAACCTACTGTGGAACCAAACGCTGTCATATCCTTGACATCCGTAAAAAGCTCGCTCGAAGCAGATCTCCGTGTACCAGGGAATCGTGACGAGTTTCCGTCGTCGCTGCCAAGTTGCCTCTACCGAGCTTATTTTTCCCCGTTTTTGTACGTTTCCCATGAAGTCTAGTTTGAGTGCGGAAAAAACTATCGTCACACAGTTTAAAAAAAAGAAGCTTATAGATAGAAATTATCGAGCGTAAAAAGGAAAAATCACACAATCTTAAACGACATCGACTAAAAAGGGTTCCTCGAGTCGTTGCTTTCAAAGTTTTACTTTGCATCAACGGGTAACGGGCTTCGCGCGCGCTTTTAGCTGCATCTTTTTTCCCTTCAATGAATTTTTTTAGATTCCCCAGTTTAAAGGGGATGAATTGTTCACCAAAATAGTGCAAGAAAAAACTCTAGTTCATCGTACCCTCTTAGGAGCATAAGAAAATCGCACCTCTTTAGCTGGTCCATTGATTGAAAATCAGTACTGTTTTATCGGAATGCGCGTGCGCTTATTCGCCTGATTATGTAATTTTGTGCGCGGTACAGGATGCGCAGTACAATACTAAGGAGTTACGGTAACTCTTTATTCATTATAATAATAAGTTTGATAATAGTAATCATGATAATGGTAATGAAATAAAATTTATAACAAATAATTATAATATGATGATAATAATTATTTTAAAAATAATACTAACAACGAAGATAATAAAAATGACACTAATGATGAAAATAGTGCAGGTCTATATTTATTTATGGTCTATATTCTGTATTTTTTCTCTTATCGTTACTACATTTATAATTTTGTTTGTTTTGTCTTATGCATTTGATTTTACTACCTAGGACCTCTAGAACACTGAGTTTTTCATTTGGATTTCAGATTAAAATTTTGAATGCTTATTAAATCAATTTAAAACGTAGAAAGAAGGAGATGCAAGTCGAAAAAAAAATATCCCGATTCTCGAATTAGTCCTCTAAGAAACTACACGATCCTGGCAAGGGAGAAAAGCTTATTAGTAATCACAGTTTTGAATATAAATGGCTGGAGAGCATAAAAAAAGTATTGCATTTCCTTGGCAGTTTCGATCCTCAATGGACTTTTTTGTTTGTATCTTTTTCCATCTTAAAATAAAGTAAGCCGAGATTTTTTAAGAATTGCTAAGTGAACTTAGATAAAACATTTTTTATTTGTTTTCCTCAGCTCCTCCACGATTTACCAAAATTCCAAACAGAGTCATTAGAGTCAATAGAGGTAAAAAAGCATCTGCCTCTTGCCAGGCGTTTGGTTTTCCGACGCCAAAAATAGTTTGGTCAAGAGGACTTGTCCCGTTACCACAAGGTCGAACAAGTGTCAGTAATGGAACCTTAGACATATCACACTTTGATCCTAAAGATTCTGGTACGTACCGATGTACCGCGTCCAACAAGCTGGGATCTATCAGTGCTTTGACAACTCTTTATTATATACACAGAGGTATGTCTGAAGAAGATATCCCTTCTTTTCCTGAAAAAGGCTAAGGAGGTTAATTGTTGTTGATAAGTGAAATCGGTGTACTCAGTCTCAGTCAAAATTACCGAGTAACCCCCTTGAATTCAAAACGGGTTTTTTTTTATGATACTTATCTCCCCTTTTACAACTAACAACGGTTTTAAAGTCTAACACTGCATTCGATTTCAACTTAAAACCTTAAAAAAGTTTGTTTTCTTCTAGTAAGAGGAGAGAGCATGTTTAAGACTATTAACGCCCCCTTTTTAACGCTAAATTAACAAAACAAATAATTCTCAGATACAAACACGACTAAGAATCGATCAATTTTTTAAAAAGATACTCTCTTTTTGTGTTAACTAAAAAGAGTTTAAGGCCGTCTTTACCAACCTTGGTGCAAGTGGAAGATTTGGTCCAACATCACTTGGTAGTCACTACGCTAATCAGGATCATGACGGACAAGTTACACTGTCCAGCGGTATTCAACAGTGGACTGTGCCGTACACTGGTGACTACAGAATACAAGCAATAGGAGCAGCAGGAGGGTATGATAAACACTCCAGAAGTGCTCAGTACCGAGGAAGAGGAGCAAGAATGATTGGAACATTCCCTTTAAAGGAGGGTGAAGTTATTCAAATACTTGTCGGTCAAGAAGGAGGAGTAAACGGGCGGAGTCATTCCTCTGGAGGTGGTGGAGGTACATTTGTAGTAAGAGGAGCCTACACATTCTTGATTATAGCCGGGGGTGGAGGAGGCATAGAATCTGCACGTTCAAGGCATTCAGGATGTGATGCTAGTACTGGTTCATTGGGAAATCCTGGGCACAAGTCATGGTCAGGGGGGAGCGGTGGACATGGCGCACAGACCGCTGATGCTGATAATTCTGGTAAGTGGGTTGTTTTGATGCTATCACCTATTTCCGAACCAAAGCCTTTATGTAAAGTATCCGCATATCAATAAATTCTTGTCAGAAAAAAGCGAAAAGTAAAAATTATTGAAGTCAAATGAATTTGATGGCGAACTGCATGGCAATTATCAACGATCTCCGCTAATCTTTGTAACTTCTAGTCTAGTCAGTCAAAGAATGAACAATTTTGCCAAGTTCTAAACCTACATGAACAGGTTATGAAGCGACTGCATACAATTACCATTCTTGTTGTTGCTAACCCTGACAGGTGGCGGTGGCGGAGGTTTCTTCTCCAGTGGCAGAAGTTCAAAGCAGTTTGGCGGTACCTCGGGGTATGGTGGAGAAGGTGGCAGAGGATTTATCCAGGGAGCGGTGGGAGGTAGAGCCAAGTTTAACAATGCTGTTGGTGGATTTGGTGGAGGTGGAGGTGCTTACGGAAATGGAGGGGGTGCAGGAGGAGGAGGAGGAGGATACTCTGGAGGAAGCAGTGGAGATAATGAGGTTAATTCGTGTGGAGGCGGTGGAGGGTCTTATAATGCTGGAAAAAATCAACAAAACGAATGTTGCTATCAATCATCTGGCCATGGTCAGGTGATCATAACCTTACTGTAAAAAGGTACTTTTTGGCATTATTAAGAGAGGTTGTTAGTAATTTTCGAGAATCCAGTGGGATAGATTGTACATTAAAGAACAATATATGCGACAGGCCAATTTCAGCTAAAAACACGTTGACAGAGCTGGTATCTTTGTAAATAGCGATTTGTTTATTTAGCACTCGAGAAAAATCAACTCAAAAACTTTACCTAAAACGGTGGTTTTTTAACTTAACAATAAAGGTAGGTTAATTTTTAAGTTAAAATTGATATATTTAAGTGAATCAAAACTGAAATAGAGACCAAACACGTCGAGTTTTGTCCCAATGGCGTGCGATTTGCAGTAGGAGTACAGCAAGTAAATGGCCTAACTCCGTGAAAATGCATGCTATATATTTTGGTCTGGCGCGCTCGCTTTTCACGGGCCAAAAATAATATTTTTACATGATAAACACGAAGCATTTCTCGTTGAAAAGAGCTCTTTTATTTTATGTACATTTGTATACCCTCGATGTCATGGTCGTCTGAAATATAGAAAAATTCAGCTTACAAACGGAACAGAAAATATAGTGTACTTTACGCGGGTGGTTACAAACGAAAGAAAGTTCAGTTGGAGATGAAATATAGTTACAAAGCTACTTCAAGAGATGAAAAATAACTTATGAAAAAATAAATCCAAGATAATTTTTCGTTGTCTTGTACGAGCGTTGTGAAAATGCACTGAAAGCCCAATAGAAATTATGCAAATTAGGTACGTTTTGGCCGATTTCGAACTTTCGTATTTTTAAATTTTAAATTTTAGAAGGTCTAACATCTCGTGTTTCAAATAAACAAAATGAAAGATATCATTTCTGGCCTGATTGCAGTCTAGGCAATCTTAAAGCAGCAATACAAATTTCATTCAAAACTCATTTAGAGTATTGCCCGCTTTTCCTTCCTCATATAATTTCTGTCTCTCATAATTGTCACAATTAGTGAAAATAAAACGGAAATCATTTCCTAAATTTAAACTTGAAACTGATTTAATTACCGTTAGAATTTGAAAGGAAAATAGAGAAGAGTATGCACATTGACTTATTTAAGTCTGACGAGTTTGTTAAGATGTCACCTTTATTTGAGCTTTTGTAAAGGCGTAAAAACTCTTTTAAAATATCCTCATTCAGTCTGCAGCAGATTAAATTTCATCATGCTCTGCTTGGCTTTGACAATAAGATGAAAACTGAGTGAATGTATATTTATACTCAAATTGTTATATCATGAGAATCACAACTGATGAAAGCAGCAGTTGTTTTCCAAAAATTAATCAGCATCCACATGATGTACAATGCTTCAGCTTGATAGCAAGGGTGCCAAGTTTAAATAGGAGAGCTGTGCTGACAACGTCCTGCATTTTATCCTCCTTTGGATATTTGCGCGAAGAATTTGGTCAGCATCACTGAAACATTCAATCTTATTGTCCGCTGAACCTAAAAGAAGATGATAACCTCCTTATTTGTTGACCGAAGACTGGAAAACCATAGTTCTTGATACCACTAAAAAAAAAACAGAAAAACCGTAACTCAGTGCCCCTCCTCCTCCCCTTAACGTGACGATTGTTTGATATGTATTTTAATTGCTAAAAATTAATAAGTAAATTTTGTTGCGAAGCTGGTAATTTTTTCATGTACATTATCAGTCCCCCAATTCTCTTGAACGAAGTCTTCAACAGCCAGTGAGAAGTTCTGCTAAAGTGAAGGGCTGGAAAATAAACTCTAGCTCCGCCTCTAGGCTTGCTTCAATCTACATATTACGCGTATCGAGAGATTGCATGTTCACCTTAAGAGGCTAGCGAAGGGTTTATACGTGACGTGTGATTAAGGCCAAAATTAATATGTGATGCGTGACAGAAAAGCGAGGGTGATTCATGAATTTATCAACCAACGTGAGGCGAGATTTGTCTTCTGAAATATATGTGAGCCGTAAATTTTTTTCTTGCATTTCTTCAAAACGTCAAGATTTTCCTGAAACTTCACACACAAGAGTAAGGAGTTGAAGTTTTCCTTTTTATAAACGTGACGCATGAATTTTTGATGTTTCGCTCATTGAATTCTCCTCTTGGGTCTCGTGACAGGATGCCTAAGATATATTAACTAACCCTAACAGCTTGAAAGTATCACTGGATTTTGGACTTTATCTGGGCACCCCTTTAGTACGCCTCAGCGGTATTACAGTGCTGTCTAATTTTGTCATTAGTACTTTGGCGCGACCGGGTTACCCAAAACTGCAAACCATACCCCGACCAGAACCGCTCTATACTCTGCCAGAATTTACTAACAGTGCGTGATGTCTTGAGATCAAATGAAAGGTTGTAAGCTATAGCTAGAGCAGACTTTGTTATTGATGTATGAAAGACCTCCCATAGATTCAGCTGTGACTACAAAAACAAACGAATTGCTTCAGCAGACACGTTCACAGCATAATATTTCCATCATACGTAAGCAAACATTATCACCAATGAAGGAGGGAGGGGAGAGGGCTCGTACAGGATTAAAGTTTTAGTCTCTATTAAGTAAAAGAATGATTAATAGCTATTTAAATGGCTGCAGAACAGGGCAATCAAGACAATAATATCGAGCTTCATGACTTCAAAGCGCGAACAAAAAATCAAATAGTAGGCAGAACAAAAAGTGCTCTTGTGGGAATGCTCTGAGAGAGAGGAAGTGTATATATCTGAGGTCACGTATGACGTAAATAAGCTAAAGCCGGAAAGGGAAGTTTTCAAATGGAGATGGTCCCCTAAAGCGCTTCAACTGACCTGTACGTGAATTAAAACTTTCACCATTGTATCTCCATTTGCCATGGATAACTGCGTACCAGATACAAAAATGACCACCAGAAAAAGAGACCGTTACGTCATATTTTCCATGTGCTCTTTTACTTTATCGGTCATTTCAATTGTGTTGGGTTTTGCTCTGTTTACGAGAATAGAAAGTGTCGCCCGAGACTTGAGGACAATGGACACGAAATTCTCACTGCAAATTCAGCAAATCCGAGACATTCTAAGAGAAAGTTCAGCCTCTTCCCGCGGGAGCGAAAACTTTGACACATCAAATGGTAGGGTGACTGAGAACTTACTCTGAATTATTTCTCCCAAATTTTGTCCTTGTGTATATGCTCTCTTTTATATAGTATACGGTATCTGTATTTCTTGTCTGGACATTGGATGGAAGAACGATAAGACTGCAGGCACGAGAATTTTATCACGCAGCGACTAATGTAATTTTTTTAATATTAATTCAGCAGTCTTTCAAAACTTAACATCAAGACAGGCTCGTGTTTTTTTTTAATTTTGACTACGGCCACCCAATATTAGGCTAGTAGCTTTAATCACTATATGGTAAAGTAATAACATGATTTCGAGTTCAATTTGATGTTAGTTAGCGAGAATAAATTTTTCAAAGACAACGAAATTACCCGAGCCCGTAGGGCAAGTAAAAGCGCGCGCGTAAATTACACTCGTGTTTGCATTACAACTTTGCACTCGTGTTACATGAGAACGCGTAATTTTTTTCATGTGCGTTATTAATAACGAAACAAGTAACGAATGGCGAGGCCAACCAGACTTCAGAAATTGAGTTAGAACGCAAGTAAGATTTATACAACATTAATATGTTAGCTTGGTTAAAAGGGCACGATATCAACTATCAAAGGTTCTTGTTCTATCCAGAAGCATCTGCGCTCGAGCACATTCACCTTAGATATTTATTTAAATTTTTGCAAATCGCCTGATCCAGATTATATCGTCTACTCCAATGACTGATTAAATGCGGAAATTCTAGCCAGTCTTCAAAAATTAATAAAGAATATGTCGATATTGAATGCAGCCAAAATATACTTGAAACATCAATCAATGATTTTACTTTGTTTATTTTAGCCATCCGATACAAAATTCCAGTTGTTCGTCGCAGCGTGGATACAGTTGACGGCAATGAATCGATTAGCCTCTATGACCTTGGAGAGTCCATCAAGAGATACGTGCGATCGATTATGAAAGGATATATTTGTCAAAGTCCAAACAGGGTTTGCGTGGCAGGGTCTCCCGGACCAATAGGAGCTCGTGGTCTTCCAGGAAAGAGAGGGCCTGAAGGAATCAGGGGGAAGAAGGGAACGCGAGGAATTATGGGACCTCCAGGAAAACCGGGAGGGCAAGGTATCAAGGGAGACATTGGCCCTCAAGGAATCAAGGGAGAAAAAGGTAAACAATAAGATAACGATGATAATCATGATCATAATAATGACAAAAGTAAAACTTAATTTAAAAAATTGTTGTGGTCAAAAACTATTACAATGATGGTTCACGATGATAGTTCCAATGTACTTCTGTTTTATTTTAGCAACTTTTTCATTTTCATCTGTGTATATATTTTTTCATCGTTTCATTTGCAACATTGCTTGATGCTTAGAGTGCGTATATCGAGGTATATACAAAGGGGAAGTTCGGTGAGCACGAGAGTAGGAGAAGAATCGTACAATAATAAAGCCATTTTTCCTCATTGTTGTTAAGCTTACGTTACACATATGATCTTTTATGTGTCCCTATCTAAAGGAGCGATCTTTAATGATTATCATTTCATTATTTCCTTTAACTGGCAACTATCTTTTTCTCAGGAAACCCAGGGACACCTGGACAACCAGGAGCTAAAGGTGAACCAGGCGAGTCCTTATCTTCACCAAAGGTGACTGTATCACCGACTTCAGACACTGTTACTGAAAACCAAACTGCCACGTTTTATTGCTCAGCTAATGGGAATCCAACGCCTACCGTCACCTGGAGTAGAACAGGTGATACGGAACCAATTTCAAGCCCACATAATAAGTTGGAAATCAGAAAAGCTACGTATAATGACTCGGGAGATTACGTTTGCACGGCCAAGAGCATATTGGGTGAGGTGCAAAAGCAGGTGAAGCTCTTTGTTGAAGGTAAGCATACTTTGGAGAGTAGAGTTTTTTACTGTTAGCAGTTGTGACCCTCATGAGTTTTTCTTTAATTTCTTATCTTAGCTGATGTAAATCTTCACGGAAAGACTTCAACTAAGGTGATTCCTCAGAAAAAAAAGTTACCCAGGAATTTTTTTTAACTTTCCCTAAATGTTTCCTACCCATGTCTGTTTCAAAAAAATACAATGAAAACGATAAGTCGCCATGCTTCTTTAAGAGATACGATGGGCCAAACTTATCTCATTTATACCTGTACTGGCACTAATCACGCAAGTTATTTTATCGGTTCACGGTACATTTTGCGTTTAGCTGGAAGCAAGGCTTTTCAAAGTAACAAGAAATAAAATTGATAAGTAGAACGTTTCGAGCGTTTGAAACATTTTGATATATGATTTAAGGAAAATCACGACATCTGCTCCAAACGTTCCTTGAGTCGTTGTTTTCAAGGTTATAATTTGCATCAGTGGGTAACGGGCTTCGCGCACGTTTTTAGCTTTATCTCTGTTTCCTTTCGATGAATTTTTTCTTTAGATTTTCTGATTTAAAGGGGATAATTTGTACACCAAAACCATGCAATAAAAAATATAGTTTACTGTGCTCTTTTAAGAGCATAAGACCATAAAACCTCTTTACCTGGTCCATTGATTGAAAATACAATACTACTCTCTGGGAAAGCGCGTGCGCTTATTCGCCTGATTGCGTGATTTTGTGCGCAGTACAGGATGCACAGTGCAATACCAAGAATCACCGTAACTCTTTATTTATTATGATAGTAAGTTTGATAATAGCAAAAATGATAATGATAATGAAATCTATGATAAATATCAATGATAATCACGATGATAATTATTTTAATAATAATACCAACAATAAAGATAATAATAATTACTCTAATGATGAAAAATACTAAAGGTCTCTATTCATGGTCTATATTCTGTATTTTTTCTCTCAATGTTACTGCAATTATAATTTTTTTCTTTTGTCTTAAGCTTTTGATTTTACTGACGTAGGTCTTCTAAAACTCTTTCCAAGGAATAAAATAATATTTGACCTGAACTTTATACCTGGATTTCAGATGAAAATTTGGAATGCTTACTAAATCAATTTTAAACGTAGATAGAGGAAGATGCAAGTCGGAATAATAATATATCACGAGGCTCGAATTAGTCCATTAAGCAACTACTTGACCCTGGCAAGGGAGAAAAGCTTATTGGTGATCACAGTTTTGAATATGAATGGTTGGAGAGCATAGAAAAGCAGGTTTTGTTTGTATTTTTTTTTCCTTTTTTTCAAAAAAAGTGAGCCAAGATTTTTGAGAATTGTTAAGTGAACTTAGATAAAATTTTTTTTTTCCGTTATATTCCTCAGTTCCTCCACGATTCACTAAAACTCCAAACAGAGTTATTACAGTCAATAGAGGTAAAAACGCATCTGCTTCTTGCCAAGCGTTTGGTTTTCCTTCGCCAAAAATAGTCTGGTCAAGAGGACTTGTCCCGTTACCACAAGGTCGAACAAGTGTCAGCAATGGAACTCTACATATATCAGACTTTGATCCTAAAGATTCTGGTACGTACCAATGTACCGCGTCCAACAAGCTGGGATCTGTTAATGCTTTGACAACCCTAAATTATAAACACACAGGTATGTCTGGGGACGATTTTGTTCGTGGCAATTTTTGAGAACTAGCGATGTCGTCTTACCTTCGAACTTTGCACTGACCCAAAAACTTCCAAAGCATTACATAAAAATACTATTGGCAGACACTATATAGTTGTAAGTTAATATCCACTTAGACACACACGTGGCAAGCCTCTTGACTGAGCTAAGCTGAAAGTGACATCTTTGTTCATATCGATGATTGAGAAAACGTTGTTTTGGTCATTGTCAGAAATTAAGAGCTAATGTCAGCATGCATCAAACAAACAGCGGCAAGTCACCCAAATTCGTTTTCTCTTCTTCTTTCATATTTTGTAGCCCAATATGTTCTTACAATTGTGGTGTAGTTTTTTTGTAAAAATTTATTTCAGTTTTCGAGAAATAATTTTTTTTCGTTCGACCGCTCAAATATGCAATTTTTCACCGTGAATATTACACGAGTTGTGTGACCTCATGTAACGAATGTACTAGACCTACGGTAATTTTGTCAACATAATCCTTTGTTTTATCATCTAAACTTAATCCCCTGACGTTATTGAAGCTGGCAAAGAAATATTTATTTTTTGGTGAATATTTTTGTCCGACATACTTTTCCTATGTCGAAAAGTAGCAGCAAAACAAAGACAGTTTTAACAATGACCGGTATGACACAATCTACTGAGCTTCAAGCATTTATAAGACAAAAGGATGGTTATAAAGTTACGGTAAAAATTTCTTTGTGTATTTGTGTTGTTCTATCTTGAGACGAACTCAAAGTCCGGCAAAATTTACTTGATAGCGACTATGAAATATACATGGTGCGCCTACTTGTCGCCACAGTTAACTGGCATAAATCATTACAATTTGCAAAAAAATCTAACACAACACTCTTACATTGTTTATCTATGATGTTATTAGCTGTTTCGATGATCACGTCAATTATGCTCTACCACATTCTAGCCAGATTTGAGTTCCAGTTTATATATCTTCTCTAACTTATTATATCAGTTGCGTGACAAGCGTGACACAGAAACAGAGATGGGTTTTTTTTCCTCTTTGCATAACTCTAGAAAAACCTTTCAGGAATTACTGCATTCAGTAAACTAAAATGTCCAGATCCATCAATGATTCCTTTGCCGGCTGAAGTCAAAGTATGGTTACAGTAGTCAATTTGATTGACAAGCTACATACTGATTTAGCTAACTGATCTGTTTTATGAGCGTCTCATCTTACATGGTAATATGGAGATTTGCTATTTAGTTAAATCGTTCGCTGGTGGAACTTGTGGGTTTAGTTATCGAGAAGACCAAGTCGTTCTCTTGCGTCATTGTTAAAAAGACATTTCAAGTCACTTGCGGAGTTGCAAGTTTTCAGATCCAGAAAATGAAGTTGATCTTGTTTTGCCGCGTGCCGGCATCTTCGAGACGCCAAAAGATATCGACGATTTTACAAATTGCCCCACTCACAGATCAAATCTCGGTGTTGGGTGGAATCGTGGTTCCAATAGCAGATGTAGGCTGCCAAAAGAAATGTCCGACTATGGTAAAGGAAGGGTTAAGTCGATTCCAAAAACTGATAGGGAAATTGGCAAGCGTTTATCAGTGATAGTAATCAAGATGTCTGGAAAATTCGTACAATCTGGCTTGGGTAAGTAGGCTACTTACCACCGTGAGCAAAATTACGCGTGACGTCAGAGTTAAGTTTCGATTGGCAATTGGTCAATAGGCTACCAAAAATTCAGACAGAGACGGAATTTTCTGAACTAATGTCTGAACACATTGCTGGCTTTCCGCTGTCTGGGGGGACGCGTAATTATGCACACGGTGGTAAAGGGCCCTTCCGCACCAGCAACTAGACGCTGACAAAACATGTTTCTCTTCGCCAAAATCACATCAGAATTTGTCCTTGCTAAATGTCAAGTGTGCTGCACGTATTAGCAACCCCAGGGGACCCTTTACATAAGAGGGCGGGGGTGCGCGCCCGGAATTTCAAAAACGACGGCTATAAAATTATAAAAGGTGCTTAAGTCTTATCCGTGTGGGAGTGGCAACAATCAGCCTGTAAAAACGAGTGTTCATATCCTTTTCTGTCTTTTTCAATGCTTCCCTCGCTCCTACAGAGGATTCATACAAATATGAGAGCCGTGCCGCGTTTACATTGTACAGGTAGAAAAGGTCTTCCAGAATGAGTGTTTCGTTCTATAATGAAAACCCAATAAACTCACTCAGAAATGACTTATTTCGGATAAATTTTACGCTGGTTATTATGTGGCAACCGGTATGAACTCGTTCTTGTATAAAACTCATTCGGATATCATGTAAAAGGCCCCTAAAAGTTTTTACTCCCAGAGCATCACGCTTTGCTCGCCTGTCTGAATACTAAAAATTTCGGTAGCGTTGAAGCAACAACCCGATTTTTATTGCTTCGCTGCCGCTGAAACTACGATTAGTGAAGAAAGTACATATTTTAATATTTTCAATTCAATGTAAACAAAAGTCTTTATAAATGGTAAATATTCACTCTTGTCGGTATCAATTATTGCGTGACTAGCTTATGATATAAATAAGGGAGGGGAAAACACAACGCAAAACCTGAGCTCCTGTCAAAAAGTAATACCCAGGCGTAATATGATAATAGAAACAGCTTATAAAATCATAAATAAACAAGGTAAGAGTGTTACGTTAGATTTTTCTACAAATTGTTGTGATTTATTCCAATTGACGGCGGCGACAAGTAGGCGCACCATGTACATTTCATAGTCGGTATATAGTAAATTTTGCCGGACTTTGAGTTCGTCTCAAGATAGAATAACACAAATACACAAAGAAATTTTTACAGTAACTTTATAACCATCCTTTGGTCTTTTAAAAGCTTGAAGCTCAGTAGATTGTGTCATATCGGTCGTTGTTAAAACTGTCTTTGTTTTGCTGCTACTTTTCGACATAGGAAAAGTATGTTGGACAAAAATATTCACCAAAAAATAAATATTTCTTTGCCAGCTTCAATAACGACAGGGGATTAAGTTTAGATGATAAAACAAAGGATTATGTTCACAGAAATACCAGTAGGTCCAGTACATTCGTTACATGAGGTCACACAACTCGTGTAATATTCACGGTGAAAATTTGCATATTTGAGCGGTCGAACGAAAAAAGTCATTTCTCGAAAACTAAAATATATTTTCACAAAAAACTACACCAAAATTATTAGAACATATTGGGATATACAAAATATGAAAGAAAGAGAGAAAACGAATTTTGGGCGACTTACCACAATATTTCAAATTTGTTCGATGGATGCTGACATCCACTCTTAATACGTACTTGTCTTACGTTTGGGAGCGAACTTCCGAAAGGGCAAATTCACCAGTTACCAAATTACCAAGTAATCCTCTCGACTTCCAAAGGGAAATTATTTAACCATATTAAATTCTCCTTTTGCGACTGACGGTTGCAAAGTCTAGCCCTGCATTCAATTTGAAAACTTCAGTCCTCGAAACCAGGAGCCCATTTCTCCAAAGAATTACTCCAAGTAATGGGCTTCTCCCGAAACTTATTATTTTCATCAAGAGTAAATTAGAACAACAAACTTTTATCAATTACTTACGCGACTCAGAACCATTCAATTCTAAACATCATACGCTATTTTATGTTGTTATTTTATTGATAAAGCATCCTTTGGGGCCGTCTTTACAAATCTTGGTGCGAGCGGAAGATTTGGTCCAACAACGCTGGGCAGTTACTATACAGGTCAGGATCACGACGGACAAGTGAAATTGTCGAGCGGTATTCAACAATGGACTGTGCCGTACACTGGTGAATACAGAGTAGAAGCAATAGGAGCAGCTGGAGGGTACGGTAAGACCAAGGACAAAAAGAGCAGCACCTCTAGTTACAGAGGAAGAGGTGCAAGAATGGTTGGAAGTTTCAGTTTATCAAAAGGTGAGATTATTCACATACTTGTTGGTCAAGAAGGAACAATCAACAACAGTCCAAAGTATCCGTTCGCTAGTGGAGGTGGTGGAGGGACATTTGTCGTTAGAGGTGGTAGTACACCCTTAATAATAGCTGGAGGTGGTGGGGGCATGGATACATTACTTTCAAGGCAGCCTGGATGCGACGCCAGTGTAAGCACAACAGGGAATCCTGGATACAGATCATGGTCAGGGGGGAGCAATGGACATGGTGCACAGACTGCTGATAATGATAATTCTGGTAAGGTTATAGCACGATCACATAACCCTCTTCAGCTTTGTGCGCTGAAGCTGCCGTGTCTTCTTGTGTAATATATAGGAGTGTACAAAGTCGAATGGGATCTTGCTACTTTTAAGAAGTAACTAATAATCTGTTTAACAAATAGACACCTTGACTGTCCTTTATTCTGTTGTAAAGCACGTAGGAAGCGGCCAGAGCACGGAAGAAGTGAGGGAGAAACACGAGACGTGGCCAAATGTTTCTCTCTACTTCTTGAGCTCTGTGCATAAAGGGTTTTAGCGCAAGTCTTATCCAGTTGCATTGAGGGGTCATTTTACCATGTTAGTCGTATTACGTTACTAACCTGGTGGAAATCGTTTGATAGATTTTTTGTGATATTCTGATAATACCAAGGGAAAGGTTCTATATGGTCTAGCGTTTTTATAAAGACATGAAATAAATCGAAAGGTGGAATTAATCAGAGGAGTTTTAAGATAATTTAGCTTAATTTGATAAAGTTTGTGTTCATAGTTACATCAATAGTTCAGCTCTTGAAAACTGGCATTTAAAGTATGTCCTTTCTCATCGGAAAATTGAGTTTAGTATGTATCACAGGAGATTAAGTGATTATGATATTTTTCGACAATTAAGATGTATTTCCCCTCCTTTCATCTTGCCTACATTTTTCTTAAGAGTGTATTTGATAATAACTGCATTTTTGGTTCAAAAATATTTCCCCCAGTTGACTATGTAGAGAAATTATCATTCATTTCTTTATTTTCTTTTGTTTTTACTATATTTCATTCTTGTTATGACTTTAATAACAGGTGGCGGCGGGGGCGGTTTTTACTCCAGTGGAAGAAGTTCCAAGATGTTTGGTGGCACCATGGGAGATGGTGGAGAAGGTGGCAAAGGTTTTCTTCAAGGAGGAGTGGGTGGAAGAGCCAAATTTGACAATATTGCGGGTGGTTTTGGTGGTGGTGGTGGTTCAACTGGTTTGGGGGGAGGCGCCGGAGGAGGAGGAGGGTACTCTGGGGGGAGCAGCGGAGATAATGAATACGATTCCTGTGGGGGTGGGGGAGGCTCCTACAATGTTGGTAAAGATCAGCAGAGTGAATGTTGTTATAATGCAGCTGGTCACGGTCGGGTGATCATTACACTGCTGTAGGAAGATCAGATCGATAAACTTCGAAAACTGTATCTTTGATTTCAAACCGCTTGCTTGTATTGGTAGCCGTTGGAAATAAAGTGTGACAACCTTGAAAATATTAGTTTGGTTTTTTTGGTCTAAAATTTAGAGAGGCTGACGCAGACACATTCCCATTCCAGGCTCTTATTCAATGCAGTTGAAATAAAATGCGGGCGAAGGAGAAACGCTTCAAAGTGCAAAATTCTGTACAAAAATCGAGGGAAAGCGATTCTTTATTTGTTACGATTGCTATCGAATACCAATCAAACTTCTCCTTTTAAGAAACACAGGGTTCTCGTAATTACATAATTATTTACAATTAGTACATTAAATTACACTAATTGAGAGACCTGCCCGGTTCATGAACTAAATCACCTGACAGCTTCCTACTTCATATTAACTCCTTGCCAAAACTTGACTTTTCAAACTGTAAATGAGCTGTTCTGGAACCCAGTAAGATGCTCTCCTTACTAATGAAATGAGGAATTTTTCAGAGCCTGTTAAGGTCTTTAAATTCGAACTTACTTTGTCTTTGGGGGATGATTCAGGCTCGTGGGTCAGTCATTAATGGTAAAGAATTTAGAAACCATGAAAGTATCAAATGAGAAATACGATTCAGAACCCATGTGATTTCATCTCCACCATTAGAAATTATATTCATTGTTTTTTGTACTTCCCATCACGTTTAAATATTCCAAATAACAGCTTAACCTTTCAAAATTTCTATTCCAATATGCTGGAAATATGTGATATTGACCAAGCGTGACATCAACGTGGGTGGGTAATTTTAAACTGAGTTGATGACGTAAATTTGCCACCGTGAAGAGTTTACAAAGCGGACGTTTCGAGCGTTAGCCCTTCGTCAGAGCGAATGACCACAGTTTCTTTAAAAACGTACCCCCTTTATGGCTAGATGTTTGCCGATTTGTTTGTTTTTTTGCGTTTTTATGGACCGAGACGAAATCGAGGTCCATAAAAAGGCCAAAAAGAACGAGGCTAATACCCAGTCTTCTTGACCGAACAAGATTGGTCAATAAAAGCCAACAGGATTGGCACAATAAACCCACGAGAGTCAGTAACGTTTTCTTTGTTTTGACTTTGCTTTGACTTTGTTTGGCCACTTTTTACGACTCCATTGGAGAAATCTACCAAAAGTTAGGTTCTTTGTTATTCGTTCCACCAATTTTTCTTTTTCTTTCGCGAGGTCATAGCAGGCAATCCCGAACGGGCAAGATGAACCGGTCCGTACCTGCCTCGGAAGCCAATCAGAACATAGATTTCGCTGAAAAAAAGCAAGTAGCTTGTTCATCCACGGCCAAATGGTGACCGGAGATAAAAATCAGAAATTTAGTTCAGATTTGCTCCTCGCGATATTCTTAGACAGATTAACAGGAGATGTAAAGCCAGGTGACCTCAATTTTATAAAACGTACAAGCAATTTTCAATTTCATAAGTCTCACAATAAAAACAGATAAAAGTCGGCTTATAAAGTATAGTGGGGGAGGTTTTTTCGCTGATATTCAGGGATAACTTAGAAATTGCGTGACATAATTCTTAATAAATTAAATACATGTGAGGCTTTTGACATTATAAGACATGTTACTCTTTCTGTCTCACTTCAAGTGTGTCTATTTCTTTCTTTTTGTTTATTGTGTTTGTTTATCTTTTATGACGCACACGCTAGTGGGATTTAGTTGATGTTTTCTAGTCTTAAATAGAGAAAAAACATTTTTCTACCACGCTATCGAAGAACTGCAAGGGGAAGAAAACCTTGGTCACTTGTCAAAATTAAAGTAAAAAAATTCTTCTTCGTCACTTCCTACCAAATTTGACGACTCACTCATTTAATTCTCCTTTTGGGTCTCGTGACAGGATGCCTGAGAGATGTTTACTAACATAACCCTAACAGCTTTAAAGTATCACCGGATTTTGGACTTAATCTGGGCACCTTTATAGTATGCTTCGGCGGCATAACAATGCCGTCTAATTTGGTCATTAGTACTTTGGCTTGCTCGGGTCGCGAAAAATTGCATACCAAACTTCAACCAGAAGCGCTAGATACACTGCAGGAACTTACTAGCAGTGCGTGATATCTTGAATCATGTTTTAAACATGATTTCTTCCCGAGTCAACTGAAATGTCGTAAGCTACAGCTAAGGCAGACCTTGTTATTGATGTATGACAGACTTCCCGCAGATTCCCACAGCGCTGTGATAACAAGAACAACCGACTCGCTTCAGCAAACACGTTCATAGGATAGTATTTCCATCATAACATCATTCGCCAATGAAGAGGGAGGGGGGGGGCAGTTGGAAGGGGCCCGTACAAGATTATAATTTTTAGTCAAAATCAAGAAATATAATGATTAATAGCTATTGAAACGGCTATAGAACAGGACACTCAAGACAGCAATATCTTCGGCGATGCTTCATGATCTCACAGCGCGAACATTACGAATTTAACAGTAATCAGAGCAAAAAGTGCTCCTGTGGGAATACTTTGCGTGATATAACGAGAGAGGAAGTAAATATCTAAGGTCACGTAAGAGGTAAATAAGCTAAAGCCAGAAGGGAAGTTTTCAAATTGAGATGGTCCGCTGAGGCGCTTCAAATAACTTGTACATGAATTTACCCTTTCATTATTGTATCTCAACTCACCATGGATAAAAGCGTACGAGATACAAAAATGACCACTGGAAAAAGAGACCGTAGAGAAATGTTTTACATATGCTCTTCAACGCTATCGGTCATTGCAATTGTGTTGGGTTTCGCTCTGTTCGCGAGAATAGAAACTGTCTCCCAGGATTTGAGGACAATTGACACAAAATTCTCGCTGCAAATTCAGCAAATCCGAGACATTCTCAAGGAAAGTGCAGCCCCTTCCCGCGTGAGCGAAAACTTTGCCAAATCAAATGGTAGGGTGACTGAGAACTTACGCTGAATTTTTCTAGTTTTTAGCCTAAATTTTCTTTATTATGTATATGTTCTTTTCTATAATTATAGTATGAGGAATCTGTGTTTTTTGTCTGAACATTGGATAGAAGAACAGTAAGGTTACAGGCACAAGAATTCTATCACGCATTTAATTCATGGGCGACTAATTTAATTTAATTTTTTTTATCTACAGAGACAAAAATTAGGCTTGTAGCTATACTCGCTATATGTATAGGTAATAAAATGATTTCGAGTGAAATTTGGCGTTAAATTAGCACGAGGATACTTTTAAAAACAACAAAATTGCCCTAGCCCGTAGAGCATCTGAAAGCGTGCGCGCGCTATCTCTAATTTGCACTCGTGTTACAACTTTGCATTCGTGTTACATGAGAATTGTCATTTACATTTTTGATAACGAAACAAGTAACGAATAGCAAAGCCAAGCCGACTGAAAAATTGTATTAGAATGCTGACAAGATTTATATTACGTACATTAATACGCTAGATTCGTTAAAGGGCACAACGTCAACCATCCAAGGTTCTTTAGCCCATAATCATCTGAGCTCGAGTACACACGCTTTAAAATGTATTTAGATTTTTTTAATTCGCCTGATCCGGATTATGTCGTCTGCTCCAATGATTGAATGCGGAAATTCTCACAATTCTTACAAAATTATCAAAGAATATGTCAATATTTATTGCAGCCAAAATATATTGGAAACGTTAGTCAATGGTTTTACTTTGTTTACTTTAGCCATCCGATACAAAATTCCAGTTGTTCGTCGCAGCGTGGATACAGTCAACGGCAATGAATCGATTAGCCTCTCTGACCTTGGAGCGGCTATCAAGAGATACGTGCGATCGACTATGAAAGGATATGTCTGTCAGAGTCCAGACAGGGTTTGTGTGGCAGGGTCCCCCGGACCAATAGGAGCTCGTGGTCTTCCAGGAAAGAGAGGGCCTAAAGGAATTAGAGGAAAAAAGGGAACGCGAGGAGTTGTGGGACCTCCAGGAGGACCGGGAAAGCAAGGCATCAAGGGAGATATTGGCCCTCAAGGAATCAAGGGAGAAAAAGGTAAACAGTAAGATAACGATGACAATCCGAACAATGATAATGACAAAAGTAAAAGTTATTGAAAAAAAAAAAAAAGAGAGAAAAAAGAAAAGAAAAAAAATTTGTGGTCAAAAACTATCACAGTAATAAATCGCGATGATAGATTTTTTCGGATGTGCTTTTGTTTGATTTTAACAACTCATTCATTTTTATCCGTGTATATTTCTTTTCATCGCATCATTTGCAACATTGCTTAATGTTTAGCCTTTGTATATCGAGGTATGAAAACAAGGGGGAAATGTGGAGAGCACTAGAGAAGTATCAGAGTTTTTTTTTTTTTCACAGTCGTATAGTAAAAAAGCCGTTTTTTATACGTTGCACCTATAATCTTTCCTATGTCTCTATCTAAAGGAGCGATCTTTAATGAATAATATTTCATTATGCCTTTTAACTGGCAACTCTCCTTTCCTCAGGAAACCCATGATCTTTTACATGTCTCTACCTAAAGTAGCTATATTTGATGATTACCATTTAATTATTTCCTTAAACTGGCAACTCGCCTTTTCTTAGGGAACCCAGGGACACCTGGACAACCAGGAGCTAAAGGTGAACCAGGCGAGTCCTTATCTGCACCAAAGGTGACTGTATCACCGACTTCAGACACTGTTACTGAAAACCAAACTGCCACGTTTTTATTGCTCGGCTGATGGGAATCCAACGCCTACAGTCACCTGGAGTAGAACAGGTGATACGGAACCAATTTCAAGCCCACATAATAAGTTGGAAATCAGAAAAGCTACGTATAATGACTCGGGAGATTACGTTTGCACGGCCAAGAGCATATTGGGTGAGGTGCATAGGCAGGTGAAGCTCTTTGTCGAAGGTAAGCATGCTTTGGAGAGTAAAGTATTTACTGTTAGCAGTTGTGACCGTAATGAGTTTTTCTTTGATTTCTTATCTTACTTGATGCAAATCTTCACGGAAAGACTTCAATTAAGGTGATTCCTCAGAAAAAAAAGTTACCCAGCAATTTTTTTTGACTTCCCCTAAATGTTTCCTACCCATGTCTGTTCCCATGTCTGTCTGTCCATGTCTGTCTGTTTCAAAAAAATACAATGAAAACGATAAGTCACCATGCTTCTTTAAGAGATATGATGGGCCAAACTTACCTCATTTATGCCTGTACTGGCACTAATCAAGCAAGTTATTTAAACGGTTCACTGTACATTTTGCGTTTAGCTGGAAGCAAGGGTTTTCAAAGTAACAAGAAATAAAATTGATAAGTAGAACGTCTCGAGTGTCTGGAACATTTTGATATACGATTTAGGGAAAAATCACACAATTTTAAACGACATCTACTCAAAACGTTCCTTGAGTCGTTGCTTTCAAGGTTGTTATTTGCATCAGTGGGTATTGGGCTCCGTGCACGTTTTTAGCTTTATCTCTGTTTCCCTTCGATGAATTTCTCTTTAGATTTTCTAATTTAAAGGGGATCATTTGTACACCAAAATCATGCAATAAAAATATAGTTCACCGTGATCTTTTAAGAGCATAAGACCATTACACCTCTTTACCTGGTCCATTGATTGAAAAACAATACTATTCTCTCGGAAAGCGCGTGCGCTTATTCGCCTGATTGCGTGATTTTGCGTGCAGTACAGGATGCACAGTGCAATACCAAGAATCACCGTAACTCTTTGTTTATTATGATAGTAATTAAGTTTGATAATAGCAAAAATGATAATGATAATAAAATTTATAACAAATATCAACTGATAATCACAATGATAATTATTTTTAAAATAATACTAACTATAAAGATAATAATAATTACTCTAATGATGAAAATACTAAAGGTCTGCATTCATGGTCTATTCTTTCTCTCATCGTTACTGCAATTATGATTTTTTCTTTTGTCTTAAGCTTTTAATTTTACTGACGTAGGTCTTCTAAAACTCTTTCCAAGGAATAAAATAATATTTGACCTGAACTTTATACCTGGATTTCAGATGAAAATTTGGAATGCCTACTTAATCAATTTTGAACGTAGATAGAAGGAGATGCAAGTCGGAACAATAATATATCACGAGGCTCGAATTAGTCCTCTAAGCAACTACTTGACCATGGTGAGGGAGAAAAGCCTATTGGTGATCACAGTTTCAAATATGAATGGTTGGAGAGCATAGAAAAGCAGTTTTTGTTTGTATCTTTTTCCTTTGTTTTAAAAAAAGTGAGCCAAGATTTTTGAGAATTGTTAAGTGAACTTAGATAAAAACATGTTTTTTCTTTATGTTCCTCAGTTCCTCCACGATTCACTAAAACTCCAAACAGAGTTATTACAGTCAGTAGAGGTACAAACGCATCTGCTTCTTGCCAAGCTTCTGGTTTTCCCTCGCCAAAAATAGTCTGGTCAAGAGGACTTGTCCCGTTACCACAAGGTCGAACAAGCGTCAGCAATGGAACTCTACATATATCAGACTTTGATCCTAAAGATTCTGGCACGTACCAATGTACCGCGTCCAACAAGCTAGGATCTGTTAGTGCTTTGACAACCTTAAATTATATACACACAGGTATGTCTGGGGACGATTTTGTTCGTGGCAATTTTTGAGAACTAGCGATGTCGTCTTACCCTCGAACTTTTCACTGACGCAAAAACTTCCAAAGCATTATATAAAAGTACTATTGGCAGACACTATATAGTTGTAAGTTAATATCCACTTAGACGCACACGAGGCAGACCACTTGACTGAGTTAAGTTGAAAGTGACATCTTTGTTCATATTGATGACTGAGAAAACGTTGTTTTGCTCATAGTAAGAAATTAATACGCTCTTTGGTTGGGTGAACGAGTCGAAGTATTTTGGGGCGAACTGGTGAGGGTGGAGCGAGCTTGTCTTACGTTTGGGGGCGAACTTCCAATGGGGCAAATTCACCAGTTACCAAATTACCAAGTAATCCTCTCGACTTCCAAAGGGAAATTGTTTAACCATATCAAATTCTCCTTTTGCGACTGACGGTTGCAAAGTCTAGCCCTGCATTCAATTTGAAAACTTTAGTCCTCGAAACCAGGAGCCCATTACTCCAAGTAATTACTCCAAGTAATGGGCTTCTCCCGAAACTTATTATTTTCATCAAGAGTAAATTAGAACAACAAACTTTTATCAATTACTTACGCGACTCAGAACCATTCAATTCTAAACATTATACGCTATTTTATGTTGATAAAGCACCCTTTAGGGCCGTCTTTACAAATCTTGGTGCGAGCGGAAGATTTGGTCCAACAACGCTGGGCAGTTACTATACAGGTCAGGATCACGACGGACAAGTGAAATTGTCGAGCGGTATTCAACAATGGACTGTGCCGTACACTGGTGAATATAGAGTAGAAACAGTAGGAGCAGCAGGAGGGTACGGTAAGACCAAGGACAAAAAAAGAAGCGCCTCTAGTTACAGAGGAAGAGGTGCAAGAATGGTTGGAAGTTTCAGTTTATCCAAAGGTGAGATTATTCACATACTTGTTGGTCAAGAAGGAACGATCAACAACAGTCCAAAGTTTCCGTTCGCTAGTGGAGGTGGTGGAGGGACATTTGTCGTTAGAGGTGGTATTACACCCTTAATAATAGCTGGAGGTGGTGGGGGCGTGGATACATTACTTTCAAGGCAGCCTGGGTGCGACGCCAGTGTAAGCACATCAGGGAATCCTGGATACAGATCATGGTCAGGGGGGAGCAATGGACATGGTGCACAGACTGCTGATAATGATAATTCTGGTAAGGTTGCACTACGATCACGTAACCCTTTTCAGCTTTGTACGCTGAAATTGCTATGCCTTCTCATACGGTAGAAATGTACAAAGTCAAATGGGATCTTGCTTCTTCTAAATAGTAACCAAAGATCCTTCCCCCTATCGCAACGTATATCACGCTCTACTCCTAAGTGTCGAGCACTGTAAAATGGAAAAATCAATACACAGACTTCCTATATATATATATATATGTATGTATGGTGAATTTGATATTTTCTTGTTTTCATTTTATGTTTTTTATATTTTTTTTTTGAAAAAGGTTTTAACGTAAGTCTTATCTACTTGAACTGTGGGGTCTTTCTAAAAAACATAAAATACATCGAAAGGTGGAATTAATAAGAGGAGTTTTAGGATAATTTAACTTAATTTGAAAAAGTTTGTGTTGATAGTTGCAAGAATGGTTCAGCACATGAAAACAAGCATTTAAAGAATGTCCTTTTGCATCGGAAAATTGAGTTTAGCATATATTAAAGGAGATTTGGTGATAATAATATTATGATGTATTTCCCTTCCTTTCCTCTGGCCCACCTCTTCCAGAAAGTGTATTTGATTATAACTGCATTTTTGGTTCAAAAATACTTTCCCCGGTTGATTGTGAAGAGAAATTATTATTAATTTATTTGTTTCCTTTTTTTTTTTCTTTATTTCATTCTTGTTATGACTTTAATAACAGGTGGCGGCGGGGGCGGTTTTTACTCCAGTGGAAGAAGTTCAAAGATGTTTGGTGGCACCATGGGAGATGGTGGAGAAGGTGGCAAAGGTTTCCTTCAGGGAGGGGTGGGTGGAAGAGCCAAATTTAACAATATTGTGGGTGGTTTTGGAGGTGGTGGCGGTTCATATGGACGATCAGGAGGCGCCGGAGGAGGAGGAGGGTACTCTGGGGGAAGCAGTGGAGATAATGAATATGATGCCTGTGGGGGTGGGGGAGGCTCCTATAATGTTGGTAAAGATCAGCAGAGTGAATGTTGTTATAATGCAGCTGGTCACGGTCGGGTGATCATTACACTGTTGTAGCAAGATCAGATCGATAACCTTCGAAAACTATATCTTTGATTTCAAACCGCTTGCTTGTATTGGTAGCCCTTGGAAATAAAAAAGTGTGACAACCTTGAAAATATTCGTTTTTTTGGTCTAAAATTTAGAGAGGCTGATGCAAAAACATTCCCATTCCAGGCTCTTATTCAATGCAGTTGAAAGAAAATGCGGGCGAAGGAGAAACACTTCAAAGTGCAAAATTCTGTACAAAAATCGAGGGAAAGCGATTCTTTATTTGTTACGATTTGCTATCGAATACCAATCAAACTTCTCCTTTTAAGAAACACAGGGTTCTCGTAATTACATAATTATTTACAATTAGTACATTAAATTACACTAATTGAGAGACCTGCCCGGTTCATGAACTAAATCACCTGACAGCTTCCTACTTCATATTAAGTCCTTGCCAAAACAGGTGGTCCGCTCATCGTCGGTTCTAAACTTGTCACGCTACACTCTTGGCTCGTGCTAAGTCCGTCACGTAACGTTGGTTTTATTAACTTGCGGAGGAGAGACCTTGGAAATTCTGGGAGTGAAAAATTATCGGAAAGCAAGGTTGAAATAAGCCCGGCTTTGGTAAAACATTTTATATTTACTTTTTTTTCTCCCGTTGCCTATGTTTTTGTTTTGTTTGGCTTTTCAAACTGCCTCAAACATGGAACTATACAACAACCCTGACAAACAAGAACGAAAACAAAACGAGACAATTATAACAGCGTCAAGTCTACGGTATACTGTACCACGCAAGACTCGACACGGTTCACGATTACAACGATCACATTATTAGCATTTTGAGAACTACGATCAGTCAGCTTGACAAAAACTGACAGCGAAAGCTGTTTCATATCCTAGAGATGAAAGGCCTGTTAAAGTAAGACACAATCTCCCTCACAAGTACAGCGACGCTTTTGTCTTCCTGAATACATTGCAAAACAGCACATTTGAGCCTGCGCTACACTACTACAGCGTTGTCATTTCTTTCATGATCCAGGGCGGGGATTGCGCTGCCGTTTGAGTAGGCGGCTGAAGGGGACTGGGAGCCAGTATCGGACACAGACCTCATCTGGCGTTTGACTTCAAACACCTGACGAAAGGAAACGAAATTTCAACAATTTAATTGATCACTAAGACTAATTCGAGAACATAAAGTCAGTTGGTATACAAGGTCAAGGTTTAGAAAAGTTCAACAGGGAAGAACTGCTTTTCTACTGTGTCTAATGTCTGATTGATTGAAAACCAAAAATCGACAAACAAACAAAAACCAAAACCAGCAAATAAAACAAAAACACAGACAAAAAAAAAAAACAAACAAAGAGAAACAAATTTAAACTACTATTGCAACAGCAGTATTCGGTGCCCCTGAGGATGAGTGTTCATCGGCAATGAGCGAAAAGAGACCTGGGCCTGAGCCTGAACCTGATCACTCGAAACCCAATCAGCACAAACCGTGGGTTTACCGCCTATAAACCCTGTACAAACCTAGATTTGCGCAAATCGCGCCAAGAACAACTTAGGTGTGAGCGGAGAAGAAGAACAGGAAACATCAGTGAAAAATATTTTGTACAACAAATGAAACAAAACATCTCCGCGCACCGTTTGAACCGTTCTAAACCTTGCCCTGCGATTGGTCCAAAAAACTCGCGCCTTCCTCTAGACCAATCAGCCGTACACCGAAAACTAATCATGGTTTGGTCACCCGCGTTTTCCCGCGCATTTAGTAGTTTGCCTGTTTTTAACCTGAGGTTCTCATGAGAACACTCATTCTGTTCATTATCTCTTGGCCATAGTGGTTATTCTTGTTTCGGTCTTTTGATATATCTTTTCACTTTAAGAGCTGTAAATGAAACAAATCTCAAATACCTCACTGATGGCTTGACGGAAGCAGTAGAAGTTGTAGTCTATCAGACCTACGACAAATCATAAGAAATGTTGGAGCTGACTTTCATTATTAGCGCTTCAAGACACGCGTTTCTCACCTTTGGGAAAGATTGGAGACGAGTCGAGGAGAAGTTTGCCGGGGATCTGACACTAAAAATAATCATTGCTAAACACCTGACGGACCCTTCGCTGACTCGCAATTTTAAAGACCTCGTAATTTCCCGCAGGTGAAGAAACACATGTGCGGAAGCGCTGATCATGAAGGACTACTCACACACTGATATGGCGACGAGGTGTGTTCAGTCCTCTTTGAAAAGCTAGATGTAGCGAAAGCAGCTGGCTGACATATTGTATATAGCATCAGAACAAGTCGTAAAAGCATTCCACAAGCAACTTGATACAATATCACACCAAAAAAAGGAACTTCAATAAACTTCCAGGTTACGTTTGCGTTAATTTATTTAAAGACTATAACACGTATCTTTAAACTTTTGACCCTTTAGAACGACTAACATCTATCTTCTCCTCACAATATCACGAGAATAAAAGACATGATCATCAAATAAAGACACTATTGATTGTCTATCAAATTCTTCTTGTTAGCAACTTAAGAAATGTCGAGAAAATAGAACGTAGAATATGCTTACTGATGTTAGGTGGTAAACGGTTACGAAATTTTCAGGTTTTAATCGGAAACAATAGCAATATATGCGAGAAAAAGGGTTGTTCAGCATTTGTTCCAGAATTAGTCGCTCTCAAAACTGAAAAGTGTGCAACATTCATTTAGCTACATTGCACGCTGTACACTGACCTTTTTTCTCGAAGTTGTCTTCTCTTAGAATGCAGACAAGAGCAAGGAATCTGTGAAGAAATCATTAAACTTGAATTGTTTCTGAATATAATGAAAGATGACAAAAATGTGGCCTACTTCATTATTAGAAACGTTACTCACAGTTAAACTTCAATTAACGAAACTGCAGAAAAAAAAGGCCTACCCCATGTAACTCAAATATTAGTTAGGCGCTACTTCTAGCAGAGCTTAAGAGCCTTCATTGTGCGAGGCAAATAATGGTTGGTTCTTTGTCCCGGAATATGCTCAAAACAAGTGTGTGATTTCAACCGCAATTTAAAGCTGGTGTATTTCATGCCATATCTCGTTTTCTCTTATGATACGTATAGCCCCGCGCGCGTAATCCCATAAAAAACTATAGTAAGAGATGACGTGTTAGGGACGGGCGGGTTAACGTGAGCCAGCCCGGTAAAAAGCCGTTCTGCCCTGCACTTTCACGGCCCTTTTGCATTTTCCGAGGGCGTGAATTAAAATTGCGTTCTTTAACTGAAAATATAACAAACGACAAAATGAGTCGCGCTTCTCAATGAATTACGAGTTCTCGTTCTGACTCGTTGAAATAAAAGGAAAGCGGCTTTTACTGAAGAATCTTTTTATTAGTTGTCTGGTGCGCGCCCTTCTTTTGCATGCAAGTGCGTTATATTCAGGTTGAAACAAACTTTTAAAAATGTTTTGCACTTAAAGTCAAATGATTAAGTGCTTATTGACTGAATTTGGTCGGGCTGAACGGGAAAACGTTTGGCGCTCGGTTCGTGCGCCATGACTTTTAGCCCCGTCCGCTGGGTCCTCTCCCTCATTCAATAAGTATATACATTGCAGTACGACAAACCAGCTATCAAACAGCAGATGACTGCCACGACCTGACTGAAGTCTGAAGTAAACAAACTAACGGGTCATGCAATACTTAAGTTAAGGGTGCACGACCACTCTGCGCCATGGAAACGCTCACTTACTTGTTCACCTCTCGAAGGTACAGAATAGTCGAGTTGTTGAGTTTGATGATCGACGAAGACTCCATGTCATATGCACTGCTATCTCCTTCCTCTCTTAACCTGTTGATGACCAAATACGATTAATGCTTTTTAAGCAACAGACTGCAGTTTCTATCGGTTTACATGCGTAATAATACACGCGGGATGTTGGAAGAACACGAGAAAAGTTTGTAAAGTTACGAACTGGAGGCAAACGTCGATTTCTCTAACTCTGAAACTCAAACATCTCTTCTGCGTTAATTTTATTCATGGGGAAGTAATTTCCAATTTTCCTTCAACTAGCGTTAATTCAAGGGACATTGATTTTTTTGTTGCAAACGAGTTTTTTATTAGACAAATCTGGGCAAATTTGCATTAAACACGCCTAATACACAAACAATTGGTTAAATGGCTCAAAACGACACGTAAATCAATACACTTTGGCAGAGGTTTCAATAACTTTTTCCACAACCGGCTGCCGATGGTGTAATTGGTGACCGAAGCGTCAGGCGAAGTCCAAACACGAGAATCCTACTCGCATGCTAAACAAGCGGAGTCGAGAAGTCCTATAGGCGGTGGTAGACCGCCAGTAACCTCTGCTTTAGGACCTCATCCACAGAGCTGAAATCAAGAACCTCACTGCAAAGTGCACGTGTAATAAACATCAGTGTTGACTTCCTTACCCGTAAATGCATGAAATATCAATAACAACGTCGATCATGTCACAACAAAGCTCGTAGGACTGCATGTCCACCGGTGAACTGAGCACAAGAAAAGAGCACAACACAATCAAGGACCACAGTATAAAAATAACCACATTTATCAAATATTAAGACAGTAAGCGCGCTCTCATTGCACAAGTGAGTTTGCACGAGATTTTGTCAACACTATTTCTATGCTTTCGGAGAATTATTTTATTCACAGAGTGGACGACTTATTTCCGTGTTTACACATCCTGTAAAAACATGAGAATGGTTAAAAGAATTAAAAAAAAAAATTAAGCAGACCCTTGACTGTGTCCTGGGTTGCATCACTTCTTCGAATTTCCCAACCACCCTTGTGATTAGATGACGCTATGTTAATTAGAGAAAAAGTCTTCTACTCATTGCATTTAGTTTGAATCTATTCCAAACTGTACATACGTATACATAAACCTTACTCGATGGTTCAACGTAAGATAAGCGCGGACATTATTGCCAGTTAAGAAGTCACTTACCTGTCCGTGGCCACATAAATCTTGCTGACAACATCAAACAGAAAGGCTTTCTCGATGCCTGAATTCTTGGAAAAGGAAAACAAAACAAAACAGAGTAAATCTCACATTAAAGATGGTGTCTACATGTGCACTTTAAATGTTACATAAAGCTTACAGAGTTGAAATTCAGGAATACAAAAACGAGCATTTTAAAGCACTCGTCTTAGTAGCTTAAATGGCTCCTGTACATTTTGATGCCATTTCAAAGCCACGCATTTTTTTTCCATCTTCACAAAGTTTTTTATATCTCTATTATTTCATTAGAATGAAATAACAAAAAGAAAAAATAGGAAGGGGAAAAGATTTATCGAGGCTTCTAGCATTTTAATCCCTAATGAAGTAAACATTGCGAAACTTTGAACAACTGATAAAAATACGACATGATTTGGTCTGATGACGTAGAGTCGCAGACAAGACTCCCAAGATGAAATACTATGAATTTTTCTACAACAAATGTGGATCACCGGGCAAGATTTGCTAGAAGCAGTCTCTGAACCATTTTATTTTTTAATTAGAAATGAGCATGTCGTAGATACAACATGCTCTCTATTTTCTACACATATATGTGTGGAAAATACCCATCCATTTGTTTCAAGTCAGTTTAACCCTTTAACTCCCACGATCTCATTAGTAATTCTCCTTACTGTCTGCGATTCAACTCTTCTAATATTACTTCTGAGAATTTGGTATTGGATCAAATAACAATCCCCCGATTGATACTTTTCTTGGTTCTCATCATTTGTCTTCTTGATTTTGTACTGATATTGTTGAGAGAAATTCTGTCTTGGTCACTCATGGGAGTTAAAGGTTAATGTATTTCATTGAATTTTTTTTCCCAGTTATCTCATATGAAATGATAAGACTTGAGTCTAGAGATAACTAAAACGATAAGTTTCTGGAGATACTATGGTACTATGTCGGTGGAAGTATTACAAGATGAGTTGGTTTTAGGGACTGAGTTGAAAATTGGCCATTGCAGAGAGTTTCTAAAGCTGACATTTGCCCTTTGTTAGAAAAAAACAGAACAAAACTCAGACGGAGGGCTGAATAATGCTAGAAACGTCAGCTTCACGTGTACAATTTCTCTACGGTGGCCAATTTACATTACAATTGTTAAAACCAAATTATTTCAACTATAGAACCGAGGCGCTGTACTTACTGTTATAAGAATATTCAATAAGTTCTCCAGTGTTGGAAGTTGAGGGACGAGTTTTTGCACTACTTTGCTAAAAGCCTGATGATGAAAAGACGACAAACATGACGACAATTAGTAAATCATAAAAACTTGGTGACCCTGTGTTTTAAGTGATGCAGGAAAGATTTACAGTTGTAGCAGTCAAAGCAGTCCTTCACATGAACTACAATGAACTTTATTACATAAAATGCGATGTTTTACAAGGATTTCCGGCCCTGAGAAAAGCCTTAACAGCACATGTGTAAAAATTACAATAATAATCACTCGTGTTTGATATCGCCAATCAGCTACTGACACGTCACTCGCCTTAGGCGCCACTCTGTCAGATTGATGAATGAATGGCGAGGCGGTCACCATTCTCAATCCATGGTCGCTTGTCGAATTTTTATGTCAGTAAAGGCATACGAAGTTTATGCACATGTATAATAAACTTACCAAAACATGTTTCCTTGTAGATATGGTATTTAATTTCTCTTCGCGTGTTCAACTCGAGTTGAACGCTCGAAGAGACATTCAATTTCTGCGCACGCTCCTGCATCACTCTGTGTACTATACATGTATATGATTACAGCTCTAAAATTTAAGTTCCTATGAGCACCATATTACCTTACCTCAAATATTGAGTGATCATATATACTCGTCAAGTAAAAGCTGTAAAATAAGACGGAAAATCCATCAAACGGATTACATATTGCAGAGCACGACAATGTCAGTCTAGTGCTATGTTTACATAATTACCGTTAATTTGGTCTACGTAAGTGTGAAAACACTATCAAGCAAGGTGCGTTACATGTCAACTAAAATTGAATTACCTCAAGTGAAGGCCTTCCAGACCTGCATCTGCAAGCTCATCTGTCGCTCTTTGGTGAATATCACGCTGAGTTTCTGTGTTAAAAATACAAATTGCAGAGCATTTACCAAGGACTCAAAGAAAAACATCAAAAGAAACCAGTAATCTTCACTCCCCCACCCCCACCCCTCTCCTTATTTTTGACCGTCGACCACCCCCTTGGTGCAAATTTTTTTTCTCTCACAGCCTTCCACTGCCATTAAAATCAAAGATGGCGGCCATAGTTTTCGTTGAGAAAAAAAAAATTACTTAGCAAGAAAATACTGAGCACTCGCTCGCCAATATTACGCTAAATTGACCAGTATGTTGCAAACAAGAAAGTGTAGCTTATCACAAAATACAATGATTCAAAGTTTTTACCAGATATTTCTTTGATAAAAACACACTCCTACATGGACATATAAATGTACTTGTGGACACTCTCACCATTTGACAAACATAACTTTGCCGACTTTAACTTAAAAATTCAGGGATCATTGTGGAGCACTGCACTGTGAAGGAAGTAACCAACTCTCTTACCAATTTTATGATCATCAGACAATCCATCTACTTTGTGAATAAATACTTCAAACTTTATGTTTGGATTGACCTGGAGAGATTCAAGAAAGGATTTCTGTCAATACGTGTAGATCTTGCTTTTGCAGTGAAATTCCCATAAACACAAATATAAGCTCACACCTTTAACTTTTTACTTCCAAGATCTGATTGTTAATTCTCCCCTCTAGCTGCTACACATTTCCTTGTAAATTAGTTCTGATATTTTGGTGTTAGATCAAGATGACAACTTCCACCGGATAAGTTTGAGTATTCTTGTTACCTGTTTGCTGGATGATGTATGGATATTATAGGGAGAAGTTTTATGTCAATCACCTCTAAGATTAAAGGACTAAGTTAAAAAACCTTTTAAAGGCTAACAGAGTGAATACCTAGATGATTGGGTGGAGAGTAAGGTAAAGTGTGCTTGCAGGCCACTTCCTGTCAGGCCACTTCCTGTCAGGCCACTTCCTGTCAGGCCACTTCCTGTCAGGCCACTTCCTGTCAGGCCACTTCCTGTCAGGCCACTTCCTATCAGGCCAATTTCTATCAGGCCACTTCCTATCAGGCCACTTCCTATCAGGCCACTTCCTGTCAAAGCTCATCCCAGTTTCAGTGGCACAAACTCCCAGAAGTGGTAAATATGTAACATCTCTTTATAACATTCATTCATTATCCCAGCAAACAAGTAACAACAATACTCAAACTTATCAGGTACAGAGGAAGTTGTTATCTTGATCTAACACCACATTCTCCTAATTTATTTACAAGGAAATGCGAAGCTGCTGGAGGGAAAAGTTTACTGTCAAATCTTGGGAGTTAGAGCAACATGCTCACAATGGTAGGTACAATGCATTTATCCCTTTACACCCAAACATCAGTAAGCATATTCTCCACACTGTTCTATATACATTTCCTAAGGTGCTGACAAGGAGAATTTGTTTACCAATCAAGAGTTTCTTTAGCGATTGGCCATCTCCTTTCGTGACCTTAGTGTGTGGTTCAAGGGTGATACAGTGGGGACAAATTCGTTTCTAGTTCATCATAAGTGTCAAAGGGACATTATAAAAACATTCTCAAATGGTGACTGATGCTCAAGCTTACCTTGTATGCTCTTGTTACAGTCATATGGAGCTTTCCAAGGGCGTCCATATAATCATCCTAAAATATACCAAGAAAATTAATTCTGAGAAAAAAATGGTATCAAGAAAAAAAATGCCCTTGCTGTTTGGGATACCATAAACAAGGCCTCAAGGCAAAAATCAAGTCATTGTGGGGGCCGGTAGAGAGATAAAATAGTTTGAATACCAGTAGAAGTGTCTTGTAAATAAATTTTTCCTATGAATGTAGTCCAGAAAAGGAGCAGTATACTATAAAAACCCACAGATAAGCTGCATCTTTTTCCAAAAATCGTTGCTAGAAATTGGGGGTGCGGCTTATCTGTGGGAACATTTCCATTTTCCTGTCCAATCTAATGTGTGGTTACTAAGCTTCGAATGTTCCGCTCATATTCATAAGATTACTGGCAAGTAATGGGGTAAAATTCTAAAGAGACTGTGGAGAGCATTACAAGATGATTTGGTTTCATCAACTTGGAGCTGGTTGATGTGAATTGGCCACCTTGAAGAGAACGTATTCTTCATCAAAGGGCTAGCACTGAAAAACGTCAGCTTTGGAAACTCTTTACATACCAGTGACTAATTGAAAATACTAAGCTGATGAAACCAAATTATCATATTTTGCAGACTGTCCATCATTTTTAAAACCTGAGTTAATGCAATCATCATGTCAGACATTCAAGATCACAGCAGCTCAGGTAGTCCAAGATCTACAAGTGCCCTCCCCTACATGATTTAATTACAACATCAATCAAATGATTTTTATCTGCAACATACCCCTCCATGAATAATAAATAACATAGACATACCTGTGCATCTATAACAAAAACAAGAGCTCCACAATGGCCAAACAACACTTCTGAATCAAATGCTGGGTCAAAAAAATCAATCTGGCCTGGAAAGTCCCAAATCTATACAAGAAGAAGAAAAAATTGAGATAAACGAGAACTTGATGGACCATTTCACAACGTAAAACTTAGGCTTGGGATTTACAAAGATCCTGTTTGTGTGTGATTACATTGGTAAACCTATAGAAATTGCAGTACACTGCTTAAAAATTATTCAAATACCATATATTCAAAACATGAATACAAAACAGGAAGTACAAATAACATACCTGGAACTGCACAAAGGAGCTATTTGATATGTCTTAGGGATCATGAAGTTAAGGAAAAAAATATGCTTCAAGTTAACACAATTTTTGTGGTCCATATTCCTTCATAAATCAATTTTAACCCTTTAATCCCTAACAGTGACTAGCATCTAATTTCTCCTTACAATATCACCCCTGAGTCACACATTAAGATCATGTGAATAAAGGAAATGATCACCACCCAAGGAAGCTCTTGACTGATGAACAAATTCTCCTTGTCAGAACCCCAGGAAATGTCTAGAGAGTAGTATGGAGAATATGCATACTGATGTTATGGAGTAAAAGGGTTGAGAACAAATCACTTAAAATACTTTTATCAATTTGGAGAAATCCATGGAGTATTTGACAACATGAGAAGCAAGGGAGGTTACTTAACATCAACAAAATAATACATGAAGGGACTGTGGGCAAGGATGAATGAGGATGAAGACTACAAAATAAGTTTAAGAACTTAAGGTTTTTATTAAAGAAAATGGCTGAAGGTTAGCTGCAATATCTTGGTATCATCAGCTGAACCAGTGTTGAACATCATCATGTTAACCCTTTAAAACTCTAAAGACCCAATTGGTAATTCTCCTCTCTAACTGGTAAACATTTCCTTGTGAATTAGTTATGAGATTTTGGTGTCAGATCAAGATAAAAACTTCTACCTGATAAGTTTGAGTATTGTCATTAACCTGTTTGTTGGGATAATATATGGATATTAAAAGTAGAAAGTACATGACAATTCTCCTGTTTAGCTGTTACACATTCACTTGGTCTGGTAGATTACATATAGCAACAAGAATTTGGGTGTCCACTCAAGATAACAACTTCAACCTGATAAATGTAGATTTTCTCATTACCTGTTGGGATATTGTAAGGAGAGGTTATACATTAATCACTTCTGTGCATTAAATGAAGGTTCTTTTATATGCATAATTGCTCTTGTGATTATAGAGATGCCTGCCCTGTGATTGGTTGAGGACTGTATCATATCTTGCTATAATCACCTTGCACAAGGTGATTATAGCAGGGGAGCTAAATGTCAAAATGGTTGCTTTACGTTTTGCCAATGTTACGTAGGAAGCAATAAATGCTATTTAGGAGAAAACACTCTTCTGAAATGCAGAGGAGGTTCTATTAAATTTGGCAAAACAATTTCAAAGAAAGATAAAAAGTTTTTGCTGATGAAATTGAATAAACCTGTTAAATTCTACTGGAGACTGGCTTCTTATATGTACCTAGATACAAGTTATCAAAACAATTGTCACAGAATGTTACAATGTGTTTCAACAAGAAAAAACAAATCTATAACAGAATTTGAAAGCACATCAAGAGCAATTATACCAACACAATTATTTACTTTGCCTTTGGTAAGTTATTTTTTAGATAGTTTGAAATCTTTTGTACTTCAGTTGTAACCTAAAATGTTACACCATCCATTGTTTTCAAGGATACCATCTTTCACTATTTTATTGGTGCTTTCCAAGAAAAGTGTTTCATTTGGAGACATCTTGTGGAAAACAACTTTCTGGATGGAAGATTTGCCGCTCCTTCAAGAAAATTGAAAGCAGAGATATTAATTACAATCAGCTGATACACAGTGTCATTTTAAAAAATTAAGTGGGAGTTAACAAAGTGTCTTGCACAGTAACACAAATCAGGTACATATGTTATGTACTATGCAGGAGGACATAGAAAAATAAAAAACTGTTCCTAAGATCTTGAAGACAGGATGCAGTCTTTTTCTGCTAGTTTCCTTATTTGCTATGCTTTGCAGCTAATGGCATTAAAAAAAATTTGAAACCTTGTTCTGTATTGTAAAGAAAAGGAAAAAAACTGGACCAGTTACAAGCGAGCAATTTGCTGATTGGATTTGAGGATTCAAGATTCCCACTGAGATGATAAAGTAAATACATTTCACCTTAATGTGTGATTCAGGGAGGATACAGAGAGGAGAAATAAGATGCTCATCACTCTTGGGGTGTAAAGGATCAATCAGGGGGACAGAGAAGGAATACAGGTATACATGTACTTAAACCTTTGAGTAAAAACAACATCAAGCAGACAAGTAATGAGAATAAAGAGAAATATCAGTTACGAGATTATCAGTTGATCCAATACCAAATTCTCCAAAATAACATCATGAGAATTGTATAGCAGACAGTAAGGAGAATTGCTAATGAGATCTTGCGAGTTAAAGGGTTAAGTTATATTTTCTAACATTTTGCTCTTGAAACTATAACAGCGTTGTTATTTGCACACCTTCTAAGGCCCAGCAATAGAATCCTGGGTTTGTTGTCACTGCTTGAGAGTTCATCCTGGTCTTCTGGACCATAGCTAAACACAAAATAAAGGTATTTTTCACTTAATAATATACATAAAAAAAATTAAGCACTTCTCATTGGCTGAAAATGAGTGCATTCTCATGAGAGCAAAGATGTAACACGAGTGCAAATTAAAATTTATCCTGCATACTTTTAAAATGTTGTCTTTCTTGACTGTGATGTTTTTTCATGTATATTATTAAAAGGTAATAACATGATTTCAGGTCTAATTAGATGCAATAAGCACTTGTACGTTTTTCGAAGACTACAAATTGGACTTGCCCTACAGGTTTATGCAATTTTGTTGTCATTGAAAACACTGCTTGTGCTTATTTACACCAAATTCCATTCAAAATCATGTTATTACTGAAATAGATTACGAGTTGTTTACACTGTGGTAATAGAATTGGCATTCTGCATGTGGGGTGCAAAATAGAAAGCATTGAGTCTGGACAAACAACTTTCCTGTATATCAGCTGCTTAAACAAATCTGCACAGCCACTCACTAAACCCCTTTCACTCTCAGAAGTGATTAATGCATAACTTTTCCTCATGATATATCCATATATTATCCAGCAACTGGTAATGAGAATGCTCAAACTTATCAGGCAGAAATTGTTATCCTGATCTAAAACCAAATTCTCATAGCTTATTAACAAGGAAATAAGCTGCAGCCAAGAATTAACCATTAGATATTTGCTGTTGGAGGTTAAATTTATACTCAAGCCAGTATGGTTTGTTCTGGCAAGAAGCTCATGGAAAGTGTTTTCTTTAAACTGAACTCCCAAAATTTAGCTTGCAATTCTCCCAATTAGCTCTTATACATCCCCCTCAACAGACAGTAAGGAGAATCGACAAAAAGATCTTCAAGGAGCTCACAACTTTTCACCACAAATTCCTTTAACCCTATGTGAGCATCTTTTTTCATATATATATATATATATATATATATATAAATTGTTCGGTGACATAATCCCATTTATTTCACAATGTGATCAGTGTCACTCGCATGCAGTTTAGGTCACGATATATCTAGAGCTGAGCAATTTTATTTAACATGTACAAACCATTTCAGTTTACTTGATCAATAATATTGCTTCAAAACCCTCGCCATGAATTTCATGTGATAACAAAGAATTACAGATATTGCACAAATCATCGCGTTATGAGCCATTGAACACTAGGTTTACTCCAATTGTCCAACAATTCGAGAGTAAGTTAAGAAAGGTAGCGTTTGCAATTTTTCCAGCGAAGAATAAACATTCGAAAACGTCGAGAAAACTAAGAAATTGTGTACAGTTGTACACAGGCTTGGCTCGTTAGAAACTGTTTTACGCTTAGACTTCATATTTCCATGGCTATTGAACGTTAAAACAAAACTTAATCGCGGAAACGAAATGGTACCTCTTAGCTGTGTTGAAAAAAGACAACTTGCACTTTCTATCGTCCACTGTGACACAGGTTCAATCGATACAGACTGAGAACTTACCCGAAATCTTTGGGAAATGAACCAACCACGCTGTAACTTCCAAAGTTTTCATCATCCTCGTACGACTGTTTACCCCATGTAGGAAGTAAAAATAAGAAAGTTTGTTAATTTATCTCTCCAAATAACCATCATGGGTATTAAATGAGACTAATTCACATGTGTATACCGTCATCTTAGAGGAAACCTTCTTCAACACGAATCTCGAGTGCGGTTCCTCACGAGTAAAATTTTCCTATGGTCATGTGACGGTCAGTCACGTTCAAACAAGCTTCCGGTGTCGAAAGTATCACGATTCAGCGGAATTCTTCCGACAGTGCACGAAGCGTTCTTCGCTAACTCGGTAGTAAAAATATACAGGTGGATTCGGGACTTCGGACTGCGGACCCAATGTTAGTTGACGACGGGCTTCTATGTATGCAGGGGCGTCGACTCCTTAATACATATATCTGATTGAGATAAAACAAAAAAGGAAAAAGCAAATAGATGGTAACTTAATATGGATGCAAGATTTTTGCTATACAGACATGTGGCATCCCCAGCTTGTACCAATTTTTTGAAATGTCTCACAGCTTCCCATCATCCTCTCTGGCTTCGAGGGGGGACTTAAGTATCAATATGGCATCGTGCCCAGACCTTCCACGCCATTTCAATTAGAATTAAACGATAGGATCTGGGTATGAGATTAGGAACACTCACACTCTCAAAACTTTGGCTTTCCTGCCCCTACCTAGAAATTTGTCTTAGGGTTAGGGTTAGGGTTAGGGTTAGGGTTAGAATTTGAGAATTTGAGAACTCCTGAAAACAGCAGAGAGCCGTAACGGGAAAGAAAAGAGAGAGAAGACTGGGAGTGAGACTGTCCAATTTTCGCTTTAATTAATTATTTTAATTAATTAATTGTTAATTAATTCATTTTAATTTATTTATTTTAGGTGGCTCCGGATGGTTTTTGCTCAACGTTGGCGCGTGCGCCAGCGTACTGTTTTTCCAGAAAATTTTCTACGTTTTCGCTTTTCTATGTCATTGAAAGCTATCAAAAGCCAATGAGCAAGGTTTGGACTATCGTTTGCTGTAGTAAATATTAAGAAAATAATTTAAGTTATTAAGCCAAGGCTCCACGAAGGGAGGCGCTCGCCAATGACAATTGGGTTTTGCCTTTGATTTTCTTCAATTTTCTTCGGTGAAATCTCTCAAAATTTCCGCAAGTAGTGAAAATTGTCCTGCCGATCATTTAAAAGCCCCAAAAAAATAGGGGTTACAAAGGCAGTTTTCCCGCTGTTTGCAACTTTGTCTTTTTTTCCTCGATCTCAAATTTGGGCCCATTAATTTTTTTTATTGACAGGCACCAGGAAGGACACAAATATGCTTAATGGTCCAACAAATCATACGAAATTTCACCGAAGGAAACACGATAAATTTTACTTGAAAGATACCTATTTTCTTTATGGCAAAACATTACGTAATGGAATAGAAATTCGCCAAGATCGGTAACTGAGCATGCGTAGCCTTTCGAATCAAGGACCACGAGTACTCATTTGGCATGCTTATTCTTATTATAAAGTTGCATTTCGAGGAATCCTGGCAAGCATCATCGAAATGCTGCTCTATGGCAAATAGTGCATGTCACTCGGTTATTATTGTTGTAAAAATAAAAATTATTCACATTTACCACGCTTACAGAAAAAAACATTCCTTGAGGCCTTGTGCAAATGTTTGTATATCAACCACTCGAGTTCCCTGTAGATTTTCAGCTGCCGCCTGTTGGTGGGCCACTTTGGGTTGGTGAGCCACTTTTGAGACCTTTACTTCGCGATCGATCAGAACAATAATGTTTACCTTCCGAGGACGGTAAAAAGCAAATAGCCCTAACATCGTAGGTTACATACCCGAGATAACCTTAGAGCCCGTTTGGTAGGTGGTTCCTTTTCCTCGCAACCGTCTTGGTAAGTCAGTTTTCGTTGACAAAATTTGGTGGCCTTTACGCAATGATTCCCCTGTTTCCCTAATTTTTGAGATATTCTCGAAGCGACCGAACGCGCCACGGGTGTTGTGTTGGCCTATTTCAGGCGTAAAAAGCCTATAAATACATTGGGTGTCGTTGGAGTCCAGATCTCGCGCGGTCAAAAAACCCCAGGGAGGGAGCCTTCTAAAATTAGACAAGTTTTATTCAGCAAAGCAGAAACCTACTGGGTTCAGAAAAGTAGTCGTAATGGCTTCAGATGCGACAAGTGAGAATGAGTAAGTGATAGAAAAAGTTGTAACAAGTTGTTAATGTGTCTCGTTTATCGAATACATACATCTCGTTGAAAAAGTTTCTAAGACTTGATACCGCACGTGAACTGACATGGCGGGAAGTGTCTCAAAGCAAAGCTCCTCAAGTCGGCTAGAGAAAAAGAGAAGAAATAACATCGAATGGTGCCAATGAATTCAAGAGTGTATTGGCAAAGTCTCTGGCTGAAAAGTGAATGGATCTGTTCTCACAAACGCAATGTTTAAAGATTTCAATTTGGTTGCTTCATGCTCGGTTTGTAATACGCAAATATTGATAACAACTTCGTTAGACTAGTTTATTTATAGGCCAACTACTATTTTAAAGCTGCAAATATATCCCCACTAATTTGAGAGTTTCTTCTTCCATTTGTTCCATATGCACCATGCTTATAAATGGAAAGTTTTGTAGGAATTTTTTCATTCATTTCTGTCAGAAATCTAATACCATTGATCAAAAAATCGCACCACCGATTCACGGTTGCATGATTACAGACCAAATTGGACTCCACTCGCTTTTGATTGCCATTGTCATTCATCGGTTCATTGCCCCTTATTGAAAGAATTCAATCAGTAACCGTTTGATTATTCAGTTCTGGATATATGTGGAACGGTCAACATTTACATAGCGAAGCAACCTCCGCGTGACTCTAACTACAGATCTTTTATATATGGCTCTCGTTACTGTTTTTAGTGCTTTAGCTAGGATACTACACTCGCGTCGTGCCCCACATGCAATATATTCGATAGAGCCTTTTTTTCACTCCATTCATGAGATGATACGTAATGAAAGTTATGGATCCATGAGCTACTAAATTTCTTTTTTCTCTTGTTGTAGCTGTGTGGAGGCTCTCCACCAGCAAAGAAAATTTGAGTTTGGATGTCTTGCTCCCGCAGTGAGTGCTCTGTTCAATTCTGTATATTTTTTTGGGTAATGATTACAGAAATAATAATAACGATAACGATAATGACGTTGAAGAGGGTGAAGATTTTAATAATAATAATGATAATGATGATGATGATAATTATGACGACGACATAAACGGCAGCGATAGCGGATTTCCTTTTTTCCTTGCTCTTTACCGTGTGGATATGGACTTGGAAAGGAGCCATTATTTAATAAAGTTCGAATAGAGAGAGAGAGAATGTCTCCCTTTTCAATAGCCCTGTAAATAATTTAAGTGTTCTTAGTTATGTCTGTTGAAAAATCATAATGATAAAACTTGTAAGAAAAGGTCGCTAGCCTGTGCGCAATACGCGTTTGTGTGGCGCCGCAACTTTCCGGCAATGGGTGGAACAATAGGCAATGGGGAATTAATTGTTCTTCTCATTCGGCGTTGTTTGTGTAATCCATGAGATAAGATTCATTCTAAAAAAAAAAGCATCCAATTTTTCTTTCTGTTTTTTTTTTTTTTCAGTTGGTTATTATTTTAGCTCTTTCATTCCTGAAGCGACGCACTAAGTTGAAATTGGAGCTCTGGGATGGGCGCCCTGGACTACTGATGTATGTTATTCGATTATGAAAATAGATAATTTTATAATTGTTTCATAGCAAATCTAGGACTTGAGCGACTTGGCCCCCATACACATTCACGCACGCACGCACATACACGCACACACACACGCACGTACACACACACCCACGCACACGCACACAGATAAAAGCCTCAGCCCCAGTGATTTGCTCCATTCGGAGCCGTCTTCCTTTGTATTATAACTGATCCCGTACATTATGAAAAGTCTTTACGTTGCAAAATAATTCAAATCTAGATGGACGCCACAACTTGAGTATAATTCACCCCCAAAATTCAAAAGCCAAAGGTTCAAAGCTGAAACCGTGTCTCAAAAGCTTGTCTATCACATGTAAAAGTGTGTTATTTGACTCTAAATTTCAAGTATAGGTGCCTTAAGTTGTTTCAACTGACCACCGCCTTCCTTCCACTCTGGTCTTCGAGATATCAGTCACCTTCGTCGACAACTGTCTTATTTTTCTATGCTGTCCCTCCCTCCCTCCCCTCCCCTCTCCTTCCTTTTGACCATCGCCCACCTCCCCTGGTTGAAATTCCTTTCTCTTCCCAGCCTTCCGCTGCTGTAGGAATCAAAGATGGCCGCTTTAATTTTCACCGAGACAATGCTGAGCATTCGAGCAAAAATGACACCTGCTCACCAGTTTATCAACAAGTTGCTGGTTTTGTGGCTTCTGATCGCACAGCAGTACAATTTTTGAATGGGACAACATATCTGTATCATTCCTTTTTAGACCGATGAACTTTCTTGGTGGTCTTAGTAACAGATGGACTATTGCTGCTGCGTTTGGAGCCACAGGTAGTACTGTTATGACCATGGCATTGGGTGGAGGCAACAGTATCTCGATTGTCCCATCGGAATCTCCCTGGGTAGGAAGTAAGTAACTCTAACGCTATTATGATCGAATTTCTTAATTGTGTTGGCAGTAAGGATTATTACGGAGCATTTCCTGAGAAAAGGAGAAGATAAAAAAATACAGATAAAAAAATACAGTAAAACACTCACCCCCAGAAATCTCTCTGTAAGACGCATAATGCACGATGCATGTCTAATCCAGGTTCCAGTAAACCGCTCTGTAATAGAAGGCTAAACCCTAGTAGTCTCCAATTTACAGAACTATCATATGCATCACAACAAGCGCATAGACATATTAGTAAAGGTTTCAGTTAAACTTGTAATACCATTCCAAAATTCAAAACTAAATCATTACAAAGAGGCAAAATTCAACATTCAAACAAGCTAACAAAACCTGAATTTTAAAAAGAAATTGAGAGCAAAAACAAAACAAGTATACAAGAACACACACACACACAAACAACCAATGCTAGGAGACGACCAAATCTAAGAAACAAAGCAATTGCAAGAGCCCAGAATTAAAAGAGTTGTTCTATGGTACTCAAAGAAGTATATAAGGTCCGAGAATCATTTTTTGAAACTACCAGCAATATTTTTCTGTCTTTTTACTCAGTTATTGACGTTTTGTTGGCCGTCCTCCTTTGTACAATACTATTCTATCCATATTTTGTCTGCCTCACAACTGAATACAAGTTCGTTGGTTCTATCCTCGGCTTTCTTTATGGTGTGTTGAGGTATGTATGTGAGTATTGTCTTAAATTATGGGATTTTTTTGCTCTAGCTCGTTAAGTCAGACATAGTGGGACAGAGTAGAGATTCGGGTCATCCCTTTCTTTGTTTTTATGGAGGGTGTTTTTCGTGAAACTTCGATAATACGTTTGACATCAGTTCTCAATTAAAAACATGCGATTTCATGAGATATCAGAACGTTAATTTTAGGTTTGGGGCTAAAACAAACCGGAACTCTTCAAAGTTGATGCAGGTTTCTTTACAATAAACACGCTGAGTACTAAAGAATTGGTCCATGCTTAGCGTGCGTATATAGATTCATGGATGCACCACGCGAGAAGTTTGCCGACCACGAGAGAAGCGTAAGAGTTGCTCCAAGCGCAGCCAACAACAACTCTAACTTCTTGATTAAAATTTTTGGAAATTCTAAAATTGTACGGTTTTAAAGTTAAAATCTTCAATTGAACAATAGTTTTAGGAAATGTCAACTCTTTAAAATAGTATGATTACACGCGTCCCAGGCTCACGTCTCGAGAAAAAGCGAACGATTAATTTATGAAAGCATCACGCGTTGTTTGAGGTGGGGATGAGTTACAAGAGGAACCGTTGAGAATTTGAACACGTTGCAAGGAATAGTATGGGGAACGAAATATGGTCGATTTACAACGATAAATATTTCGACATGTGAACATTTTACAAGTGAATTCAATAGAACTTACTCACATCTTGTGTGTCTGTGGTGGTTTCTGGCGATTTCTGCCATTTTAAGCTTGCTTTGCCATCCCTGATATAAGACGAAGTGAAACTGCAAACTTCATGTTATGGGTACATAAAGATTTGTACCATGGTAGCTCTTTAGGAATTAGGTAGGACTTGCGCGCGGTATGTTATGATGTATATTGTCTTTCTTTTCATGGTCGAGATGCCTTTCTAGGTTACAATCCCACCAGTATTTCGACAGTTTGCCGACAGGGCCAGATGATACGTTAAACTCATTGACTTCCATTGGTTTCCTTCAGGTTTTCTTTTCAACTTGCTACAGAGATACGTTGCTACGTTGTGTATAAGGTGTTAGTTTTGGAATGCATCAACAAACGTGAAGAACTTATGTTTCCTTATGGTCACGCAGATAAAGCTGCTTGCTGTGTTTTTATGAACGACTGAATGAAGCTAAGGAAATGGATTATAGAGAAAGAGTTAAATCACCCAAAATACTAATATAGTTTATACTGCGCTGAAAAAGCGTAATCGTTCTCAAGCCATGAACAACTTTCGGAAGTAAGTCAATTCACAAAAATATTGTGAAATATTTTTGTCTTTGCCTTAGTCCTTGTCCTTCTCTTTGTTTTGTCCTTGCCCTTTCCCTTGTCCTTGTAATCTATTTTTGTTTTATGTAGAAAGGCTAAAGAGCACTCGCCGAGTAATTTTTGTTCGCTGTTGTTTCGAGTGCCATTATTTCTGTTGGCTATAAATTAGATTTCATGAGTCATGGAACAAAACTATGGCCCGTATGGCTCAAATAAGTAAAGTATTTTTTTTCCTTTTAGAAAACAGGAGCCTATGGAATAACGTTTATTATTTCTAACCTGCCTACAACACTGTGCCTTATCTTTATAACAACGCGATTTGCTTTCCTTATTGTTCGACGAGTTAGACAGATGTGGTCTGTATCTTCTACAGAGTCAGCAGTAAGTTAGAGTTGCATACATGTATGTTTTCGTCCCCTTACAGCAGATACAAAAGTGTGTAATTTGTGCATGTGTCTTTGTTTGTCTGGAGTTTCTAGATCATTCCCTATTTAGCTAAGTACGATGAGGGAATAGTGGTATCATAAAATTCAAAGAAAAGCGTCAAGCAAAATTTTAATGACGCCTTAAAATCGAATTAAAAAAGGAAAATTGCAAAATGTCTTGAAATATGGGAGAATTCAAGAATTTAGAAAAGAAACAGGCGGAAATGGCGACAAGAGAGTACAAATTTAAAGGATTGAAGGTATCAGTAATTATTTTAATTCCATCCCTAAAATTTTTCTCTCTAGGAAAAGGACTCCTGCTCACGCTCACTGGTTCATGATTCAGACGTTCTTCACGTGAAATTCATTTTAGGGCAAAAACCTCCGATGTAAGATATTTTTAAAAAACTCCTGTTCAATGTACGACTAAAACAGTTAAATTTTGTGGTCATTTTCCTTGTCCTTGTCCTTTTCCTTGAGTTATTATTATCGTTTTTGAGTTTTGTCAGCAGTATCTTCTCCCATATTTTTTCAGATACCCGAACAAGTCAGAGTGGTACTGGAAGGTTCTCCACTTTTTTTACATACCAAGGGCAGGTGTGTATGGTATTTCGTTACAAAATAAACAACGTTGGTATTTTAGGTCGATTTATTGTTTTTTACTTATGCTTTTCGTATCGTTTATGGACCCTGACTTATTTATCTCTTTGTTTCATTCATTTTGATATTATTTTTTTAATAATGAGCTCAAAGCTAGACTTATGGATTGGACTAATGAAATGGACAACTTCTTTGATTTAAGATTTTAAGTTCTCCACTCAGTTGATATCAACAGTGTTTCTTGTCGGGATAGCTGTCTTTGAAGTAAGTACTCAGTGTATCAGAAGATGTCTTATCTATCGATTTGGAATGGACTTCTTCATTCTCTGCATTTCGATTTGTCTTTGGCAAGGATTCAAATTTTACAACAGACATGAGTGTGTATACTAATGACCCCTACTATTTATAGCAAATATTTGCCATGAAATGATTACTAAATATTCTATCTCTCTTTGTTGTATGTAGGTCTTAATAGTTTTTCTCACAGCGTGGGAACATCTTTTAGGCAGTTATGGGGATATACACAGAGGTGATGTATTAGCAGTAGAACATAATAATTTACCTGCTTCCAAAAATCTTTCAATTTCAAAGCCTTGATCGACTTGACCATGTGAAGCGGACAATTTTTCATCAGTCTTTTAGTCACCACTAGTCAGTTAATCAAACCTCTTCATAAAACTACTGATTATATTAAAATCCGCGGAAACTGCTCCACAAGAATCAGTCAAATTACCATTGTTTATTATCATATTTCTAATAGGACATACTTCATTCTGATAGGCTGTATTTTCTAAGGCATTTCATCGAACTCTCACCCCCTGTGACCATTTCCATCCGAACATCTTACAAAAAAAAGACCACGTAAGGATATCGACGCTCTCCTCAGAAACTTTTGCCATATTGTAGGGGATAAATCGTTTTAAATAGTACTGAGATGATTATGACGTTGAAGCTTTAGCAATAGGAAGTCGCTTGTAAAAACCTTTATCATGCAAAAGAGACTTTTACCACGATTTTCCCACATAGCGAGGAGAATTCCATTGCGACGTCGAATCGAGGGAGTCAGCTCTAGTATCAGGAGCTATTTAAGCTTTTTCCTGGCGCCCAGTTAATGAGACGATTGTAAACGGTGCGATAGTTGCAGGGTGAAACCGTGGAAGGTTTGGTTCGGGATTGTCATGTGACCAGACCCAAGTCCCCTCGTTGTTTTTGCTTCACAGCTGCTATAATTGCACCGTTTACAAATGTACCGTTCACTATTCTGCTGTTTTACCACCCAATTGCTTCCTTGGAACAGGGTAGGTTAGTTTTCTATTTTCTACTGGCTAGATTTATATATTTCTTTATTTTAGGTTATCTTTACGGATCGCACATTTTCGCAGCTCTAATTTATATTATAACAACACTTCACTTCATGAAGTGCCACAGGTACGTGTGATTAGTTTCCTGAACGTGTTCGTGAGGACCATAAAAGTTCAACAGGACGCTTAAGTTTTATGAGGGATCTGGGATGGCGCAGTACTGAGCGAGAGCGCTCGTCTCCCTCCGTTTCGACCCTGGTTCGATTCCCGGACCTAGCGTGACATGCTTTGAGGGACTTTTCTCCGGGTTTTCAGATTTTGCACCTGGAAACAGTGAACAAGGAGAGTCACCACATGAAATGCTCACTGTTAAATTTCCATTAAGACACCATCCGATATCGATCGCTTGTCAGTATTTCTTTCAAAACTCGTAATTCTGTATGGTTAGGGCATTAGAGCTAGGGTAAGTCACAGATTTTATTGAGAACGACTTAAGTACTCGTATGAGCTTTGGCGTCTGAAAATTATGCGAAGTTGTAACTGATATGTCACACACACAAAAACAACAACAGAAGTATTATCGCAGCTCTAACGCACCAAAGCCGGGGTATTTATGAGAAGTTGTAGAGGTGCACCTGCTAAATCTCAGTCTTGAGAGTCTCCGATTTTACAATTCGCTCACCTCTAAGAGGCCAATGCTCTTAAGGTCCGATTATCACTTATCCCCGAAGGGGGGGAGGGGGGGGGTTGAGTAGAAGAATTTGGGGGGGGCTACATGGTTTTCAGGGAGGAACGGAGGGGGATCAGTCGTCGTTAACAGAGAATAAAGGAGGACTATGCATAACTGACTGCTAATTTACCGCTAATGAGAAGGGGAGGGGGAGGTCATGAGTAATAAAAAACAAAAAATCGTGAAAAAAACAAAAAAGTTCAGAAAGTTCAAAATTTTCAAAGCGAGCCATGTTACATAATGTGTGGAATACATAACGTATGATAAGGGCTGAGTCTTATGAATAAAGAAGAAGAAATCAAAAGTTACCGAGTTCACCTTTTTGTAGTCAGACCATCAGTTGTGGTTATCGTCATATGTCTTAATGGACAATAAAATCCTTTGAAACGTTTCAAAAAAACTTTTCAACAATTCTGTATCATGGTGAGAGGTCTAAGAGCGCTTAGCAACAATTTAGAATGCGGGAAGTTTGTACCTGTGGTAAAATTGAAACAGATAATACGAGCTGGTTTAACTGAAGTGAAAGAGAGAAAGTTAGTTGAATGAACGGGTTTGATTGTTTTATTTAGCTTTTTCGGCGACTGAAAAATAGTTTATTGCCTGACGATGTCATTTACAAGGAGGGGAAAATTTATAGTTGACTGGAAGTTGACTCGTGGCTTGAATTCGACCCGTGAAATGATGTAAACACAACGCTCACTAGTTTTTAGGCATTCTGTTGAAATCGGACTGAAAGATTATTCTAAAGTTTATTGTGATTCTTTCTCCTAGGGATCACATGCTCCAGCTTTACCGTGGAGATAGACGTCTAATGCAAAACGTTTGCCTCTCACCGGCCTCTTATGTGGTATGGCGATAAATTTGCTTTCAACGCTCCCATCAAAATTAAGGAGGAAACGACTAACCTTTGCCTTCCACTGATATCTGTTCTTACTTGAAGGGCAAGATGATTTGAAAGATTGGAAAGCTTTCAGCCTTTTCCAGAAAATTGAGAATTTTCTCCTTGCATAACCTAATGATGGCTGAATACAACGATAACAGGCAAAACACGTCGCATTTACATTGGCATTTACGTTCACGTTTACGGTCGCGGTCACGGTCAAGATCACAGTTACAGCTGCGTTCATAGTCATGGTCGCGATCATAATAACGATGATGATTTAAAAGAGGTCACGTACATTTTGCCTTACTACTGAATATTTTGTCTTGAAGGGAGAAAGTCTGAGTTATACTGGATATCAAGTCGCCTATGCCGTGATTGGTATGTATAGAATTTTCAACTCAAAACAATGTGAGAAATTAAGCATTTGTTCCGTGCACACACTAGGTAAGGTAAGGTAAGATAACGCCTTTATTTAAAGAGAGTAGACACTTGACAGTTATAATAAAACTAATAAACTTGTGGCCTTCTATGAAACGTAAAATCGTAATTAATGATAAAATAACACTGTCATTATAGAAAGATGAACATTTTTTAATAGATAATTTAAGAGGCAAGCAAAAATATCATTAAAAAACTATCTAGAGTCTTATTTAGAATTCTTAACTATTTAAAAACTATTAACTATCTAAAACTAAGACTTGATAGAAAAGGCTACCTAAATACTTAACAGATATTCAAAATGTCCTATCTCTCTTTGCTTAGCGATTAAATTCGTACACAGTTTCTTTTTAAATATTTAACATTTTCACTTTACTTACGTCAAAAGACAGTTCGTTCCAATTTCTAATAGTTCGTACGCTAAAAGTCCGGCCTCCTTATGTATTTTTCTTGAAAATAGGACAAAGAAAAGGAAACTCTGAAGTCTAACGGTTAGCCGATCGATTATCCATTACAATTACAATATTAGACAAAGATCGCAATAGGTCGGCGAAACGTTGCCAAGTGTCAGGCTATTCATTCAAAAGGTCGATAAACATTTAAGAAAATTCGCATAAATTGGAGTTTTCTGTGAAATCATTGACTTCTTCGTGTTTGATAAATGTTGTAGGTCGCTAAGACTGCAAAAAGTTGCTCCAACGCCAAATGTAGCTCAAAAGTCGCCGAACCTAATTAGGACAGGCCTACGCGTGGCTCCAATGATAACCACCATCCCTGTCAATAGATAATAACGATAATTGTAGCAATGATTTGATACTAAATCTGTGACCACTAAACACGTGCACGTAACTTCTAAAACGTTTCACGCATGTTTAACTCCTCTGTCACACTTTGTAAATACTTTACGCTTTCTTCACACTGCGTAAAGGTCGAAAATAGACAATTTCTTTATTATTTGGACCTAAGCAAACTTAATTACTCGACTTAATTGTAAAAACTTTGCTTTTTGTCAGACAAAACGTATAACTTGATTAAACAAGTTTTTATTATAATAAACAGGACTAATAGAGATAAGGACTAATATGCCTCAAAAGTCCAAGTCGTTTTGACAGTTTCTTACATAAATATCTCAGTGTGCTTCAAAGCTTAGATCTTTATCAATAATAAAACCCACACTAGTGTTGCTCAACCTTAAAATCAATAAAAGCAGTGCAAAAGCTGTAATTCCCATTATTTATTTTTACGACATCCATTTTGAAATCACTGGTGGTCCCTGTAATCTGATTGGCTCTAAGTGGTGCGATTTATTCATAAATCGCACCATTTTTTGCTTTAGATCGCATCTTTTTCCCAGCGAATGAGGAGACTACACTAAAAACAAAACAACCACTCAGATTTCAAGGCTTGTTTAAAGTAATCAATCAAATTGCAGTAAAATGTGAGATAAAGAGTATCATGTGGCAAATTTTGCTACTTTTGTTTCCAAAACTGTTTTATTCCCCCCCAAACAAAAAAAAAAAAAAAAATGAATGAATTTAATTTCAAACCAGTTCAGCACTGCATCAATAAAATGGATGTGTAAAGTGGTAATCGAACTTCGATTATGATTTCAAATCGAACTCGCGCTGCGCGCTCGTTCAATTTTGAAATCACGCATATGATTTCAGCTCAAATTGTACTCCACTCGGTTCAATAACCATTATTAATTATGCATCAATTATCAATTATAAATGTACATTCAGAGTAGTATATCAGGTGCGAGCCTGTATTGAAGCAAAAGAGGAGGTTTCTTTTCGTTTTCACGATGACTAAGCTGGAGAAGAGTTGGAATAATTTAAGGGTTTCCATAACTTTCGCGTATGTTCTCAACACCTCTAATGTTAAAACAAGGCTTCGTAGAGCGTTAAGTAGTGTCTAATCAGGTTTGCAAATGATGAGATATTCAGATCTCTGGTATTTTTTCCAGTATTTTGCTCGTTTCTCTTTGCAGGTTTTTCCGTGTTGTCAAATTTGGGCTTCCTTCTAATTTTCATTCCAAGTAATGATAAGATGATACGCGAGTTTATTTTATCAGCTGCAAAAGGAGTTGTGTAAGTAGATTGATAACGTAAATAGGTTGTTTTATATATTGTTTACATTTCCTCTCTGGTGTTTCATTCGTTTTGTTTGTTTGTCTGTTTTTTTTCAATTTTTTTCCTCTCAGACCGACGATAGTGCTGAGTTTCATTTCACAAGTGTTCCAGGGCGTGTTCCTATCTCGATATGCCTTTCGTGACAGAGAATACCCAAATTTCTCGGTCGTGATTGATAACCGGTAAAAATGACAGTTTCTGTATCTATTAACATGATAAGCTAAGCTGCGCACGCTCACCTTGACTGCTTCTTGACACATAGATGACGTCATCATAAACGCATTTTCACTGCTTTATCATCGATTGTTAATGTGGGTGTGTTCAGCTTGCTATTCGCGATTCTTATCCCTCTGCTTCTCCATGCAATGTGAAATGAACCAATTTATGTCACAAAAGCTTGCACTCTCGTAATATCTAAAATTGGCTGTGTACTGACAAAATTTCCAACACGACACATTCTAGCTTTGATGCTTAACAAAGAATAAGGCTGTTCGTCTCATTTGCAACGAAGGAAAAGGCTTCTCGTCTTGCCAAAGGCGCGGGATGTTGGTGCGAAAATTAGTTTTCGCAGAGTTTATCATAATCTGCCACCAATTAGAATGCGTACATCTCTAAAACAAATCATCTGAATAATCTACCTTAATTTCCTCTTCTCTGAAGAAGATCATTCCATTTTCGAGAGGCCTATCGGGAATCAGCACATGGGGCTGCTCACGGGTTCCTTGAGGGTCTTAGTGTGGTGATGGCCCTTAACGGCTAACGGTTAAAATTTTGGCCTTCTTACGTTAACAGTTAATTGGACACTTTCCACATGACTCATCACCAAGATAGGAAACGTTTTTTTTTTGTTTTTGTTTTACGCCTAACAGCTACTTTTACAGCCTTACGGCTAACGGTTAATCCCACTGAGGCCCTCACATTTATTCTTACCTTCTTGGAAATAGACCACGTTTTCTACTCAACACTGCTCCGGTCAGTATAAGCAGCTATTCATTATTTCTTTGTTTCACTTTTTTATTCTCTTTTTTCTCTATTTTGAATCACTTTTTAGACGACTGTTCTCTATCATGTCGTATGCCTTTGTGTTCCTCAACGCCATTGTTGGAATCTCAATAGGTCTTCTCCGCATAGCTAAAGCTATGATTCTCGGGCTTTTCTTCTTCTCGCGTCCCGACCGACCTATTCTCATGCCAGGATTTCAAAAATGGGAAAAAGGTAAGCTTTCCGGAAAAACCAGTTTTCAAATGTGTTTTATCGAAAAATGAAATTCGAGTTTAGACTTCTGACCTATGATCTGCCATTCAGTGCTTGCCGAACGACGGCATCTCCACCAAAAAGTTGAAACATTGGGCAGCTGCTTGCTGCTTCTCAGACTTTGCCTCTTGCTTCTTTTGATTTTCTCAAATTACCGAAGCATTTGAACAAAAATGCAACGATGCACAAGGGACTGGTAATTATTCATCGCCTGGAAAGGGGATCGAAGGACTTCATTCTCTGTAGCAGTCAATTTGTCATAGTTCCCCTTTCAAACTTTGTAAGAGACGACTGATTCCCCTTCTGCTCCCAATGAAAGCCATGCGATCATCCGCAAAATCCTCTTTCCCCTTCTCCACCTCGGTGATAAATAATGATTGGTCTCTCAGCAAAAGATACTTCAGCCATGAAAGATACGACAAAAACAACCCGAACAGCAACGCAGACTTTACTTGAGTCCGCATCTAATGCTCATTTTTCCCTTCAACTTACCGAACAGGTTTTGTAGCGTATCTTGGATTTCTTCAAGTGTTGGTAGCCCACAGACATCCCGTTGTGTTAATGTTCTGCCAATTGCTCATTGAAAGCAACAAGGCGACAACTTCGGAGGAGAAACGTAAGCAACGTTTAAGAAATTAAATATTACTGGTCTAAGAAGAAAATATCGAGAGTATTAACTCAAGCTGGAATTGGTTAATCATTCAGTCAGTCAGTCCATCAGTCAGTCGATCAGTTCGTCAGTCAGTCAGTAAATCAGTCAGTCAATCGGTCGGTTCGTCAGAGAGTCAGTCCGTCGGTCAGTCAGTCAGTCCATCAGTCAGTCAGTGCGTCAGTCAGGTAGTCAATCAATCAGTCAGTCAGTCAGTCAATCAGGCAGTCAGTCAGTCAATCAATCAGTCAGTCAATCAATCATTAAGTCAGTCAGTTAGTCAGTCAGTCAGTCAGTGAGTCACTCACCCAGACTGTCAGTAAATGGTAAGTAAATCTGTCCGCGTGTCATTTACTCAATCTGCCTCTATGTTTATCTGTATTTTTTTCTCCAACGTTTGTCTCTTGCCCTTCTATTATTGACAATTGTTCGCCGAAGGCGAAGTGAATATTATTGAATTATTCCCGAGACAGAGTCGAGGGGATTATTTAACAATGTTTACTGAACCTGACGCGAATAACGGTTGGTATGATTGCACAGGTGCTTTCGAATAATTTTGCAAATTTTGTGAATAAAGAAAGCGTTGCGCATATTTTGTGCCAAAACTTTGTTAATTACTCGTATCTACATAAGCAAGAAGACTTATCAACTTCATTTAATCCTGTTAAAAGTCTTCTACCAAACTCAGTACAGTAGCATCTTTTGTGCTTTTTTCAATTGAAATTTTCTTCCATCGTATTTATCACTTCTTCGGAAATGAGGAGATTATAGCGAGTTATAATGCAATCCTCGACCAATCAGAGCGCGCACATATCTATGATCGTGACCAGAGCAAATATAGTAACAACTAAATATAGCTATGTTTAACAAGTTAACTAAAAAATCTGTCCGTCACAGAACATTCCAACCTTTCTGTGAAGCCAAACAACGCTGAGGAGCCAAAACAAGTCACTGGTATGTCAATAAATTGGATCAATATCAGTATCTGGGCAACTGCCCACCTACCCCTCCCCTAACCCAACGTTAACCTTAACTTGTTTTCAATTGACTGTTGTTGAATTAAGGGAGGGGTAGGTGGGCAGTTGCCCAGATACTGATATTGATCCAATAAATTAATATAAGGCAACCATACCGGACAGTGCCTGAGTTCCTTTTGTAAGGCAGTCGACATATAGTTTGCATTTACCCAAATACACTTCAACAATACCGTTAATGTACTGAATGTCGATGTAACTTTGAAACAGGATTCAAACGCGAAATCCGCCATCCACGCCTGTCACAGAGGGTGGTCAACCGCTGGCTTCTTGCTGTAACTCTCCTCCGCAATCCCACAATCATACAGTATCGTCACCATTCCTTTTCGGTACCCATTGAACAGAGTGAGGTCGACACGTCTTCAGTATCAGTCTTAGTCGACGCTATGATCTAATCGTCAGGTTTAGCTCATAGCACATAACTATTTTAAGGATTAAATGAAGGGCATTGTAATAGTCAAGTGTTGCAAGGTATATAGCTGTTACGAGAAAGATTATCGGAAAAACCGACAAAACTGCACGCCACAATCTTGGAAAACAATCTGGGTATCCGGTAGTTAATGAATTTTAATAAGTGAAGGAAAATAAATTTATTAATCAAACCCGCTGTACCGCGTCCGTACAATGACGTTCCTTAGTTTTTCTTTGCATCCTGAAGTCAAGGTGCCGTGATCTGAAAACTACCCTCAATACCTTTCATGGTTGTCGTGTGCATTTTTACGCTTTTTGTTGGACTACCTCTCTCGAAACAGCTGTATATTCCATGATAGGTTTATGCTCCAAATTAAATACTGCATAAAAAAAAGCCCATCATGTAAAAAGATCTTTTGTTTTTCTTAACATAGTTTATCATCATGAAACTTTCAAAGTTCAAGTGCGTCTTTAAGACTAAGTTAGACAGTTTAGTATTGCATAACATGAGTTGTATTCTATGTTACATCTATGCATTAAAAACGACTGCTCGGCTATAAGGCTGATAATTTTGCAATCTGGTGACAAGTAAGGGGTAAATGGAGCTTTATTTGGTTTTTCTTAACATGGTTTAACATTACTTTTGTAACTTTCAAAGTTGAACTACGATTCTAAAACTAAGTGAAGCCAATTCGTCGCCAGCCAGTTATTGATTCAAAATAAAAAAAAAGATCTTTTTTTTTTTTAATGTGGTTAACGATCTCGTTACCATTTTGCAGCGTGCAGCGTAACCCCATAATTATGGGAAATAGGAGCACCTCACCACGCCGAAGAAATGTGGACTTACTACTATATTACGACCGACCGTACAAGGTGTTACTTTTAGCATGCGCGGCCAACTGTACGTATTGCAGGCACTATTCTGGCCTTCACGCAATGGAAGGGTAAGGGAAAAGGGGATGCGCAGGCGCGATAGCGTGCGTATCTTCGATACCACTTTAGTGTGCGCCAGGAGACACCTACAAATAACAATGAAGTGCGCATACTCGTAAACTGAGCTTTAGTGCAGCGTATAGTGAGTACAAGGTTAGACATTACACGAGGGCTTCACGTGCGTCAGTAAATGTGAAGCCGCATAAGCAAATAGTTTGCAGCCCGCGTTTTAAGCGGGAAATCGAACTGGTGAGGTTGTGGTTGAACAGAAATTCTCAGTATTTTGCAATTTTTAATCAACTCGCAAAGCAACGATACCGGCACAACTAAAGTTTTTTCAAACGGAGGAAATTGTTATAATTCAAGTTCTTGGACAAAGGGTTTTGAGTGGAAATAGACTGGAAAGAAATTATAGAGACAGAGCGACCAAAGAAAGGAAGAGGTAAAAAGCGGAAAGCGAGTCGAGAAAATCGTGTAAGAAATTAGAAAGGACGCTAAAATAGGCACAATGCGGCAAGAGGAACGCGAAAGAGAACAAGAGAGGGCAAAAGTGAAAAGGCGAAGAGAGTCTAGAGTCTCGGGAAGAGCAAAGTGAGAAGGAAATACAAAGAGCTCCAGAAAACTGACTGCAAAGAGGTCACCAACAAAGAGAAGCGAAGTACAAAGCTAAAGGATCCGAGAAAGAAGTGGAGGTAAGTCGTGTCCAATCTGGGTTTTTTCTCTTACGCTGAAGCCTAGAAAAATTCAAATCTTCTTTCACCAATCGTCGTTTGATAATAGCTTCAGTTTATATTTCAAATCACGTTTCGGTAAAACAATGACTTTGGCATTCGTAGCCTTAAATTCTCGCGCCGGTTCATCGCTCGAATAACATTTCTAAGTGTTCGTATTCTTTAAGTTGTTTCTTGTCCTATCGTTTGGAATCTTTAATTAAGTCGTGGTATTAAGGGAAGAGAAGCTATCTCACGGATTATATTTTGCTTAGAAAGTTTTCAAATGATAGCGACCGGCGTGAGCAATTAAGTTTCCATCATTCTCTCTTCACTTAACTATCGTAGGGTTAACATTAATTATTAGAAAATCGCGCTTTGTCGAAGATGTGTTGTTTTACCCTAAGAACGAAGTAATGGCCTTTCTCGAAATTGGAATAAGATGACATTGAGTCAGCGATGTTAATGTTTACATTAAGTCTGACGCGGTAATTTGATTTTGACAATACTGTCAAGTGAGAACCCGTCAAACATCTGAGAATTAAATTACGGGTGCAATTTCATTGTTTGGTTTGGTACTTTTCAACGCTATGTTTTCATGCTTTCTACTCGATTTGTTCGAACTTCAGGACATGGTTTGTCTCTCAAAACATGGAGCCACTTTCTCTTCGCTCAACATCTCGAGGCGTACTTAGTGCTCGGGTTATGATTAACGTGCTTGCGATAAGTTAATTTTCCCCAAAGCTGGAAACTGAAGAACTAGTCTCTGAAATTAATAGTCATCACATTGTGCAAGAAGCGTTCGAGCTGTGATCGTGTAATTAAACGGGGTCCTGGCAATTTGAGCTTACAAACACGCTGGTAAGCACATGGGCAGCGTAAATAATCGTTGTCTATTGTTTTCGAATTTAAGAGCAGTTTTAGAGAGTCCGTTTGTGTAACCTACCAAGATAATTGCTTTTATGACCGTATATTGCACTCGGATTACATATGTAGAAAATTGCTTAAAAAATACCCATTATAGCTTTATTCAGAAGCATAGACAGGTTGGTAAGAAACTTCTGCTTCATTTTATTTTAACAGGTTTCTATTAACATACAACCATTTCTTTTATTTCCTCCCTAACCTGCGAGGAAATAATTAAATTTTATGTTAATTCAAGTGTGACAAGATAAAACAGAGGAGTTGCAGAGTTCTCTTTCCAGATTAAATTTAGGCGGGAAGATCAGTAAACTAGTTTATGTCATATGCTTCTACTGAGTCTTTAATTTTACTGCCCTGTTTGTTTTTTTCCATAGAGTCTCTTTTATATCTCTGTATGCCAGCTAATGATTAAAATCTCAGTGAATAGATATGCCACATTGTGATAGTTTTTCTTAAATTCCATCTCAAAGGTTTTGGCATTTTCTATGTTAAAATTCATAAATGACAATCCTTTTTCATTCTTGTAAAGAGATATGTATTACATGTTTCTTTAACTAAAATCTGAATCATGAAGTCAACTTAATTTCAATGAGTTTGAAACTTCATTCTAGATAAAAACAATTTACAGGAGTATAATGTTATATTTATTTGCCATCTTCCTTGTATATACGACTACCCTGTCTTCACCCTTTAACTACTGAGTGACCAAAACATAATTTCCCCTAACTGTATCTATAAAATATCATGCAGACAAGTGATGAGAGTAAGAAAAATATCAATTATGGGATAATGATACCAAATTCTCCAAACAAATGTAATGAGAATCATCTGGGAAACAGTAAGGAGAATTACTCATGAGATCTTGGGAGTTAAAGTGCTAAATGGGGATCCATTATATTGTAATGATTAAAATATCCTTATGCTTTCAGATGTAAAAAAAAAAAATGTGATGAGAATCTGATCTTATGAAACACTTCCAACGGAAAAACCTGTTGCTGGCATCTTTAATATGCCTTCAACATTTCAATTTTCATGGGAAATGCTTGTTTTTGAAAGGGAAATACAGAAATTTTTAAAGCTGCTAGAAATAAGCTGTTTGCAAGTAACGAATAGCAAATTGATAATCATAATAATGCTTGACATCCTTCAGTCATACATGTTGGTTGTGTACAACTACCATTGCAGTCTTTTAAAACATTTTTTGGTGTGGCTTGTGTGGCTGTTGTTCTTTGTTGATCTTTGTAGCCAAAAAAGCTACTTGAGTCATTGAACTTCAATTTTTATGTACACAAGCTAGGTGACCTCCCAGGAGGAGGAGTAGAAGACCATAGAATGATGTTTACTAGGCACTTGCACTTACTGCAATCATATATTCAAGGAATATTCTACATTTATTAAACTGATTACATGATGTCTTTAATAACTGTACACATTTTATATGTACCTCACATTTGTTGGCAACAATCATTAAGATTTTTGGAAAGCAAACAAACAAATGAACAGAGGACAGTAAAATGAGGGAAACTGTCAACTTTACCATAATATTATGATAGAAAAAACATCACAGAATAATTAAGAAGGGTAACTTGAATTGTGCTAACTAACTTCCTCCATTGCCTTTCATGTTTTAGATCAAATAAAGTTTGATTAGTTGTAGGGTTTCCCTACAATGTGTCAAATCACCATTGTGGACTTGATTCTTCTCAGATATCAGTTAGTAAAAGATAGATAATAAAATTAGATGACCATAAGAAAAAGTACGTTGTCAAACAAATCAAACTGAGGCAGTGGTGTGATTGATTTGTGATATTAAGAATGACAGAAGCAGGAAAAACATAGGTTCCTATTCACCAGCAAGTTGATGAGATTCTGGATTCTACATTCAAACTGGACAAGATTCCATTTATTCATATCATGCTTCATTATAGTTTGTTTACATGGAAAGGTCATTGTTATTATAGCTTCACTACTTTTTTTTGCTGTTGCAATTAACATTCATAACAAAGTTTCATTTAACATACAATGTTCAAAGAACTTTCTTCCTTTCTCTTCAATACCATTTACTACATCTGGAGAGGAGGCAGGTTATTAAAAATATAAAACTTTTGATTCAGGATATTAATTGAACATGTGAGTAACATTTGATGATTTCACATGTAACAGGATGATCAAGCTGAAGATAGCCTAAAAATTAGCTGACTAATTTGGAAACTTCAGCACTTAGTAAATACACCTTGGCTTGCAGTTTGGACTATTACAGTTTGCTGAGGTGATTGAAATGTCATTCCCCATGGAGGAACCTTCCAAATGATCTGTAAAGTCTTATACTATGAGAATTTTGTTGGTCAGTATACTATTGTAAAAAGAGCACCACCTAGAGACAAATTAATGACTTCCAGTAAGCATGAATGTTTGGGAGAAGTTAGAGTGGTAATCAACCCTACATTTGCTAGGATGCATATAATTATAGGGTTTGATGATTGTAATGTGTATCTTATAGCTTTCAAACTTTCAAATTTGTATTAATGGTAACTGTTTACCATTATTAGATCTATTTCTCTGTACCTTAAGCCCTCAAATGTTGAAGCAGGTGAGTCTACAAACTGACTGCCTTTGTTGGGAGTTGTGTGATTATATAATTTTTCTGAGTAAGTAACCACATTCTAACATGTAATATTATTATTATTATTTAATTTGTATGAAATACTCTTGCTCAAACTTTCAATGGTGCAAGGTATTTCTTGCTTACCTATGGTCATACCCAAACTAAACATTGATCTAAGGAATTGGTTACAGGATATGTGACCATGCCATGCACAGAGAAATAATATAACTGCCATAGCTTTATAGGTTAAAAAATTAAAACAAGAGAGTTGTGCAGACCATATCTTACTTTTTATCCTCCTCTGGATGTTTACTCAGTTAACATAGTCACAATCAGTCTAATTCACTCTCACTGTGCACTGAGCTTGAGAAAAGAACCTCAGTATCTTTTATAAATGAAGAAAAGAAAGCCTGCCCTCCTACCAAAGATAGTTCTTTTATGCATGAGCAAATGTCCTTTTTTGAAAGCACTCAAGTGCTTTAAAAATAGACAAAAAAGAACTATTTAAAAAGTACTCTTGTAAGACAGTGACTTTTCCCACTATCAGCGCTAACCTGGTCTAATTTGTACATGAGGGTTATTGTTCCAGGTAAGCTAACCTTATAAATTGGTTGTGAAAATTTCTTGAACCTGTCATTGTGTGAATGTTTGACTTGATTTTACCTCACTAACCTAAACTGAACAAATAGAAACTTGAAATTTATCTGCTCTCCTTTTGAGGTGTGCATCAAAATTATGAAGTCATGTCAGGCTTGAACTACAGGTTCATAGGAATCTGCATGCGCGTGCGTTTCCAACATTGAAACTTGGATTATGACTACTTGGAATGACTTTACCACATACCGTACAGGTACAGGCAGTTTGCTTAACTTTTTCTTCAGTACACATTTCTTTTTCTAAGGATATTGTTTATCTGGCCTATGTTGAATTTTATTTTTCAACCAATTTTATTTTATTTTGAATATTCTTAGATCTTCTAGTATCATTTAATATTCACGTAATTAAAAGAATTAAATGAAATCTTGCAGGTGTATGGCACATCACTTTTTCCTCTAATCCTACTAACATTTCATAAGGTGAATGGATAGGTATTGGCTACAAAAGTACAGTCAACTCAAGTTTTGTTTACAGCCTATGCATCAAGTTTATGTAATAAAAAATTGTATCTTTCTAAAAGCTAGTTCATCAGAATAAGAATGAGTTACGAGGCACAAGTATGCCTTTCACGACAATAGTGTTCAGGTTTGAGAAAAGTCACTGCCTACTAAAATCCTCAGTTCCTTTGCCCTGACAGCCCAACCTCATCAAAACATTGGCAACAGGAGCGATTAGCAAATTAATGATACAGACAAGAGAGCCAATTCCCACATACACCCTCCTCGATCCTGTAAGCTTATTATGAACATGGCATTTCAAATATGGTGTATATAGTACCACAGATTTTCCATTTCCCTTACTAATTATTTTGTAATGGTGTTGACAAGTTGTGGAAAATGATTGGGTCGAAAGATAATACAGAGACTTGCCAGTATAGAGTCAAATGAAAACTTTTTACATATCAATAAAATTCAATGTTGTGTTTCATTTTAACATGTTGCAACAACTTCACCTTCCAGTAAATTCAATTATTTTCAAAATAAGAAAATACCAACTAAAGCTTTTCAACCTATGTAAAAGAGCTAATTAACAATATCAACTCAATTTTTAAACTTAAGACTGAGAAAACCTTGATTGATGTTTGGAATTCATTTATGTGATATACAAATGAAATTCAGGTATTATCTCAAGTTTTCTACAAATGTCTTCATGGTTGAATCCTTAGTCTCTCTGAGTCATCAAATTTTAATTATAATAAGATATTCTAGTTCTGGCTTGTCTTCATTTAAATCAAACTTTTGCAGCCCAAGAAACATGCTAGACAAATTTCGTATTTCAGCAGCTAGAGTTGCTAAGATCATGGACAGTTGGCTTAAAGACACCTACATTTTATGTAGCTACAGCAGAGGTTACTGAATTAAATAACAGCTCTTAGCAGAATTATTTCTGTCAGGGTCATCAAAGAGATATTCTTTCAATGTGTGATATCGCAGGAAGCAAGGTGCTAGACACATTTGCACTTGGCAAACTCCACACTCAATGATTGTTTCCACTGGTTGTATGTGTACCTTACATCTTCTGTTAGTGCCAGTTTTTTTTATGGGATAGTGAAACTGCACATGGATGAAGCAGATATCCGATGACTGGGTGGGATTTGCTGACAAGTTAATTTAACCTTCAAAGGTTACTAGTGTAGAAGTGAGAAGACAATCTGAATGCACAATATAAATCGCAGTTTAATCAAATGAAGTACGTAATCAAAATTACAAATGAAAATAAGGAGGTCGGTGCGAAATTACAGATGAAGAGGGCAAAGTAAGATTGAAGATAGCGTAGTTATGATTGATGGTAACGTTGTAGCTGAATTTGTGTGGTTCAAAGTAAAAGAAAATGCCGCAGAAACTAAACTAAGAAAATATCCCTGAGAAATGTAACACTAACCTAATTAACAATGAAGCGATTATAAAGTGAATTGAGAGCGAGAAATAAATCGATAGAATATAAAAAAAGGGAAATATCTTAAATGAGAAATAAAGAAAACTTACTTTGGTCTAGTTCCTAATGACTGTAGATAAATCGCCGATAGTGGATCATACGTGAACAGCAGACAAAATTGGTGGCGTCGACAGCAACTTATAGCGATGAAATATGAAATATAATATCTGGAACAAATGCTTAAATGAAACTGATTGAAATAAAAAACATATTTTAAAAGTAATAATCATTAACCAACGAAGAAATAATAGACCGGATCAAACATAACAGAAAAGTACACAAGTTACGCGTTTGGAAACTAACAGTTACTGCTATCTCTTCGAAAAGAATATCCTGCTATAGGGTGATCCACTAGTTTCTCTTTGAAAACAGCTAGCCTACGGATTTGAATTGTTCCGGGAAATTCATCTGTGTCATCCAAAGACAAATTCTGTGACGGTGCACAAACTGCAGTGAATCTGGGCTGCAAGGCATTAAAAAATGGCCTGATTTTCCACAGTAAATCTCATTAGAGTCATCAGGGTCTGGAGCATTGATGTTATCAACAAAGTACACAAGCCGCAAAATTCGAGGATAGGGTTCTCTCAATAATTATTGGGTTAGGAAACATTGGAGTTTTAAAATCTAAATTACTAGACCAGTAAGACTTCAAGTTGGGTTTTTCCAATAAGCCCATTGCTTAGGTGAGACCTGAAGCAAAGCCTTCAGCTCTAGAACAGTCAAATTTTGAGATGACCACACGAGTTTGGATGAAGTTGGAACTTTTGGCGTTTTGAATAAGATGATCTCATTCAAAATCAGCTGGTAAACATTATCAGGGACGAGCATAGTTAAGACAACTGCTGTTCTCCATTTCTATTGTCACAACAACCCTTTTATTGAAGTTTCGGTCTTGACGATGACCAAATCAAATTCGAGTTGTCACGCTCCTCATTTTCTCAGCTGCCATCGCTTTCTTCTCCACTTTCATCTGCTGATTCTTGTGTTCGCTACTTTCGACATCAGAGGGTGCTTCGTTGTCAGAATCCACGTGGGAAACACGGATAAAGGCAACAGAGAGATCGTCTTCGCCCAAAAGTCAATCCAGTCGCTTTTGTAGGCTCCATTTCAAACTATTTCGCCACCAAGTTTTACGCTGAACATCTGGCAACGCCATATTTAAAAGGCCACCGCAAAATACACGTGATAATAAAAGTGAAAAATTCCCAAAAAAATCGTATATTTTGAGTTTCAAGCTGTTTCACAGAAATGAGCCCTAGTTTATCAGCCAGCGGTTTACCAGCCGATTTAACTAGGTTAATCATGTATGGGGAATTATTATCTACTCAATTCATGTTTTTTACTATACTTTACATACATACAATAACGTCCATGATAATTCCCCATACATGACGTAGTAAGTAGATTTATACCCATTCCCCATGGATAGACTGAAACAGCAAAATAGAGGCGATGTAATTTTTAACGTCTGCGCAAGTCGTTTGTCTCTAAGGGGAAGTGTTAATCAGTGAAGCGGAAAGCTATCGAGTTTAGAGAAGCAGTCATAATGGCTTCAGAAGCGACAAGTGAGAATGAGTAAGTGATAGAAAGAGTTGTAACGAGTTGTTGATTTGTTCCATTTATCGAATACACGCATCTCATGGCGGCGAATGTTTCAAAGCAAAGCTTCTCAAATCGGCTAAAGAATAAGTGAAGAAATAGCGTCAAATGGTGCCAGTGGTTTCAAGAGTTTGTTGGCGAAGTCTCTTGCTGAAAAGTTTATGGTCTGTTCTCACAAACGCAATGTTTCAAGGTTTTGGTTGAGTCACGCTCGGTTTTGAAATACGCAAACATTGATAACAACTGCATGTAGGCTATTTTATTTAGTTATGAGCCAAGTGTCGCTTTAAAGCTGCGAACATATCCGCGCTGATTTAAGATTTCCGGCTTCCATTCGTTCCATTTCAGAAAATTTGCATTTTTTACAGACACGTATGTTTACCTAATTCATTTAGAATTATGATTAGCTATATGTATGCGCCATACTTCTAAATGGAAAGTGTTAAAGGACTTTTCGTCATCCGTTTCTGTCAGAAATCTAGTACCATTGATCAAAAAATCGCACTCCCGATTCAAGGTTGCATGATCAAATTGGACTCCACTCGCTTTTAATTGCCATTATTATTCATCTGTTCATTCCCCTTCAAAAAGAAACCAGTCAGTAACCATTTAATTATTCAATTCAGAATACATGTCCGCGTCACTTCAACTACAGATCTTTTATAAGGCTCTCTTCAGTGTTTTCAGTACTCTAGCTAGGACAATGTCCTCACATCGTGCCCCACATGCAAAATACTCTATACACCGAATTCGTAAATGGCGGCCGCGCGGAAAAGCCTGGTTTCAAATACAGGAAAACGAGGCTCGAAAGGCTTTTATTCAGTATCACTATGGCGTCTTGTTTGGCAAGTTCATTCGATAGCGTTGTTATTCTCACAGAGGATGATATTCAGGGGGCTTCACTGGAGGGGAGAATTCCTTAATTATGGAAGAACGAAGAATTGAGGTTTTGGCTGTCGAGGAGATTCCCTTAAAGGTTTAATTAAAACTGCATCACAGGAGTTTAAGAAAAGCAGATCTACCTCCATATAAATATTGTGTACATTAGACTTTAATTTCTTTTTGAGTGAACAGCACTTGGTGCCTCACAAGCGAGGCATGATCTAATCTGTTTCATAATTTCTGTGCATGCACAGAGATGTTGATGAGATTGGTGATGCAAATTTCTGTTATCTTAGGGGTATCTTGTTTTAGTTACTATCATTGTACTTTGCCATGTAATTATAGGATCTTGCATATTACACAACATGGCACACACACCACATTTGATTTACTATGCCAAACTGGCTTAAAGGAATTACTCCCTCAAAAATTAAAAAGTTCTTGACCTTGTTAATGGCTCTTTCTCGATAAATTCTCAGCGAAGCAATATCCTGTGTCTTAATCACATCCTCAGGTGTCACCTGATCTGATATTCCCAACGAGGAGGATATATTGAGGGAGATACCCAGGGGAAGTATGTCTTCAATGGTGAAACCCTTGTCAGCCATTATAGGGTCCCCTTTAGAAAAAGGGAGGTATAAAAAAACACTGCACTCAACCATTTCCTTTTCTGATATGCTGCTTGTGTACAACTGTTCAATAAATGTGAGAGACCCTTTGGGTAAGATTCTTACTAGTCCCTTTAAAGTGGTGTGATGTTTATAAGAACTAAACAGTTCACTATTTAAAAGAGGACTACGTGGAATTTCGCAGCGAATCTCTGTGCAGTCAATGATCACCTTTGTTGAAGGGTATTTAGCCTTGAAATCATCTGGCATTGTCTCATCAACAAGTCTTCTGGATGGCCAAATATTTAGCCGGCCAAGTTTTAAGTACACGAAGTTGCACCGTGTAACAAATTCGACTGAAAGTCGACTGTGAAATATAAAATCAGTTGGCTTAATGTTGTTCAGCAAAACCTCGTCAGAGTCTACAGTTTGTGAGAAAAAAAATCTAATGGTGGTAAGAATCTTGGCCTTCCCTATTTCCCAATTTTCTCACTATCACTATTAGACTTGACTGTCTCTCTACCAGGTAACTAGTAATTGATATTTCCTCTGTTGGTACTAGGGTCCAGGAATTCGAACAAAGCCATCATCGTTTGAAAGTTTGGATGACCGGCGTAAAATGTCAGAAGTGAAGTGTTTTTTGATATTTCAGAGTAAAAACAATTGATTTTTGAGTGTAGCACATGTCTGATTTAAGTCACAGCATCTTTCCTCCAACAACGAAACCTCTTCCTCCAAATTCTTGTTCTTGGATAACAATGCAGCAATCTGGTCTTCTAGTTCATACAGTTCTACAGTTTGTGAGAAAAAAAAATCTAATGGTGGTAAGAATCTTGGCCTTCCCTATTTCCCAATTTTCTCACTATCACTATTAGACTTGACTGTCTCTCTACCAGGTAACTAGTAATTGATATTTCTTCGTAAGTCAGTTTTCGTTGACCAGATTTTGTGGCCTTTACGTAATGATTCCCCTGTTTTCCTAATTTTCGAAACGACCGAGCGCGCCACGGGTGTCGTGTTGGCCTATTTCAGGCGTAAAAAGCCTAGAAATACATTGGGTGTCATTGGAGTCCAGATCTCGCGCGGTCAAAAAACCCCAGGGAGGGAGCCATCTAAAATTAGACAAGTTTTATTCAGCAAAGCAGAAACCTACTGGGTTTAGAAAAGCAGTCATAATGGCTTCAGATGCGACAAGTGGGAATGAGTAAGTGATAGAGAAAGTTGTAACAAGTTGTTAATGTGTCTCGTTTATCGAATACATACATCTCGTTGAAAAAGTTTCGAAGACTTGATACCGCACGTGAACTGACATGGCGGGAAGTGTCTCAAAGCAAAGCTCCTCAAGTCGGCTAGAGAAAAAGAGAAGAAATAACATCGAAAGGTGCCAATGAATTCAAGAGTTTATTGGCAAAGTCTCTGGCTGAAAATTGAATGGATCTGTTCTCACAAACGCAATGTTTAAAGATTTCAATTTGGTTGCTTCATGCTCGGTTTGTAATACGCAAACATTAATAACAACTTCTTTAGACTAGTTTATTTATGGGCCAAGTATCGTTTTAAAACTGAAAATATATCCCTACTAATTTAAGAGTTTCGTCTTCCATTTGTTCCATATGCACCATGCTTATAAATGGAAAGGTTAATAGGAATTTTTTCATTCATTTCTGTCAGAAATCTAATACCATTGATCAAAAAATCGCACCACCGATTCACGGTTGCATGATTACAGACCAAATTGGACTCCACTCGCTTTTGATTGCCATTGTCATTCATCGGTTCATTGCCCCTTATTGAAAGAATTCAATCAGTAACCGTTTGATTATTCAGTTCTGGATATATGTGGAACGGTCAACATTTACATAGCGAAGCAACCTCCGCGTGACTCTAACTACAGATCTTTTATATATGGCTCTCGTTACTGTTTTTAGTGCTTTAGCTAGGATACTACACTCGCGTCGTGCCCCACATGCAATATATTCGATAGAGCCTTTTTTTCACTCCATTCATGAGATGAAACGTAATGAAGTTATGGATCTATGAGCTACTAAATTTCTTTTTTCTCTTGTTGTAGCTGTTTGGAGGCTCTCCACCAGCAAAGAAAATTTGAGTTTGGATGTCTTGCTCCCGCAGTGAGTGCTCTGTTCAATTCTGTATATTTTTTTGGGTAATGATTACAGAAATAATAATAACGATAACGATAATGACGTTGAAGAGGGTGAAGATTTTAATAATAATAATAATAATGATAATGATGATGATGCTAATTATGACAACGACATAAACGGCAGCAATAGCGGATTTCCTTTTATCTGTGCTCTTTATCGTGTGGATATGGACTTGGAAAGGAGCCACTATTTGATAAAGTTCAAATAGAGAGAGAGAGAATGTCTCCCTTTTCAATAGCCCTGTAAATAATTTAAGTGTTCTTAATTATGTCTGTTGAAAAATGGTTTTGATAAAACTTGTAGTAACAGGTCGCTAGCCTGTGTGCGATAAGTGTTTGTGTGGCGCCGCAACATTCCGGCAATAGTTGGAACAATAGGCAGTGGGGGATTAATTGCTCTTCTCATTCGGTGTTTTTTGTGTAGATTCATTCTACAAAAAAAATCATCTAATGTTTCTTTTTGTTTTTCTTTTCAGTTGGTTATTATTTTAGTTCTTTCATTCCTGAAGCGACGCATTAAGCTTAAATTAGAGCTCTGGGATGGGCGCCCTGGACTACTGATGTATGTTGTTCGTATATGAAAATAGATATATTTATAATTATTTCATAGCAAATCTAGAATTTAAGCGATTTGGCCCCCCATACACAATGACGCACGCACATGCGCACTTACACAGATAAAAGCCTCTGTCCGAGTGATTTGCTCCATTCGAAGCCATCTTCCTTTGCATTACCGTGACTGATTCCGTACATTATGAAACGTCTTTACGTTGCAAAACAATTCAAATCTAGATGGACGCCACGATTTAAGTATAATTCATCCCCAAAATTCAAAAGCCAAAGGTTCAAAGCTGAAAGCGTGTCTCAAAAGCTTGTTTATCACATGTAAAAGTGTGTTATTTGACTCCAAATTTCAAGCATAGGTGCGGTAAGTTGTTTCAACTGATGAATGACTAACTTCCACTCTGGTCTTCGAAAAATCAGTCCCTTTCATCGACAATTGTCTTCTTTTTCTATTCTATACCCCCTCCCCTCTCCTTCCTTTTGACCATTGCTCACCCCCCACCTTCTTAGTTGAAATTCCTTCCTCTCCCCAGCCTTCCGCTGCTGTAAGAATAAAAGATGGCCGCTATGATTTTCATCAAGCTAATGCTATAACACCAACCAGGGTTTGAGAAAAGGAAAGGGTAGCGTAATTTATCAATAAGTTGCTGGTTTTGTGGCTAATGATCTAGCCGCAGTACGATTTTCCATAGTGACAACATATCTGCATCATTCCTCTTTAGACCGATGAACTTTCTTGGTGGTCTCAGTAACAGGTGGACTATTGCTGCTACGTTTGGAGCCACAGGTAGCACTCTTATAACTATGGCAATAGTTGGAAAAGGCGGTATCTCGATTGTCCCATCTGACTCTCCCTGGGTGAAAAGTAGGTAACTCTAACGCTATTATGATCGAATTTCTTAGCTTTGTTGGCAGTAAGGATAATCAAGGAGCTTTACGCGAGAAAAGTTTTTATAAATAATTTGATGTGAAAGTCACCTTTTGTGATTTGTTACATAGAGTAATGAGAGTACCGCTTAAGCGTATCGCGAGCTCACGTTCAAGGGACCTAAGACTTGTAAGACCATGCGGCGATGTGAGAATAAATGCACGAAGTTTTGTCACAGTTTTTGCGTGTAAGAAGCGGTATAAATCGACTGTTCTAATGTTTGAGAACAAAAGATTTAAAGGTAAAAATACAGTAACATATTTAAAGCATATACCCTTAGAAATCTTTGTCATGCGCATAATGCTCGATGCATGTCTAGTCCAGATTCCAGTAAATTGCTCTGTAATAACAGCCTAAACTCTTGTGGTCTCCAAAGTACAGCACTATGATCACAACAGGTGCATGGGTATATTTATTTAATAAGTTTTTTTGTTTAACCTGCAATGCCATCCCAAAATTCAAAACTAAATCATTACAAAGAGGCAAAATTAGGCTTGGAAAACAAACAAAACCAACATTCAAACAACCAAACAAAACATAAATTTTAAAAAACACACACACACAAAGCAATCACTGCTAGAGGACAACCAAAGCTGAGAGACTGAACCAAAAGTATTGTAAAGGAAGGACAAAGTAACTGCAAAAGCCGAGAACTACAAGAGTTCTTCTATCGAAGTTTGAAACTATGAGCAATTTCTCTCTTTCCTTTTACTCAGTTATTGACATTTTTTTGGCTGTCCTCCTTTGTACAATACTATTCTATCCATATTTTGCCTGCCTCACAACTGAATACAAGCTCGTTGGTTCTATTCTTGGTTTCCTTTACGGTGCGTTGAGGTATGTATGCGAGTATTTTCTTAAATTACGACATTTTTTACACTAGTTAGTTATGTCAGATACCAAGTATATGAGTTGGACAGAGTTGAAATCCCGGTCCCGGTCATCTCATTTCTTTTTTCCTTTTTTTTTATGGAGGGTGTTTTACATGAAACTTCGAAAACACTTTTGACATTAGTCCTCAATCGTATCCATAAGTTGAAAACATGCGATTTCATGAGATACGAACGTTAATTTTGAGTTTGGGGCTGAAAAAAAACCCCGGAAGTCCTCGAAGTTGATGGAGGTTTCTTTATACAAGAAACACGCTGAATACTAAAAAACTGGTACTAAAAAACTGGCGTACGCATATCGATTTATGGAAGCACCACGCGGAAAGTTTGCAGAGCACGAGAGAAGCGTAAGAGTCGCTCGAGGCACAGCCAAAAGCAACTCTAGCTTCTTGAGTGAAATTTTGAATATTCAAAATATTCCATTGAACAACAGTTTTAGGAAATGTAACACTTAAAAATAGTATGAATCGTTCGAAAAACGATGCGAAAAACTTACAAATTTTTTGCATTTACAACAGCCGTGTGGTAGATTTACCCGCTTGATTTGTTGTTCACTAGAATTTACGACCAGCAGATTGTGTAGCTTTATGTTGAAAATGCTGAAAATTGTACGCTTTCAAAACAAAATCTGCTATTGAACAACACTTTTGGAACATATCAAAACTTCAAAATAATATTTACTATTCTAATGAAGAGTTCCTAACGCTGCAAAGCCTTAGCTGAGGTGAGGAAACTCAATCTTTTTTCTCAGCTATAATTCGCATCGCGTGTGGGAATGAAGTATCGTCAACTCGAACACTAATTTCTTCGTGTGAAAGAGTTACATGCTCATTGTTACGCGAGGCGAGTTTATACAGCATATTTTCTTTTCATCTGGAGCTTGAAAAGGCCTATGTCAATTGCGATAGAACGGGAAAAAATCTTGAAAGTTTTGAAAGCTCGCGGCTAAGTTCGACGGGAACTTTCAGCTGAAGTGAAACAGCAAACGTCATGTTATGGATGCACAGCCGTGCGTACATAAAGATTTTTACCACGGTAGCTTTTTAAGATTTAGACAGAACTTGAGCACGTTATGTTATAATGTATATTATCTTTCTTTTCTTGGTCGAGATGCCTTACCTGGTTACAATCCCTCCAGTATTTTGACAGTTTGCCAAGAAGGCCAGACGATACGTAACTCATTGACTTCTATTGGTTTCTTTCAGGTTTTCTTTTCAACTTGCTACACAGATACGTTGCTACGTTGTGTCTAAGGTATTGGTTTTGGAATGCATCAACAGGCGTGTAGTACATGTGTTTCCTTATGGTCACGCAGATAAAGCTGCTTGCTGTGTTTTTATGAAAGACTGAGTAGAGCTAAGGGAATGGATTACAGAGAAGGAGTCAAATCATCCAAAATACTAATATAATACGGGGATAATTTTTTGTGACTTTTACATACTGCGCTGAAAAAGCGTGATCGTTCTCAATTCTTGAACAACTTTCAGGTCTCTAAAAGGTTGTAGAATATTACATACTACGTATTTTTATAATGTAGAAAAGGCTAGCGAGCACTCCCCGAGTATTTTTTGTTCGCTGTTGTTTCGAGTGCCACTATTGCAGTTGGCTAGAAATTAGATTTAATGAGTCATTCATTCACAAATTATGGCCCTTATGACTTAAGTTACTTATGTATTTATTTTCCTTTTAGAAAACAGGATCCTATGGAATAAGACCTATTGTTTCAAACCTGCCGACAACACTGTGCCTTATCTTTCTAACAACGCGATTTGCTTTCTTTATTGTTCGACGAGTTATTCAGATGTGGTCTGTATCTTCTACAGAGTCAGCTGTAAGTTGGAGATTTATACAAACATATTTTCTTCCCTTTATAGCAGATACAAAGGTGTGAAATTTGTGTATGTGCCATCGACTGGTTGGTTTTTATAGATCGTTTTCTATTTAGTTAAGGACGGTGAGGTAATAATGGCATCACAAAATTCATAGAGGGGCGTTAGGCAAGGTTTTACTGACGCTCTAAAATCGAAATATAAAAAAGTTTGAAAACATCATAAAATTTAAGAGAATTTAGGACTTCATAGCGAAACAGGCGAAAATGACGGCAGGAGGGTACAAATTTAAAGGATTGAGGGTATCGGTAACTATTTGTATTATTATGGAAGGTTCTCTACTCTTTAGGCAAAGGACTCCTGCTCCCGCTCACTGGCTCATGATTCAGACGTTGCTCACGTGAAGTTCATTTTGGGGCAAAAACCTCTAATGTAAGATACCTTTTAAGAGCTCTAAAAGTTGGTCCTCTAAACAAACTCCTGTCTAGTGTACAACTAAAACAGTTAAATTCCATTATCCATGTCCTTCTCTTTGTTTTCTCCTTCTCCTTCTCCTTCTCCTTCTCCTTCTCCTTCTCCTTCTCCTTCTCCTTCTCCTTCTCCTTCTCCTTCTCCTTCTCCTTCTCCTTCTCCTTCTCCTTCTCCTTCTCCTTCTCCTTCTCCTTCTCCTTCCTTCTCTTCCTTCTCCTTCTCCTTCTCCTTCTCCTTCTCCTTCTCCTTCCTTCCTTCTCCTTCTCCTTCTCCTTCTCCTTCTCCTTCTCCTTCTCCTTCTCCTTCTCCTTCTCCTTGTCCTTGTCCTTGTCCTTGTCCTTGTCCTTGTCCTTATCCTTGTCTTTGTCCTTGTCTTTGTCCTTGTCCTTGTCCTTGTCCTTGTCTTTGTCCTTGTCCTTGTCCTTGTCCTTGTCCTTGTCCTTGTCCTTGTCCTTGTCCTTGTCTTTGTCCTTGTCCTTGTCGTTTTCCTTGTCCTTGTTCTTGTCCTTGTCCATGTCCTTGTCCCTGTGTCTGTGCCTGTGCCTGTGCCTGTGCCTGTGCCTGTGCCTGTGCCTGTGCCTGTGCCTGTGCCTGTGCCTGTGCCTGTAACTGTGCCTGTGCCTGTCCCAATCCCTGTTCCTGTCCTTGTCGTTGTGTTTTATCTTTGTATTTGCACTTGTCCTGGCCCGGCCTTAGCCTTGGCCCTCACCCTCGCCGACCAATTCTTTTTTCCTCATTGTTTTCCTTCTTTTCATTGTGATCAATTGATCATTGTCAGCAGTATTGTCTTTTTTTTTTCATGATCAGATACCCGGTCAAGACAGAGTGGTACTGGAAGGTTCTCTACTTTTGCTATATACCAAGGGCAGGTGTGTATGGTCTTTCGTTACAACATAAACAATTTTGGTATTTTACGTTGATTTATTGGTTTTTACTTCATGCTTTTCAATCGTTTATGGGCCCTGATTTATTGACCATTTTGTTCTTTTATTTTATTGTTATTATTCTTAATAATGAGCTCAAAGCTAGACTAGACTAATGAAATGGAAAACTTCTACAATTTCAGATTTCAAGTTCTCCACTCAGTTGATATCAACAGTGTTTCTCGTCGGGATAATTGTCTTTGAAGTTAGTGCTCAGTGTATCAGAATATGTCTTGTCAATCGATTTGTAAATGGACTTTTCCTTTCTCTGCTGTTCAATTTGTCTTTCGCAAGGATTCAAAATTTACAGCAGAAACAAGTGTATATATTAACGACCCCAATCATTTGTAGAAAACATTTGCCATGAAAAGATTCTTAGATATTTTATTTCTCTTTGTTGCATGTAGGTCTCATTGTCGTCACTCACATGGTGGGAAGTAAAGATAGGCGGTTTTAGGGGTTCCCATTTCGATACTCTGAGAGGTGATGTATTAGCAACAAGACATAATAACTCACCTGCTTTCTAAAATCTCTCAAGTTCAAAGCCTTTATCGACTTGACCATGTGAAGCGGAAATCTTTCCTCAGTCTTTTAGTCCCTCAGAGCATTAGTCAATTAATCAAACCTCTTTCCAAAAGTACTAAATATATTATAATCCGCGGAAATAAGACATATTACCATTACCATTGTTCATTATCATATGTTAAATAGGACATACTTCGTTCTGATGGGCTGTATCTTCTGCGGCATTTCATCGAAACTCTTACCTCCGGTGACCATTTGCATCAGAGTAAAAACACCTCCACACTTAAAAGAAAAAAAACGACCTCGCAAGGAGATCGACTGTCTCCTCAGAAACTTTTCTTATGTTGCAGGCGGTAAATCGTCCCAATGAGATGATTATGAAGTTAAAGCTTTAGCGAGAGGAGGTCACTTGTGTAAAAAGCCTCTGTCATGCAAAGAAAGACTTCTATCAGCTCTAGCATCAGGGGCTATTTAAGCCCGTTTCAGGCGCTAAGTAAATGACACGGTTGTAAAAAATACGATTGTTGCGGACGGGTGAAACCGAGGAAGATTTGGTTTGGGATCGTTATGTGACCCGACTACAGTCCCCTTCGTTGTTTTTCCTCCACCGCCGCTATAATTGCATCGTTTACAAATGTGTTCCGCTGTTTTACCACCCAATTGCTTGGTTGGAACAGGCTAGGTCTGTTTTCTTTTTCTGCTTGCCAGATTTATATATTTATTATGTTGATTTTAGGTTGTCTTTACGGATCGTACATTTTTGCAGCTTTGATTTATGTTATAACAACACTTCATTTCATGAAGTGCCACAGGTTTGTGCGACTAGTTACCTAAACGTGTTTGTGTGGACCATGAATGTTCAACAGGACACTACAGTTTTATGAGGGATCAGGGATAGCGCAGTATTGAGTGAGAGCGCCCGTCTCCCTTCTGGAAACAGGGAACAAGGAGAGTCATCACATGGACCCCTTCCCCGCACCCCATTCCACCCCCCACCGCGACCTGGTGATCAATAATGACACGTCCCTTCTTCCCAGTGCGAGTTATAGCATTTCACATATCACGAGTAAAGTTCAAGTCAATTCAAATTGTTCCTTTGTTTTAGTTTTTAGATTTTTTTCTCTCTTTTTTGTTTTGAAAATAAACGGAATACAAGAGTACCCAGTTTTAAGCTTAAAACGTTTTCCACGGCCGTTTGCGAGGGTTAATTCTGCACTGATCCACAGCTATGTTCACGGAAGTAAACATTCCAAGGTACATTTGAGTTTCTTTTTTATTACACACACCTGAGGCAGAAGTCCTTCTTCTCTTCGACTCGAACTTGACTCGTGACTCGAGCTTGACTCGGGCTTAAAGTTAACTCGTGAAATGGTATAACTCTTGCTGTGCATTCTGTTGAACTCGGACTGAAAGATTACTGTAACGTCTATTGTAATTCTCTCTCATAGGGACCATATACTCCAGCTTTACCGTGGAGATAGACGCCTGATGCGAAACGTTTGCCTCTCACCGGCCTCTTTTGTGGTATGGCGATAAATCTCCTTTCAACTCTCCTATCAAAATTGAAGAGGAAATTAATAACCTTTGCCTACACTGATATCTGTTTAAAAACTACCTTACATGGAAGGGCAAGATGATTTGAAAGGTTGGAGAGCTCTTAGCCTTTTCCAGAAAATTGAGAATTTATCCCTTGCATAACCTAATGTTGGTTGAATGTCAAAACACGTTCAAGTTCACGTTCACGTTCGCGTTCAAGGTCACGGTCAAGATCACAGTTACAGCTGTGTTCATAGTCATGGTCACGATCATGATAACGATGATGATTTAAAGGAGGTCACGTACATTTTGCCTCACTACTGAATATTTTGTCTTGAAGGGAAGAAGTCTGAGTTATATTGGATACCAAGTCGCCTATGCCGTGATTGGTACGTATGATGTTCCTTAAACTTAATATCATTAAAAAGAATGCAAAAGTTGTAGTTCTAATGATCAATTTTTAATATTAATTGCACAGGAACATCCAGCGTAACATGCATAACAAGTGCGAGCTTATATTGAAGCAAAAGAGGAAGTTTCTTTTGGTTTTTACGCTGCCTAAGCTAAATAAGAGTTTGAATGGGTTGAGGGTTTGCATAACTTTCGCGTACGTCTTAAACACCTCTAGTGTTAAAACAAGGCTTCGTTAAGTGTTAGGTAGTGTCTAATCAGGCCATGCAAATGGTGAGATATTCATATCGCTAGTATTAGTTTTTCAGTTTTTTGCTCGTTCCTCTTTACAGGTTTTGTCGTGTTGTCAAACTTGGTCTTCATTCTAATTCTCATTCCCAGCATTTTTAAGGAAATACGCGATTTGATTTTATTCGCTGCAAAAGGATTTGTGTGAGTAGATTCATAATGTAAATAGGTTGTGTTTAAATTGTTGACATTTCCCCTCAGGTATTTTATTCGTTTTTGTTTGTTTGTCTGTTTGTTTCAAGTTTTTTTTTTTCAGACCATCGATAGTACTGGCTGTCATATTACGAGTGTTCCAGCGCGTGTTCCTATCTCGATATGTCTTTCGTGACAGAGAGTACCCAAATTTCTCAGTCGTGATTGACAATCGGTAACGTAAAAAACAGTATCTGTATCTATTTTTATGATAAGCTGAGATGCACACGAGTTTTTTGACCCGTAGATGACGTCGTTATAAACACATTTTTGCCGCTTTATCATTGATTGTTAACGTGCCAATATTCAGCTATAGATCACAAAAGACGTCAATTTGGGATAAGAACATAACTGACCCACTCGGCTGCGCCTTGTGAGCCAATTTGTTTTCTTCTAGCTTGCAGAGCAGACGTAATTTTGGCGGGCGAGTGCTCAGTATTTTCTTGACGAAAATTATGACCACCATCTTTGATTTTAATGGCAGCGGAAGGCTGGGGAGAGAAAGAAATTTGTACCAAAGGGGCTGTCGAAAATCAAAAATAAGGAGAGGGGTCCACTCTAACTCCAAATCAAACATGGCCGGACGAATGAATGATCGCGAGCTTATAAAGTTAGCTCGCCCCGATATGACGCCTTCATTACAGGCCAGCTTATCTCTTACCACATTTTTAAGTCATCTGTGAGCTACTACTGAACAGAAGCACGTTAACATGGTGTCTATGTGTTAATTAGTGATTAAATTAGCGTCATGGGTTGGTTTGCTATTAGTGATTCTTATTCCTCTGCGCCTCCATGCAATGTTTAATGAACCAATTTACGTCACAAAGGCTTGCATTCTTGTAATATCTAAAACTGGTTGTGTAAACGAATTTTCCAACACAATTTGTCCAAGAAAGTAGCTTTCATGCTTAACAAAGAATATGGCTGCACGTCTCATTTGCAATAAAATATAATGCTTCGCGTCTTGCTAAAGGCGCGGGATGTTGGTACGAAAATTTAATTTCGCGGAGTTTATCATTATCTGCTATTAATTAGAATGCTGCTGCTCTGTAACAAATCACTTGAACAATTTACCTCTCCTCTTCTCTGAAGGTTATTCTGTTCCTAAGAGGCTTACCGGGAATCAGCAAATGGGATTGCCTGCGGGTTCCTTAAGGGTCTTAATGTGGTGGTGGCTTTAATGGCTAACGGCTAAAAATTTTGGCCTTTTTGACGTTAACAGTTAATTGAGCACTTTCGAAATGACTTATCATAGCAAGGAAACACTTTTTTATTTTTTTAACGCCCAACAGCTAATTTTTGCTGTCTTCGTTATGTTTACCTTCTTGAAAATAGGCCTCGTTTTCTACTCAACATTGTTCCTTTCACTATAAGCAGCTATTCATTATTTCTATGTTTCACCTTTTTCTCCTTTGTTCTCATTTTGGAATCATTTTTTAGACGACTGTTCTCTATCACGTCGTATGCGTTTGTGTTCCTCAACGCCATTGTTGGATTCCTGTCAGGTCTTCTTCGCATAGCTAAAGCTATGATTCTCGGGCTTTTTTTCTTCTCGCGTCTCGACCGGACTGTTTTAATGCCAGGATTTCAGAGTTGGGACAAAGGTAAGCTCCCCGAAAAAACGCATGCTAAGAAAGTGAATTCCTTCGCGTTCAAATGAGTTTTAATCAAAAAATGTAAATTCTGTTAAGTCTTCTGACCTATCACCCGCCATTTAATGCTTGCCGAATGGTGGTATCTCTGCCGAAAAGTCGAAAGATTGGGCAACTGCTTCTTGCTTCTCAGAATTTGTTTTTGCTGTTTTTGATTTTATTAAATTACCGAAGCATTTGAACAAAAATGCAACACGGCACAAGGGACTGGTAATTATTTTTCGCCTGGGGGAAGGGGAACGGAGGATTTTGGTTGTGTCATAATAAAATCTACCCGACTCCCAATACGGCTCTGTAGTGTTCTAATGAACCCTCCTCTTCCCCATCCTCATTGGTAGTCAATTTGCTATGGTTCCCCCCCCCCCTTCCATTTAAACTCTGTAAGAGACGACTTATTCCCCTTCCGCTCCCACATGAAAGCCATGCGATCATCCGCAAAATCCTATTTCCTCCTCTTCACCCCGGTGATAAATAATGATCGGTCTCATAGCAAAAGATACTTCAGCTGTGAAAGCTTCAACTCAAACAATCCGAACAGCAACGCAGACTTTATTTGAGTCCGCATCTAATGCTCATTTTTCCATTCAACTTACCGAACAGGTTTTGTTGCGTATCTTGGATTTCTTCATGTGTTGGTAGCCCACAGACATCCCGTTGTGTTAATGTTCTGCCAATTGCTCATTGAAAGCAACAAGGCGACAACTTCGAAGGAGAAACGTAAGCAACTTTTAAGAAATTAAATTTTACTGATCTCAGAAGAACATATTGAGAGTATTAACTCAAGTTGGAGTTGGTTAATCAAATAGTCAGTCAATCAGTCAGACATTCAGTCCGTCAATCCGTCCGTCAGTCCAACAGTCAGTCAGTCAGTCAGTCGGTCAGTCAATCAATCAGTCAGTCAGTCAGTCAACAGTCAGTCAGTCAGTCAGTCAATCAATCAGTCAGTCAGTCAATCAGTCAGCCAGTCTGTCAATCAGTCAATCTGTCAGTCAGTCAATCAATCAGTCAGTCAGTCAATCTTTTGTGCTCTTTGCAACAGAAATTTTCTCCCATCGCATTTATCACCTCCTTGGAAATGAAGAGATTATAGCGAGATATGATGGAATCCTCGACCAATCAGAGCGCGTGTGTGTCTATAATCGTGACCAGAGCAAATATACTAATAATTAAATATAGCTATGTTTAGCAATTTAACTCAAAAATCTGTCCGTCACAGAACATTCCAACCTTTCTGTGCAGCCAAACAACGCTGAGGAGCCAAAACAAGTCACTGGTATGTCAATTAATTAACTTAAGGTAACCATACCGGACAGTGCCTGAGTTCCGTTTGTAGGGGAGTAGAAATATAGTTTGCATTTATTCAAATGCACTTCAACAATACCGTTTATGTACTATATGTGTGTGTAACTTTGAAACAGGAATCAAACGCGAAATCCGCCATCCACGCCTGTCACAGAGGGTGGTCAACCGCTGGCTTCTTGCTGTAACTCTCCTCCGCAATCCCACAATAATACAGTATCGTCACCATTCCTTTTCGGTACCCATTGAACAGAGTGAGGTCGACACGTCTTCAGTATCAGTTTTAGTCGATTCTATAGCCTAATCGTCAGGTTTAGCTCATAGCACATAAATATTTTAAGGATTAAATGAAGGACATTGTAATAGCCAAGTGTTGCAAGGTATATAGTTGTTACGAGAAAGGTTGTCGGAAAAAAACGGACAAAACTGCGGGCGACAATCTCTGAAAATAATCTGGGTATCCGGTAACTAATGAATTTTATTAAGTAAAGGAAAATATATTAATTAATCAAACCCGTTGTACCTCGTCCGTACAATGACATTTCTCAGATTTCCTTTGCATCCTGAAGTTAAGGTGCCGTGATCTGAAAACTACCCTCAATACCGTTCGTGGTTGTCATGTGAATTTTTACGCTTTTTGTCGGACCACCTCTCTCGAAACAGCTGTATATTCCATGATAGGTTTATGTTCCAAATTAAATACTGCGTGAAAAAAGTAGCCCATCATGTAAAAAAAAAATTTAATTTTTTTTATTTTCTTGACATAGTTTATCATTGTTAAACTTTTAAAGTTCAAGTGCGTCTTTAAGACTAAGGTAGACAGTTTAGTATTGGATAACATGAGTTGTATTCTGTGTTACATTTATGCATTAAAAACGACTGCTCGGCTATGAATCGAATTTTTTGCAATCTCTTTTTTCATGTGGTTAACGATCTCGTTACCATTTTGCAGCGCGCAGCGTAACCCCATAATTATGGGAAATAGAAGCAACTCATCTAGCTGAAAAACTTTGGACTTACTACCGTGCGACCAACTGTACAAGGTGCTATTTCTAGCATGTGCGGCCAACTGTATTGCAGGCACCATCACCATAAAGGGAAAAGAGGATCTGCAGGCGCGATTGCGTGCGTATCTTGAATACACGCCATTAGTGTGCGCCAGGAGACACTAGCAGATGACGATGAGGTGAGCATACTCGAGTGCCAAGCTTTAGTGCAGCGTACCATGGGCAGACGGCTAGGCATTACACGAGGGCTTCACGTGTGTTTGTAGATGTGAACCCGCGTGAGCAAATAATTTGGAACCCGCGTTTTGAGCGGGAAATCAAACTGGTGAGGTTGTAGTTGAACAGGAATTCTCAGTATTCTTCAATTTTTAATTAACTCGCAGAGCAACAATACCGCCACAACTAAAGTTTTTTCAAACGGAAATTGTTATAATTCAAGTTCGTGGACAAAGGGTTTTGAGCGGAAATAGACTGGAAAGAAATTATAGAGACAGAGTGACCAAAGAAAGGAAGAGTTAAAAGGCGTAAAGCGAGCCGAGAAAATCGTGCTAGAAAGTTAGAAAAGACGCTAAAATAGGCACAATGCGGCGAGAGGAACTTGAAAGAGAACAAGAGAAGCCATAAGTGAAAAGGCGAAGAGAGTCTAGAGTCTAGCGAAGAGCAAAGTGAGAAGGAAATATAAAGAGCTCCAGAAACAGACTGCAAAAAGGTCATCCACGAAGAGAAGCGAACTACGAAGTTAAAGGATCCGAGAAAGAAGTGGAGGCAAGTCCTGTCCTATCTGATTTTTTTCTCTTACGTTGAGGCCTAGAGAAATTCAAACCTTCTTTCACCAATCGTTGTTTGATAATATCTTCAGTTTATATTTCAAATCACGTTTCGGTAAAACAATGACTTCGGCATTCATAGCCTTAAAATTCTCGCGCCGGTTCATCGCTCGAATAACATTTCAAAGTGTTCGTATTCTTTAAGTTATTTCTTGTCCTATCGTTTGGAATCTTTAATTGAGTCGTGGTATTAAGGGGAGAGAAGCTATCTCACGGATTATATTTTGCTTAGAAAGTTTTCAAATGATAGCGAACGGCGTGAGCAATTAAGTTTCTTTCATTCTCTCTTCACTTGACTATCTTAGGGTTTACATTAATTATTAGAAAATCGCGCTTTGTCGAAGATGTGTTGTTTTACCCTAACAACGAAGTAATGACCTTTCTCAAAATTGGGATTAAATGAGATTGAGTCAGCGATGTTAATGTTTACATTAAGTCTGACGCGGTAATTTGATTTGACGATACTGTCATGTGAGAACCCGTCAAACATTTGAGAATTAAATTACGGGTGCAATTAATCTTACGAGTAAAATTGAGTTAGTCCTATTGCGGAAGGAGTGAATTTCATTGTTTGGTCCTAGTACTTTTCAGCGCTATGTTTTCATACTTTCTACTCGATTTGTTCGAACTTCAGGACATGGTTTGTCTCTCAAAACATGGAGCCACTTTCTCTTCGCTCAACATCTCGAGGCGTACTTAGTGCTCGAGTTATGATGAACGTGCTTACGATAAGATAATTTTCCCCAAAGCTGGAAACTGAAGAAATAGTCTCTAAAATTAAGAGTCATCACATTTTGCAAGAGGCGTCCGAGCTGTGATCGTGTAATTAAACGGGGTTCTGGCAATTTGAGCTTACAAGCACGCTGGTAAGCACATGGTTAGCGCAAATAACCGATGTCTATTGTTTTCGAATTTAAGAGCAGTTTTTGAGAGTCCGTTTATGTAACCTCCCAAGATAATTGTTTTAATGACCGTATATTGCACTCGGATTACATATGTAGAAAGTTGCTTAAAAAATACCCATTACAGCTTTATTCAGAAGCATAGACATGTTGGTAATAAACTTCTGCTTTATTTTATTTATCAATTTTCTTTTAACATATAACCATTTCTTTTATTTCCTCCCTAACCTGCGAGGAAATAATTAGATTTAATGTTTTAATTCAAGTGTGAGAAGATAAAACGGAAGAGTTGCAGAGTTCTCTTTCCAGATTGAATTCAGGTGGGAAGATCAGTAAACTATTGCTATGCTTCTCATGAATCTTTAATTCTACTGCCCTGTTTGTTTTTTTTTCCACAGAATCTCTTTTATATCTTTGTGTGCCAGCTAATGATTAAAATCTCAGTGAATAGATATGCCATATTGTAATAGTTTTTCTTTCATTCCATCCTAAAGGTTTTGGCATTTTCTATGTTAAAATTCATAAATGACATTCCCTTTTCATTCTTGTAAAGAGGTACGTATTACATGTTTCTTTAACTGAAATCTGAATCATGAAGTCAATTTAATTTCAATGAGTTTGAAACTTCTAGATAAGAACAATTTACAGGAGTATAATGTTATATTTATTTGCCATCTTTCTTTATATATGACTACCATATGTGTCTTCACCCTTTAACTACTGTGAGTGACCAAAACAGAATTTCTCCATACTGTATCTATAAAATATCATCCAGACAAGTGATGAGAGTAAGAAAAATATTAATTATGGGATAATGATACCAAATTCTCCAAACAAATGTAATGAGAATCATCTGGGAAACAGTAAGGAGAATTACTCATGAGATCTTGGGAGTTAAAGGGCTAAATGGGGATCCATTATATTGTAATGATTAAAATATCCTTATGCTTTCAGATGTAAAAAAACAAAATGTGATGAGAATCTGATCTTATGAACCACTTCCAACGGAAAAACTTATTGCTGGGATCTTTAATATGTCTCCAACATTTCAATTTTCATGGGAAATGCTTTTTTTTGAAAGGGGAAATACAGAATTTTTTAAAGCTGCTAGAAATAAGCTGTTTGCAAGTAACGAATAGCAAATTGATAATCATAATAATGCTTAACATCCTTCAGTCATACATGTTGATTGTGTATAACTACCATTGTAGAGGTGTCTTTTAAAACATTTTTTGGTGTGGCTGTTGTTCTTTGTTGATCTTTGTAGCCAAAAAAGCTACTTAAGTCATTGACCTTCGATTTTTATGTGTGCAAGCTAAGCAACCTCCCGGGAGGAGGAGTGGAAGACCACAGAATGATGTTCACTAGGCACTTGCACTTACTTCAATCATATATGAAAGGAATATTCTACATTTATGAAACTGATTACACAATGTCTTTAATAACTGTACACATTTTATATGTACCTCACATTTGTTGGCAACGATAGTTAAGATTGTTAGGAAAGCAAACAAACAAATAAACAGAAGACAGTGAAATGAGGGAAACTGTCAACTTTACCATAATATTATGATAGAAAAAACATCAAAGAATACTTAAGAAGGGTAACTTGAATTGTGCTAGCTAACTTCCTCCATTGCCTTTCATGTTTTAGATCAAATAAAGTTTAATTAGTTGTAGGGTTTCCCTCACAATGTGTCAAATCACCATTGTGGACTTGATTCTTCTCAGATGTCAGTTAGTAAAAGATAGATAATAAAATTAGATGACCATAAGAAAAAGTACATTGTCAAACAAATCAAACTGAAGCAGTGGTGTGATAGATTTGTGATATTAAGAATGATAGAAGCAGGAAAACATATTGAGGTTTTTCCTATTCACCAGCAAGTTAAATAGATTTTGGATTCTACATTCAAACTGGACAAGATTCAATTTATTCATATCTTGCTTCATTATGGTTTGTTTACATGGAAAGGTAACTGTTATAATAGCTTCACAGATGTTTTTATTGCTGTTGCAATTAAAATTGAAGTTTCATTTAACATAGAATGTTCCAAGAACTTTCTTCCTTTCTCTTCAATACCATTTACTACATCTGGAGCACAATTAGAGGAAGCAGATTATTAAAAAAATTATAACTTAATTCAGGATATTAATTGAATATGTGAGTAACATTTGATGTTTTCACATGTAACAGGATGATGAGGCTGAAGATAGCCTAAAAAAGAAATGAACTTGACTTTAAAAATTAGCTGACTAATTTGGAAACTTGAGCACTTAGTAAATACACCTTGGCTTGCAGTTTGGACTAGCTATTACAGTTTGCTGAGGTGATTGAAATGTCAGTCCCCATGCAAGAACCTTCCAAATGACCTGTAAAGTCTCTTTAAAAAATGTGTGAATTTGTGTTGATCAGCATATTATTGTAAAAAGAGCACCACCTAGAGACAAAAATTAATGATTTTCAGTAAGCATAAATGTTTGGGAGAAGTTATAGTGGTAATTGACCCTACTTTTGCTAGGATGCATAGAGTTTGATGATTGTAATGGGTATCTTTTAGCTTTCAAACTTTCAACTTTGTATTAATGGTAACTGTTTACCACTATGAGATCTATTTCTCTGTACCTTAAGCCCTCAAATGTTGAAGCAGGTGAGTCTACAAACTGACTGCCTTTGTTGGGAGTTGTCTGATTATATAATTTTCTGAGTAAGTAACCACATTCTAACATCTGACATTGTTATTATTTAGATTGTATGAAATACTCTTGCTCAAACTTTCAATGGTGCAAGGTATTTCTTACTTACCTATGGTCATACCCAAACTAAACATTGATATAAGGAATTGGTCACAGGATACGTGACCATGCCATGCACAGAGAAAGAATATAACTGCCTTGGCTTTATAGGTTAAAAAATTAAAATAAGAGAGTTGTGCTGACCATATCTTACTTTTTATCCTCCTCTGGATGTTTACTCAATTAAAATAGTCACTATCAGTCTAATTCACTCCCATTGTCCACTGAGCTTGTGGAAAGATGATAACCTCAGTATATTTTTTAAATGAAGAAAGGAAAGCCTGCCCTCCTACCACAGATAGTTCTTTTGTGCATGAGCAAATGTTCTTTTTTGAAAGCACTTGAGTGCCTTAAAAATAGACAAAAAATAACTCTTTAAAAAGTACTCTTGTAAGACAGTGACTTTTCCCACTATGAGCACTAACCTGGTCTAATTTGTACATGAAGGTTATTGTTCCAGGTAGGCTAATCTTATAAATTGGTTGTGAAAATTTCTTCAACCTATCATTGTGTGAATGTTTGACTTGATTTTACCTCACTAACCTAAACTGAATACATAGAAACTCTAAATTTATTTATTCTCCTTTTGAGGTGTGCATCAAAATTATGAAGTCATGTCATAATAAAATATTGTATCTTTCTAAAAACTAGTTCATTAGAATAAGAATGAGTTACAAGGCATAAGTATGACTTTTCACGATGATAGTTTTCAGGTTTGAGAAAAGTCACTGTTTACTAAAATCCTCAGTTCCTTTGCCCTGACAGCCCAACCTCATCAAAACATTGGCAACAGGAGCGATTAGCAAATTAATGATACAGACATGCAAGAGAGCCAATTCCCACATACACCCTCCTCGATCCTGTTAGCTTATTATGGACATGGCATTTCAAATATGGTGTATATATTACCACAGATTTTCTAGTTCTTTTACTAATTATTTTGTAATGGTGTTTACAAGTTGTGGAAAATGGTTGGGTTGAAATATAATACAAAGACTTGCTAGTATAAAGTCAAATGAAAACTTTTTACATATCAATAAAGTTTAATGTTGTTTCATTTTAACATGTTGCAACAACTCCACCTTCCAGTAAATTCAATTATTTCCAAACATGAGAAAATACCATCTAAAACTTTTCAACCTATTTAATAGAGCCAATAACAACATCAACTCAATTTTTAAACTTAAGACTGAGAAAACTTGATTGATATTTGGAATTCATTTCTGTGATGTACAAATGAAATTCAGGTATTATCCCAAGTCTTCTACAAAATGTCTTCATGGTTGAATCCTTAGTCTCTCTTTGTCATCAAGTTTTCATTAAGATATTCTAGTTCTAGTTTGTCTTCCTTTAAATCAAACTTTTGCAGCCCAGGAAACATGCTCGAAAAATTTCGTATTTCAGCAGCAGAGTTGCTAAGATCATGGATGGTTGGCTTAAAGACACCTACATTTTATGCAGCTACAGCAGAGGTTACTGAATTAAATAACAGCTTTTGGCAGAATTATTTCTGTCAGGATCATCAAAGAGATATTCTTGCAACGTGTGATATCGCAGGAAGCAAGGTGCTGGACACATTTGCACTTGGCAAACTCCACACTTAATGATTTTTTCCATTAGTTGTATGTGTACCTTACATCTGTGAGTGTCAGTTTTTACGGGATAGTGAAACTGCACACGGATGAAGCAGATATGCGGTGACTGGGTAGGATTTGCTGACAAGTTACTGCTATCTCTTCGAAAAGAATTTCCTGTTATTAGTGAAGAGTAGCTCAACATAGTTAAGACAACTGCTGATGTTCTCCATTTCTACTATCACACCAACCTTTTTATTAAAGTTTCGGAATCCACGTGGAAAACACGAAGAAAGGCAATAGGGAGATCGTCTTCGTCCAAAAGTCAATCCAGTCGCTTTTGTAGCCTCTGTTTCGAATTGTTTTGCTACCAAGTTAACAGCCAGCGGTTTACCAACAGATTTACCTTGGTTGGTCATGTATGGGGAATTATTATCTGCTCAATTCATATTTTGTACTATACTTTACATACATACAGTAATGTCCTTAATAATTCCCCATACATGACGTACGTAAGCAGGTTTTATACCCATTCCCCACGGATAGACTGAAACAGCAAAGGAGAGGCGAGTTAATCTTTAACGTCAGCAGACAGGAAGTTTTTATCAGTGAAATAGAAACCTATCGAGTTTAGAGACGCAGTCATAATGGCTTCAAATGCGACAAGTGAGGATGAGTAAGTGATAGAAAGAGCTGTAACAAGTTGTTAATTTGTCCCATTTATCGAATGCATACGTGTTCATCTCGTTGAGGTGAACTGACATGGCGGCAAATGCTTTAAAGCAAAGCTTCTCGCACTTGAAATTACGATAGAAGTTCCTACAGTTTCCAGATTTCCTTCCTGTTACTTCTCAATCAAAATTTATTTTCTATTTGTTAAATGAGGAGTAGACGGAGTTTGTTTTCGTGGAGAACTTCGTTTCCACGCAAAAATTAAAGGCACTTCTAGTTTTAAAGACACCACGTGTGTTAAAGTAGTCTTGAAATCTTCAGCCTTACAATACCTCGAGCAAACCTTGGCCTAGCCCAAGTCCCTTTTTTCTTCGGTTGGAAATCGGAAGTAAGATATTTTGGCACCAGTTACTTTGTCTCGATAAATCTTCGTACACAGAGGAACACAGCAATGTGTTGGCATGTCTGAATTCTTATACACAAGGAAAGACTTCTTACGAGTTTCAAAACTCCAAAACTTTCATAAATGACAATAAACAAAAGAACGCCAATATTTTGGGTTTGAAGTAACGTAAAAAGCATTTCGATATAAAGTCTCCCTATCGTTGAGTGGCCTTTCGGGCGCCATTTATGAATTCGTTGTATAGAGCCTTTTATTATACTACATTCATGAGATGATACTCAATGAAAGTTACAGATTCATGCGCTACTAAATTTCTTTTTTCTCTTGCTGTAGCTGTTTGAAGGCTCTCAACCAGCAAAGACAATTTCATTTTGGATGTCTTGCTCCTGCAGTGAGTGCTCGTTTAATTTCGTATATTTTGTTGGGTGATAATAACAAAAATAATGATAACGATAACAATAATGACGATGAGGGTGAAGATGATGATAAAATAATGATAATGATAATTATGACGACGACGTAAACAGTAGCGATAGCGGATTTCCTTTTTTCTTTGCTCTTCACCGTGTGGACATGGATTTGGAAAGGAGCCATTATTTGTTAAAGTTCGAATAGAAGAAGAAAATTAAATAATTTAAGAGTTCTACGTTATGCCTGTTGGAAAATAATAATGATAAAACTGGTAATGAAAGGTCGCTAGCCTATGTGCAATACGTGGTTGTACAATAGGCATTGGGAATCAGTTTTTCTCCTCATTCGGTGTTGTTTGTGTAATTCATGAGATAAGATTCATTTTAAAGAATCATTTAATGTTTCTTTCTGTTTTTCTTTTCAGTTGGTTATTATTTTAGTTTTTTCATTCCTGAAGCGACGCACCAAGCTTAAATTGGAGCTATGGGATGGGCGCCCTGGACTATTGATGTATGTTGTCCGAGTATGAAAACAGATGTTTTTATAATTATTTGACAGAAAATCTAGAATTTGAGCGATTTGGCGCCCATACACACGCACGCACGCTCCCATCCACACAAACACCCACAGGCATGCGCACGCAACCAGATAAAAGCCTCTACCTTAGTGATTTGCTCCATTGGAACCCGTCTCGCTTTGCGTTACAATTGATCCCGTATGTTATAAAAGTCTTCACGTTGCAATACAATTCAAATCGAGATGGACGCCACAATTTAAGTATATTTTACCCCCAACATTCAAAAGCCAAAGGTTCAAAGCTGAAAGTGTGTCTCAAAAGCTTGTTTATCACATGTAAAAGTGTGTTTGACTCCAAATTTCAAGCATAGGTGCGGTAAGTTGTTTCAACTGATGACTGACTAACTTCCACTCTGGTCCTGTCGCCAAAATTATGCTTGGTCTGCAGGCTAGTGTAACACCAACCAGGATTTTAAAAAACAAAAAAAGGGTAGTGGTGCAATTTATCAGCAAGTTGCTGGTTATGTGGCTTCTGATCAAGCAGCAGTACAATTTTCAGTCCATAGTGACAACATATCTGTATCATTCTTCTTTAGACCGATGAATTTTCTTGGTGGTCTCAGTAACAGGTGGACTATTGCTGTTACGTTTGGAGCCACAGGTAGCACTCTTATGACCATGGCAATAGTTGGAAAAGGCGGTATCTCGGTTGTCCCATCTGAATCTCCCTGGATAAAAAGTAGGTAACTATAACGCTATTATGATCGAATTTCTTAGCGGTGTTGGCAGTAAGAATCATCACGGAGCCTTTCCTAGGAAGAGCTTTGAAATAAAAAGTACAGTAACACATGTAAAGCATATACCCTCAGAAATCTATCTGTCATGCGCATAATGCACGATGAATGTCTGATGCAGGTTCCATTAAATTGCTCTGTAATAAGAAGCTAAACCCTTGTGGTCTCCAAAGTACAACACTATCATCACAACAAGCGCATGGCCATATTACTAAATGTTTCATTTAAACCTGTAATAACATCCCAAAAGTCAAAACGAAATCATTATATAGAGGTAAAATAAGGCTTGGAAAACAAACAAAACCAAAATTTAAACAAGTTAGCCAAACATGAATTGAATAAAAATTGATAGCAAAAACGAAACAAGTAGACAAGAACACACCCACACAAAAATAACCTCTGCAAGGAGACAACCAAAGCTAGGAGACTGAACCAAAAGTATTTTAGAGAAACGACAAAGTAATTACAAAAACCTAGAATTTAAAGAGTTCCTTTATGGTAATTGAAGAAGTATTTGAGGTCCAAGAATCCTTGATTAAAACTTCGAGCATTTCTTTCTTTCTATTTACTCAGTTATTGACGTTTTTTTGGCTGTCCTCCTTTGTACAATACTATTCTATCCATATTTTGTCTGCCTCACAACTGAATACAAGTTCGTTGGTTCTATCCTTGGCTTTCTTTATGGTGTGTTGAGGTGTGTATATGAGTATTGTCCTATATTATGAGATTTTTTACACTAGTTAGTGATGTCAGATTTCATCTACATCGGTAGGACGGTGTAGAAATTCCGGTCATCTCAATTTTTTTTTTTTTTAATGCTGGGTGTTTTACTTGAAACTTCAAAAACGCTTTTGACATTAGTTCTCAATTACATCAGTGAGTTGAAAACCAGCGATTGCATGGAATATGAACGTTCATTTTGGGTTTGGGGCTAAAAAAAATCGGAACTCCTCGAAGTTGATGCAGGTTTCTTTACAGTAAACACGCTGAGTACTATGCTTAGCGTACATATATTGGATTATAGGTGCACGCTGGAAGTTTGCAGAGCACGAGAGATGCGTAAGACTTGCTCGAGGCGCAGCCGAAACCAAGTCTAGCTTCTCGAGTAAAAGTTTTGAATTTTTTATTGTATGGTTTGAAAATCAAAATCTTCTATTCGAAAATAGTGAACCGTTCGAAAAACGTACGAAAAAACTACAAATTTCTTGGATTTACAAGACCAGCGTGGTAGATTTACGCGCTTGAGTTGTTTTGGAACATATCAACACTTCAAAATAATATTTACCATTCTAATGAAGAGTGCCTAACGCCACAAAGCCTTAGCTGAGGTGAGGAAACTCAGTTTTGTTTTCGGCCATAATTCGCATCGCGTGTGGGAATGAAGTATCGTCAACTCGAACACTAATTTCGTCGCTTGAAAGAGCTACATGCTCATTGTAATGCGACGCGAGTTTGTTTAGCATATTTTCTTTTCATCTTGAGCTGGAAAAGGTCCATGTCTATTGCGATAAAACGGAAGAAATCTTGAAAGTTTTGAAAGCTCGCGGCTAAGCTCGATCGACGGGAACTTTTAGCCGAAGTGAAACCGCAAACGTCATGTTATGGATGCACGGCTGTGCGTACATAAAGATTTTTACCATGGTAGCTTTTTAGGAATTACGAAGGACTTGAGCGCGCTATGTAGGCCAGATGATAGGCAACTAATTGACTTTCATGGTTTCTTTCAGGTTTTCTTTCCAACTTGCTACACAGATACGTTGCCACGTTGCGTATAAGGTATTAATTTTGGAATGCATCAACAAGCATGAAGTACTTGTGTTTCTTTATGATCACGCAGATAAAGCTGCTTGCTATGTTTTTATGAACGACTAAAACCTAAGGGGATGAATTACAGAGAAAGAGTTAAGTCATCCAAAATACTAATATAATACGTGGATAAATTTTGCTATATATTTGTTTTATGTAGAAAGGGCTGGAGAGCACTCCCCGGGAATGTTTTTTTCGCTGTTGTTTCGAGTGCCATTATTGCAGTTGGCTATAAATTAGATTTTAATGTGTCATGGAACAAAATTATGGCCTTTATGTCTTTACTTACTAATGTATTTCTTTTCCTTTTAGAAAACAGGATCCTATGGAATGTTTCTTATTTATAACCTGCCTACAACACTGTGCCTTATCTTTATAACAGCGCGATTTGCTTTCCTTATTGTTCGACGAGTTAGACAGATGTGGTCTGTATATTCTACAGAGTCAGCTGTAAGTTAGAGTTGCATACATGTATGTTTTCCTCCCTTTACAGCAAGTACAGAAGTGTGTAATTTTTGCATGTGTCTTCGACTGGCTGGAGTTTTTAGATCATTCACTGTTTAGTTAAGCACGGCGAGGCAATAATAACATCATAAAATTCAAAGGAGGGTGTGGAGCAAGGTTTCAATGACGCTTTAAAATCGAAATAAAAAAGAAAATTACAAAATATCATGAGATCTGGGAGTATTCAAGACTTTATAAACAAACAGGAGAAAATGGCAACAGGAAGGTACAAATTTAAAGGATTGAATGTATTGGTAACCGTCCCTTAAATCTTTTTCTCTAGGGAAAGGACTCCTGCTCCCGCTCACTGGCTCATGATGCTGACGTTGTTCACGTGAAGTTCATTTTAGGGCAAAAACTTCCAATGTAAAATATCTTTTTAAAGCTCCAAAAGTTGGTCCTCTAAACAAGCTCTTGTTTAGTGTACGACTAAAAACGGTTAAATTTCACTATCTTTCATTGTCCTTGTCTTGATTTGTTTTGCCTTAGTCCTTGTCCTTCTCTTTGTTTTGTCCTTGTCCTTGTCTTTGACCTTGTCTTTGTCCTTGGCTTTGTCCTTGCTCTTGTCCTTGTCCTTGTCTTTGTGCTTCTATTTTGTCTTTTTTCCTTTGCTTGTCCTTGTCCTTGTCTTTGTGTTTGTGCTCATATTTTCTCTTTTTTCCCATCCTCGTCTTTGTCCTAGTCCTTGTCCTTTTGCTTGTCTTTCTCCTTCTCCTTGTTTTGTCCTTATCCTTGTCCTTGTTCCTGTCCTTGTCTTTGTCTTTGTCTTTATCTTTGTCTTTGTCTTTGTCTTTGTCTTTGTCCTCATCCTTGTCCTTGTCCTTGTCCTTGTCCTTGTCTTTTTCGTTGTCCTTGTCGTTGTCTTTGTCATTGACCTTGTCCTTGTACTTTTCTTTCTCCTTCTCCTTGTTTTGTCCATGTCCTAGTCCTTGTCCTTGTTTTTGTCTTTGTCCTAGTCCGTGTCCTTGTTTTTGTCTTTGTCCTTGTCCTTGTCCTTGTCCTTGTCCTTGTCCTTGTCCTTGTCCTTGTCCTTGTCCTTGTCCTTGTCCTTGTCCTTGTCCTTGTCCTTGTCCTTGTCCTTGTCCTTGTCCTAGTCCTAGTCCTAGTCCTTGTCCTTGTTTTTGTCTTTGTCCTTGTCCTTGTCCTTGTTCTTGTCCTTGTCCTTGTTTTTGTCTTTGTCCTTGTCCTTGTCCTTGTCCTTGTCCTTGTCCTTGTCCTTGTCCTTGTCTTTGTCCTTGTCCTTGTTTTTGTTTTTGTCTTTGTCTTTGTCCTTGTCCTTGTCCTTGTCCTTCTCTTTGTCCTTGTCCTTGTCCTTGTCCTTGTCCTTGTCCTTGTTTTTGTTTTTGTCCTTGTCCTAGTCCTTGTCCTTGTTTTTGTCCTTGTCCTTGTCCTTGTCCTTGTTTTTGTCCTTGTTTTTGTCCTTGTCCTTGTCCTTGTTTTTGTCTTTGTCCTTGTCCTTGTCCTTGTCCTTGTCCTTGTCCTTGTCCTTGTTTTTGTCCTTGTCCTTGTCCTTGTCCTTGTCCTTGTCCTTGTCCTTGTCTTTGTCCTTGTCCTTGTCCTTGTCCTTGTCCTTGTCCTTGTCTTTGTCTTTGTCTTTGTCTTTGTCTTTGTCTTTGTCTTTGTCTTTGTCCATGTCCTTGTCCTCGTCCTCGTCCTCGTCCTCATCCTCGTTTTCTCCATGTCCTTGTCCAAGTCCTTCTCTTACTCCTTGGTTTGTCCTTGTTCTAGTGCCTTTGTCTTTGCACTTGACCTTACCTGACCTGACCTGACCCGACTTTAGCCTTAGCTCTTGCCCTTATCCTCCAAGTCCCTGTCCTCGTCCTTTTCCTTCTCGTCATGGTGAGCTATAGATCAGAATAAGAGTTATTGTTATTGCCAGCAGTGTCGTCTTCGGAATTTTTTTAGATACCCGGACAAGACAGAGTGGTATTGGAAGGTCTTCTACTTTTTTTATACACCAAGACAAGGTGTGTATGGTATTCCATTATAACATAAACAATTAACGTTTGTATTTTCAGTCGATTTATTGGTTTTTACTTCATGATTTTCAATCGTATATAGGCCCTGATTCATTTATCATTTTGTTTATTTATTTCCATATTTTTTTTAATAACGAGCTTAAAACTAGACTTAGAGATTGGACTCATGACATGAACAACTTGCATGATTTCAGATTTCAAGTTCTCCACTCAGTTGATATCAACAGTGTTTCTCGTCGGGATAGTTGTCTTTGAAGTAAGTACTCAGTGTATCAGAAGATGCCTTGTCTATCGATATGGAATTGGAGTTATTTATTCTCTGCATTTTGATTTGTCTTTGGCAAGGATTCAAGTTTTATAACAGACACGAGTGTGTATATTAATTACTTATTATCTATAAAAAATTATTTGCCATAAAATGATTCCTATATATTCTATTTCTCTTTGTTGTATGTAGGTGTTAGTGTTTTCGCTGACGAGTTTTGAAGAAGTTATGGGCACTTTTAGGAGTTTCGGTTGGAGTTTTCCTACTCTGAGGGGTGATGTATAAGTAGTAAAACAATAATTTACCTGGTTCCCTAAAATCTTTCAAGGTCAAAGCCTTGATGGACTTGATCATGTGAGGCGGACAATCTTTCATCAGTCTGATATGGTTTGATGCTACTCTGGTTTAAAGATTTAATGAATGTAAGCGAGAAGTTCATAGACCCTAGGAATTGATAGAGCCCACAATTCATAGACCCTTCTCGGTTACATTCATTAAATCTTTAAGTTAGAGTAGCATCAAATCATGTCTGATTGCCCACCTGGTTGCCATGTGAAATTTAATATATTTGATCAGTCTTTTCGTCGCTAAGTCCATCAGTCAATTAATCAAACCTTTTCCTAAAACGACTAAACATATTATGATCCACGGAAACTGCTTCATAAAAATTAGTCATATTACCATTGTTCATTGTCATATGTCAAATGGGATAACTGCATTCTGATAGGCTGTAATTTCTGCGCCATTTCTTAGAAACTGTTACTCCTGTGAACATTACTATCAGAACACCCCACCAAAAAAAGACCACGTAAGGAGTCGAAGATCTCCTCAGAAAATTTTGCTATATTGCAGAGGGTAAATCGTTCTAAATCGTGCTGAGATGATTATGAACTTGAAACTTCAGCGGGAGAAGGTCGCTCATGCAAAAAGCCTTTATCGTGCACATAGAGACCTCTTTCCATATAGTGAGGAGAAATCCATTCCGACGTCGTATCGAGAAGGCCAGCTCCAGTATTACGGGCTATTTTAGCCTGTTCTAGGCGCTCAGTTAATGAAACGATTGTAAACAGCGCGATAGTTACAGACGTGTGAAACCGAGGAAGGTTTGGTTCGGGATCGTTACGTGACCCAACCAAGTTCCTCTCGTTGTTTTTGCTCCACCGCCGCTTTAATCGCACTGTTTAGAAATGCGCTGTTCCTTATTCCGCTGTTTTATTGACAGTTGCTTGCTTGGAACGGTTTAGGTCTGTTTTCTATCTTTTGTTGGCTAGATTTATATATTTTTTATATTGATTTTAGGTTGCCTTTACGGATCGTACATTTTCGCAGCTCTGATTTATGTCATAACAACACTTCATTTCATGAAGTGCCACAGGTATCTATGACTAGTTTCCTAGACATTTTCGTGTGGAGCATTAATGTTCAACAGGACACTTGAGTTTTGTTGGGGATCAGGGATGGCACAGTACTGAGTGAAGGCGCCCGTCTCCCTCCGCTTCGACCCGGGTTCTTTTACCGGATCCGGTGTTAAATGCTTTGAAGGTTTTTTTCCTCCGGGTCCTCTGATTTTCCTCGTGGAAACAGTGAACAAGGAGAGTCACCACATGGAATGTCCACTGCTAAATTTCTATTAAGACACTGTCCGATCTCGATCACTTGTCAGTATTTCTTTCAAAATTCGTAATTCTTTATGGTTAAAGCTCTAAAGCTAAGGTAACTCATATATTTTATTGAGAACGACCTCAATACATGTTTGTGGAAAAAAAAAACTCTCTGACCACCCCCCTTTCTCCCTCCTCCCCTCCCCACCGCCACCGGGTGATCAATAATGACACGTCCCTTATTCCCAATGCGAGTTATAATATTTCGGGTTCACGAGTCGATCGAGTTCGAGTCAATTTAAATTACTCCCTTCTTTTAGCTTTTAGATTTTTTTCTTTTTCTTTTTTTTTTGATTTCTGTGTCAAAATGATGTGAGGGATACAAGAGCACCTAGTTTTAAGCTTTTTGACGGCCGTTTGTGAGGGTTAATTCTGCACTGATCCAGAGCTCCTTGAATCGAACTTGACTCGTTACTCGAGCTTGACACGGGCTCAATGTTGACTCGTGAGATGGTATTACTCTTGCTGTGCAAGTCTTTTCCTGCAACACAACGCTTACTCGTTTTAAGGCTTTCTTTTGAATTCGGACTGAAAGATTATTATAACGTCCATTATAATTCTTTCTCCTAGGGACCACATGCTCCAGCTTTACCGTGGAGATAGACGCCTAATGCAAAATGTTTGCCTCTCGCCGGCCTCTTTTGTGGTATGGCGATAAATTTGCTTTCAACACTCCTATCAAAATTAAAGAGAAAATGACTAACACTTGCCTACACCGATATCTGTTGAAACATTACCTTACATGAAGGGCAAGATGATTTGAAAGGTTGGAAAGCTTTCAGCCTTTTCCAGAAAATTGAGAATTTGCTCCCTGAATAGCCTAAAGATGGTTGAATGTAACTGACGACAACAGTCAAAACGCGTCAAGTTCACCTTCACCTTCACCTTCACCTTCACCTTCACCTTCACCTTCACCTTCACCTTCACCTTCACCTTCACCTTCACCTTCACCTTCACCTTCACGTTCGCGTTCACGCTTACGGTCACGGTCACGGTCATCACAGTTACAGCTACGTTCATCGTCATGGTCACGATCATGATTTAAAGGAGGTCACGTACATTTTCCCTTACTACTGAATATTTTGTCTTGAAGGGGAGAAGTTTGAGTTATACTGGATACCAAATCGCCTATTCCGTGATCGGTATGTATGGTGTTCCTCAAACTTAAAAGCATTAAAAGCAATGCAAAAGCTGTAGTTCCAATTATCCATTTTTATTATTAATTACACAGGAACATCCAGAGTAACATATCTGGCGCGATCCTTTATAAACGCAAAAGAGGAGGTTTCTTTTCGTTTTTACGTTGCCTAAGATAATTAAGAGTTGGAATAAGTTGAGGGTTTGCATAACTTTCACGTATGTTCTAAACACCTCTTGTGTTAAAACAAGGCTTCGTAGAGTGCAAAGTAGTTTCTAATCAGGTTATGCAAATTGTGAGATATTCAGATCTCTAGTATTGTTTTTTCAATTTTTCGCTCGTTTCTCTTTGCAGGTTTTGTTGTGTTGTCAAATTTGGGCTTCCTTCTTTCTCTCATTCTAAGCTTAGCAATTCATTCCAAGATAATACGCGATTTGATTTTATCAATTGCAAAGGGACTTGTGTAAGTAGATTGATAATGTGAATAGGTTGTTATATATGTTCTTTACATTTTCCCTCAGGTATTTAAATCGTTTTTGTTTGTTTAGCTGTTTGCTGTTTTTTTTTTCCAGACCATCGATAGTGCTGGCTGTCATATTACGAGTGTTCCAGCGCGTGTTCCTATCTCGATATGTCTTTCGTGACAGAGAATACCCAAATTTCTCAGTCGTGATTGACAACAGGTAACTTAAAAAAAACAGTTTCTGTTTCTAATAACGTGATAAGCTGTGCTGCGCACGTACTTTGACTGGTTCTTGACACTTAGATGACGTCATGATAAACACATTTTCGTTGCTTTATCATTGATTGTTAACGTGGCTGTGTTCAGTTATGGATCACAAAAGATGCCAATTTATGGTAAGAAAATCACTGAACCACTCGGCAATTTTATCGAGCGAGTGCTCAGTATTTTCTTGGCCGCCAACTTTGATTTTAATAGTAGCAGAAGGCTGGGGAGAGAAAGAAATTTGTACCAAGGGGGCGGTCGACGGTCAAAAATAAGGAGTGGCGTTCACTCTAGCTCCAAGTCAAAATGGCCGGTCGGATGAACGATCGCGAGCTTATAACGCTAGCTCGCCCTAATGAGACGCCTCCACTGCAAAGTCAGCTGTGAGCTACTACTGACCAGAAGCGAGTTAACATGGCGTCTATGTGTTAGTTAGAGATTACATTGGCGTTAAGGATGGGTGTGCCATTCTGAGTCTTACTCCTCTTTACCTCCATGCAACGTTAAATGAACCAATTTGTCACAAAAGCTTGCATTCTTGCACTATGCACTATGTAACATTGGCTGTGTATGCGAATTTTCCAACACAATTTGTCCAAGATAGTGGCTTTGACGCTTTATAGAGAATATGGCTGTTCGTCTCATCTGCCATCTGCAATTAAAGAAAATGCTGCTTGTCTTGCCAAAGGCACGAGATGTTGGCACAAAAATTTGTTTGTGCGGAATTTATCATAATGTGCAACCAATTAGAATGCTGCAGCTCTATAGCAAATCACCTGAATAATTTACCTCTCCTCTTCTCTGAAGAAGATCATTCTGCTTTTAAGAGGCTTATCGGGAATCAGCACATGGGGCTGCCTCCAGGTTCCTTGACGGTCTTGGCCTTTATCGAGCAACATTTACTTGAAAACTTTCGAAACGACAGATCGTAGGTGGAAAACATTTTTATACGCCTAACAGCTAATTTTTCCGCCACGTAACCGCTAATGGTTAACCCCACTTAGACGCTCTTCTTTATGTTTACCTTCTTGAAAATAGTCCACGTTTTCTACTCGACATTGTTCCTCTCACTATAAACAGCTATTCATTATTTCTATGTTTCACTTTTTTCTATTTTGTTCTCGTTTTGGAATCATTTTTCAGACGACTGTTCTCTATCATGTCGTATGCGTTCGTGTTCCTCAACACCATTGTTGGAGTCCTGTCAGGTCTTCTTCGCATAGCTAAAGCTATGATTCTCGGGCTTTTCTTCTTCTCGCGTCTCGACCGAACTGTTTTAATGCCAGGATTTCAGAGATGGGACAAAGGTAAGCTCTCCGAAAAAACGCATGCTTAGAAAGTTAATTCCTCCGTGTACCTATAATCTGCCATTCAGTGCTTGCCAAACGGCTGTATCTCTGCCAAAAAGTTGAAACATTGGGTAACTGCTTGTTGCTTCTCAGACTTTGTTTCTTGCTGCGTTTGATTTTCTCAAATTACCAAAGCATTTGAATAAAAATGGAACACAGCATAAGGGACTGTTAATAATTTTTGGCCTGGGGGAAGGGGATCGGAGGATTTTGGTTGTGTCACAATATAATCTACCCGACCCTCAATAAGACTCCGTAGTATTCTAATGAATTCCCCCTTTAATCCTTATTGGCAGTCAATTTGCTATAGTTCCCCCCTTTCAACTCTGTAAGAGACGACTGATTCCCCTTCCTCCCCCACTGAAAGCCATGCGATCACTTGCAAAATCCTCTTTCCCCTTCTCAACCCCAGTGATAAATTATGTTTGGTAAAGATACTTTAGCCATGCTTCAACTAAAAGGACCTCAACGGCAACGCAGACTTCAGTTAAATCCCCATCTAACGCCCATTTTCCCCTTCAACTTAACGAACAGGTTTTGTTGCGTATCTTGGATTTCTTCATGTGTTGGTAGCCCACAGACACCCTGTTGTGTTAATGTTCTGCCAATTGCTCATTGAAAGCAACAAGGCGACAACTTCGGAGGAGAAGCGTAAGCAACTTTTAAGAAATTAAATTCTTCTGATCTCGGAAGAACACATTGAGAGTAGCAACTCGAGAAGGATTGGTTAATCAGACAATCAGTCGCTCGGTCAGTAACCAAGTGAATCAATTCGTCAGTCAATCAGTCAGTCAGTCAGTCCATCAGTCCGTCCGTCAGTCAGTCAGTCAGTCCGTCAGTCAATAAGCAATAAGTAAATGTGTCAGCGTGTCAGTTATTCAGCCTGCCTCTCTGTTTGTCAGTCAGTCAGTCAGTCCATCAGTCCGTCCGTCACTCAGTCAGTCAGTCCGTCAGTCAATAAGCAATAAGTAAATGTGTCAGCGTGTCAGTTATTCAGTATGCCTCTCTGTTTGTCCGTCTATCTGTTATTCCGATATTTTTCTCACCCGAACTGTCTTTTATTAACAATTATTCGTCGAAGGCGAAGTGAATACTGTTGAATAATTTCCGTATCAATGTTCACTGAACCTGAGGCGAATAACATTTAGTACAGTTGCTCAGGTGCTTTCGAATAACTTTGCAAATTATTTAAACAAAGAAAGCATTTCGCATATTTTGTTACAACTGTGTTGATTACTCGTATCTACGTACATAAGAAAGAAAATTTATCAGTGTCATTTAATGCCATTGAAAGCCGTATTCCACCAAACTCAGTATGATAGCATCTTTTGTGCTTTTTTCAATTGAAATTTTTTTCCTATCACATTTATCACTTCCTTGGAAACGAAGTGATTAAGGCGAGATATGACGCAATCCTCGACCAATCAGATTGCGCGCACCTCTACAACTAAATATAGCTGTGTTTAACAAACTGACTTAAAAATCTGTCCGTCACAGAACATTCCAACATTTCCGTACAGCCAAACAACGCTGAGGAGCCAAAACAAGTCACAGGTATGTCACTTAATTAATATAACGTAGCTTTATCGGACAGTGCATGAGTTCCGTTTTTAAGGGAGTCTACATATAGATTGGATTTTCTCAAATACACTTTAGTAATACAGTTTATGTATTTTGAAACAGGATTCAAACGCGAAATCCGCCATCCACGCCTGTCACAGAGGGTAGTCAACCGCTGGCTTCTGGCTGTAACTCTTCTCCGTAATCCCACGCTCATACAGTATCGTCACCATTCCTTTTCGGTACCTATTGAACAGAGTGAGGTCGATACGTCTTCAATAGCAGTTTTAGTCGATTCTATGGTCTAATATTCACGTTTAGCTCATAGCACATAAATAGTTTAAGGATTAAATGAAGGGCATTGTAATAACTAAGTGCTGTAAGGTATATAGCTGTTTGGAGAAAGTTTATCAGAAAATAACGGAAAAAACTTCACGCGACAACCTCGGAAAATAATGTGGGTATCCAGTCATCAATAAATTTTAATAAGTGAAAGAAAATAAATCAGTTAATCAAACTCGTTGTACGTACAATGACGTTTCTCAGATTTCCCTTGTATCCTGAGTTTAAGGTGCCGTGAACTAAAAACTATCCACAATACCTTTAGTGGTTGCATTGTCGTGTGCATGTTTACACTTTTTTAGGACCACCTCTCTCGAAACAGCTGTATATTCTATGATAGGTTTATGCTTCAAGTTAAATACTGCCCGAAAAAAACTGCTCATTATGTCAAAATATAGTAAAATATTTTCTTTTGTTTTTCTTAATATAGTTTATCATCGTGAAACTTAAAGTTCGACTGCGTCTTTAAGACTAAAGTAGACTAAAGTAGTATATTAAATAACAATGAGGTCTAATAGTACTGAAACACTGGGGGGGGCTGATAATTTTGCAGACGATGGACCTTTGTTTGGTTTTCTTAACATGGTTTATCATTACTTTTGTAACTCTCAAAGCCCAATTCGTCGCCCCAAAATGAAAAAGGATCTTAGAGGACCTAAATTGGGAAATCAAGTTTTGTGTTTAATCTATAAGAGCATTTGTGGGCTATTTAAGCTATACGTGCGCCCTCCGTTCAAAATTTTTTCCGCATTTGCGACAGGCCTGAACTAAATAAGCTAAAATCAATCAGCAAAACTCCGAAAGTGAAATACGCGTCCGATTGCATGGGTTTTATAGGTGTCCGTTAAAAATATCTTTGGACAGGCCTGAGGACTCAGGGTGATTCCTTCGGGCAAGATCATCTTGCTACTGGACGCCGGGCACTATTCGACGCAATCTGTTTTGTGACCTCTTCGGTAAAATAAAATCTGTATTTAGCGGTCACCCGTGGGGAATAGCGTGGTGACAGCTAATATGGGTTGGCTGCTTAATACAGGTTCCGCAGAATAAATAAGGGTACTACAAAGGAACGATATAAATCGTCATTTTATGCCAAAATTGTACAAAACTTTGCCTCAAAATACTACTGACGTTAACTTCGGATTAAATTTTACTTGGATGATTATTGAAAGTGTTATTTGAGTGGTTCCGCTCTAAGGGATATTTCAATAAAGGTGGAAGACAGTGCAGAGAGGCCGTTGGGACTCTGGCAAGGGTAACCACGACCGCTTAATAGAGGTGACCGCTGTTCAGAGGTGAAAATTAAAGCAATAAAGGGGTAAATTTCGCGACTTTGACAACCGATCGCTTAAAACGGTGCCTCTTAAAACAGGTTTGACATTATTATTCAAGTGTAACTGGTGTCAACCTCTTCACCAGGCGTAAAGGCCGCTTTAAAAAGGCAGCGTGGACATCATTCTGACTTTCCGTAACACCACACTTGTACCATTACATACTGCAGGGTTACTTACCATCTTGTCGGCTTTATCACCTTCTTGCTGTTTGTCTTACGCGCAATAAAATTCCTCTTAGAACTTTGCTTGTGTGACCGCTATTATCCATGTGTAATTCGATAAGGATAATAATTTGCGTAACGTTAAAGTGAGGTACAAACGTTTGGATGCTTCGAGTACACGTGCGCGTGTCGTTTTGTGGAAGTTAAGTGCGTAGAGCCAAATGCGAAGGTTTTTTAACTGAACGGAACTCTTGACAGACGCGAATATTTGTGGGAATTACTGTTTAAGTTGACGTCCACGATAATTCACCCAGCCTTTAACATGACAGAAGTTTCTTCAAATCACTCTTCCAACGACACCGAAGGGTCGTAAGTATTGTCTTTTCTATGAATTCGGATATTCTTAAAATAGACTTCCGGTTTATGTCAAACTTCTACGAAAACAAAGCTTTCCTTGAACCGAGCCGATTCCTGCAGCAACAGTCGATAAGTTTGTGCGATTTAAATACCATTTGGATTCCACCATAATTATTGCTGGAGAAGAGTTCTGCTTTGACATTCAACCCGTTTAGAATTTTCAAGGTAAAAGATTATCGTTATGTTCTCTAGAACTCCACTTTCTGAGCAATAGTTATCCACAGGAATATTCATAGTACTTCATACAGTGTCCACTTATATGCTAAACTTCATGCGTGCTTCAGAAGAATGTTGAATGAACGTCGAATGTCGGCCATTTCGACAGCGTCACGCAATGACAACGTCTTCAGGCAAACACCACGCCGCATGTTAGTTTATTTTGACGAGTTTTATAGGCACAAAGTTTTCAAAAAGAAAAAACAACAAACAAGCAAACTACAGGTAACTTATTTAGAAATGAGTGAAGCGCCTGGCAACCACAAGGTAGCAAATTTGATTTTCAAACTTTCATTAATCCGCGAAGGTTTCCATGAAACGTCGTGGTTTGAACGTGAATTTCTCAGAAAAATTTGACATTGTGATAATTATCAGAAAAGCTTGGCCACGAGTCACGCAGTCTCCCTTGTAGAATTCTCAGAAAGTTTCACATACCACTATTGTTCTTCATGTGTAACGATCACTTATAAACCGATATGATTGACTGAGTTTTTATATATGTTTGTTGCGTTACAGTTCATGTGTACAGACTGAGAGGAAATTTGATCATGGATGTCTCGCTCCCGCGGTAAGTGAACAAGCGTCTGAACAGGCAGGAAGTGCTGATAAAACAAACGGATAAAGAAATGGGAAGATAAACTATCTAGCTCCCAGTTTATAATTCTCTTTATTTAATCGAACTCTTTCCGCTTACTTCGTTCATTCGTTTGTGCGTTCGACCAGTTCGTTCATGCGTTGACATGTTGTTGTTTTTCTTGTGGGGTTGTGTGGCCGAGTGTTTAGACCGCTGGACTTGTAATCTGGTGGTCGTGAGTTTAAGTCCCCCATCCTGCTACTCATGGAGTTTGTTTTCAGTTACCCCAAGTTCAACCCCTTTGCTTCACTCTGTAAACAACCATCTGGTTGCCTCCACATGGTCGGGTTTTTAAAAAAGACGTTTTGTGTCTTCGTTTCGATACAATTTGTTTCAGTGGATAAGAAGAGCCACCTCGTAGAGTTTCAACAGCTTAATCCCATTATTGTTAGTATTAATATTATTATTATTATTATTATTATTATATGTAGAGCTTTATTCACAACTCAGTCAGAATATTTACAGATGGATACAGAACGAAAACAAATCGTGCTTTATGTACAAAAATGTATATTGACTCCGAAGAACTTGCATAGCTAAAGCAAAATAAGAGTTCACTGGTAAAATTATCAACATAAAAAGCAACTATTTAGAAATCAATCTTTCAAATAGTTGTGAAAGATAAATAGTCTAAAAGTCAATATTTAAATATTGTTTATTATCACTATAATTATTATATTTCCAAGGCTTCGCAGCAGCACGAAGTAACATATCGCTTTGATGAACCTCACGATGCTTTTGAAATTCATTTTTTTAATTTTATATTATCATTGTTTTCTTTTTATTTCTCTTCATTTTTCGCTCATGGGATTCGTTCAGTTTGTGCGTTCGTTTATTAGCCCAGTTTCTTTGTCCGTTCGTGGGTTCTTCATTCGTGTTCGTTTTCCGTTCAGTTCGTCCTCGGTGCTCGTTCGTCAGCTGGTTCGATCGGTTCGTTCGTTCATTTGTTCTGCAGTTCAGTTTGTTTGTTCTTTATTTCGTCTGTTAGTTTTGTTCTTTCATTCATCAGTTCGTTTGCTCTTTCATTCAGTAGATTGTTCTCAACCGCTCGAAATTCTCCCCCAATAGTCCATTTTACGGTTGTGTGCTTGGTTTCCAAGCCTTTGAACAGAAGTGAGGCTAAGGTTGACCTCGATTTCATACAAATGTAACAGTTTTTCAATCGAAAATTACTTTGTTATCGATCATGCTAACTAGATACAGGTCTCCATCACAACGAGGTCACCTTCACCCTCTCTCCAAGTCAAAGGGTTGGTAACTAAGTACACAACTGTAAAATGGCCTATTTTACACAACACTATTCTTCTCTTTTCCATAGATTGTCATTATTTTGATACTGTCATGTCTCAAACGTCGTAGCAGTTGGAAACTTGAATATTGCAAAGGATACCCCGGGTTGTTAATGTAAGTTGAAGCTCCGTTTCTATCTTGGTAGTGGAAACAAACATATAAATAATGACTTTGGAGCTACAATTTGTATTTGTATGTTTCAGACCAATCAATTTCTTGGGAGGAATGGACAAAATCAACAGGTATACTATCGCTATTACCTTTGGAGCAACAGCCAGTACCTTCTTCTCTAACTCAACATTGGAATTCGCAGACCCACCATGGTTATCAGGTTAGCAGATCCACAGGCTTCCCAAACATACGATGATAGCAGAGTCTGCGCATTGGCGATTTTTGTCTTGAGAATCTCTCGGATTACTGCTATTTGCAAAAGATTTTGCGAAAAAGGGGATTACTTAAGTTAGAGAGACTATCAAAGGTCGGTACTTTTAAGGAAGGAACGTGACAATGACCACGGATTTCTCTAAAATGTTTTACGCGATAGAATTGCTTTGCAGGATATACAGAGAACAAACTCATGCGGAAATGAGCATACCCATCTTCTTCAATTACACCCTGCATTAATATTATGCCTTGCATTAGGTTTATTACCCTGCAATAACCACAATGTGCGTTATCTTTCTTTTTAGTTTTTTCTGCTCTTTTTTCTGTTCTTGAGTATGGAATCCTGTTCTACCCATTTTTTGCCTGTTTGACAACTGAGAACAGTCTGGCTGGCTCTTTGCTGGGTTTTCTTTATGCTACCATGAGGTAAGACCAATGTCATCTACAAATAGGCCATGACTGAATCCTTTAACTCCTATGAATGTTCAAGACAGAATTTCTCCTTTCAATATCAATTACATATTAGGCAGAAAATTGATGAGAATGAAGAAAATATCAAGGAGGGGATTATAAGTTGATCCAGTACCAAATTCTCCAAATTAACATCCTCTGATTTGTGTGGCAGACAGTAAGGGGAATTACTAATCTGATCTTGGGAATAAAAGGTAGTTTAAAAGCAGTTTTTTTTAAAACTTTCCGAAGGCATTCGTTCAAATTAGGATTTCTCTTTCCTCATCTTTTCTCCCCTACTGTGTTTTTTTCCTGTATTTACGTTTGGCGCACGTTCAATGTGACGAAGGGTTGACGCTCGAAACGTCAGCTTTTTTACTCTTTACAGTGGCTGACTTACGTTTTCAACTCAGTTGTTAACACTAAATTACCTGCTATCCTCTCGCACCGGCGCAGCACCACAGTTTCTTTATCATTTTTGACAGTCCGTTTCTCCACCAGCCAGTCGGTCAGTAAACTATTCAATTAGACGGTAAACCAGTCAGTCAGGCAGTCAGTCCCTTATATAGTTAGTCAGTCAGTCAGTCAGTTAGCCATTCAGTTAGTCCATCAGTGAACCAGCCAGTTAGTCAGTAAGTGAATCAGTCAATCAACCATGAATTGTTTAGGTGTTGAAAGAATAATTCGTAAACTCCCACAAAAACACAATTCGTTCATTATTTTCAGATTCATCGTTGGACTTGTGATTGAATTTCAGTGCACGGAATCTTATGTAGTAAGAAACATAGTTTTAATAAGATCAATAAATAATAAAAAAAATATTCATCATCATTATCATCGTCATCATCATCATCATGTAGATATCTGGCATTCGCCAAGGTGCTTGTTGTTATAGTAGTTAATCTATTTTCATTCCTATTTACTGATTTTATTTTCGATGAGCCATTGGCTAGGCACAGTGGTCAAATTCTGCTCATATATAAAAGTTGTAAAGACTATGAGACGTGCTTTTGGGCTGTCAGAACCAAGTGGACTCACAAAACTGAGTCACCAAACACCACGCAGGCTAGTGAGTCGTGGTGTTTTAGAACTGTATGACCTGATTGGTGAAGCTCGAAACAGAATGGTAAATCAACGGAATACCCGTGCTTGAATAAGCTTTGTGTTCAATAAGTCTCGAGTTTTCCTTTTGTTTTATTTATTGGTTTCCTGAATATTCCAACTTTTTTTTGCTTAGTTTGTGAGACAGCGGTTCATATGTTTTCCTCAGGAACTTTACGCGGGAGATTGGCGCGCGAGCGCCCAAATTTGATCCCCTCACGCATGCCCTAAGCTTGACCGTTGAGTTGCGCGCGCTGGTGTGTTTAATCATTCACCTGCTCGCCCTCTCGTCCCTTCCTTTGTTCGTTCGTTTGCTTTGTTCGTTCGTTTGCGTTTTTTCGTTTGTTTATTCCTGAGGCTAGTCGACTAAAGAATTCATTCTCTTAAGCCACCGAGCTCTGCTCTGCATGAACTTGCAAATTGAAGTTTTCATTTTATTCTTTTAGGAAGATATAAAAACCAAGCAATATATTGAATTCCTTGGCAAAGTTCCCACTTACCTCTGTCTACTGTTCATTGCTCTGAGGTTTGCTGTGCTACTTGTTTTGCAAATAAAGCAGTGCCGAGTGCTGTCATCTTGGGTAAGTTCCGTTTGTTAAAAAGACGATGTTACTCGTTTATAGTATGAAAATTTAATTTAAAAAAAAATTAAATGACGAAAAATTCCGCTGATAATCATCCCGCGAGGTAAGGGAATAATCATTATTTTAACCTGGGGGGAGGGGGGTTGGTGGGTGGTTTGCAGGATTTTGGGGAGATGACATGGCTTTTATCACCGGAGGGGAGATCAGTCGGCCAGAATTTATCTTTGGGTAATCTCTCCAAAATTCGTTGCCTATTAGGGAGGATACTAGAATACTATAAAGGCTTAGTTAGGGAATCAGGTAAGTTTTATAGCGATACAACCAGAATCCTCCTATTTTCCGTCAACTCCCCCCCCTCTCCTCCCTTCCCGATAAATGGAGACCGATTCCTAAAAACGCCGTAATTTTCTATCAGTCCAATGGAAATATATTTGAATTATGTGTCAGGTGGTAATCTTGACAGTAAAAACTCAGATTTTCTTTTCCATATATGCTCCCGTTTTGTTTATTATTATCTTTTTGGTGTCTATGTACCAACGATCCCTCTCCACTGCCCCTGAAAACTATGTGATCCCCCAAACATCAGCCATCCCCAATATGGAAAGTTTCCAACGACTCTACTTCTTCCCCAAAACCACAAATTTATGAAAATTTCGCAAAATCCTTTCTAACTTCTGCACTGTACAGCACTATTCAGAAATTTTGGGGGCTGATGAACATCACACCTGTTTGATCGAAGCATCAGGGCGTATTCACGTCAAGCAGCTGCTGACTTTAGGATCGAATACGTAAGTATCTTGTTCTCCTGTTTAGCCCAAAGATGACATGGGGTTGGCGTTCAAAATGTGGCTGCTCGCTTGTGCATGTGCAAATTAGGTGGAGTGCTTTCAGTTTGTGAAGCTCAAGTTGTGTCACATGAGTTAGTAAGTCAGAGTAATTTAAAGGCGTATAACTTTTGTGGTAAAGCTCAAAACAGATTGGCAAATCAACAGGAAACTCGTACTTGAATAAGCTTTGTGTTCGAAAACTCTCGAGTTCTCCTTTTCCCTACTTTTGTTTCCTTTCACAGATTTCTAATAAGATTTCAATTTTCTTTCACTCATATTGTAAGACAAAAGTTGTTTCTCATGCTTTCCTTTGAAATTTTGCGCGGGAAATCAGCGCGCGGCTGGCCAGAATTGATCTCCTCGTGCATGCCCGACGTGCAGACACTGTGTCTCTCTCACCCAGCCCCTCTCCCATGAAATTACTTCCCCAAGAGATGAAGAGAGGAGAAACTGGGAACGATTTTGGGTCGCTCGTAGACTTACGAATTGTCGCGAGTGGAGAACAATCAAAACACCACTGGTGAGGTTCGTGATTTTCCCCAGAATTCATCCGGTAAATTCCAGAAGGTTAACTGGAACTGTTTGGTAATTCGATTCGAAAATAGTCTATCACTGGTGCGAAATAGGCATTAGTCAGTAAGCGACCGTTCATTACTCATCGCAGGAAAGGAAGGGGAAAAGGGGGTCTCTCATTAGGCTCTGTGATATTGTTTTGATCCCCCTTACTGGCAGTTATAGAGCAGTTAAGTTTTTATAGTATCCCTTTTATACCTTACTAACAACGACAAATTCCCCTCATTCCCCCCAAAGCCATGCGACTCCCTCCCCTCTACTACCACCTCAAAAAAATCTTTTGACCCACCCCCTTCCCCAGTGATGAATAATGCCCGGCCCCTCAGTGGAAAACAATTGTTATCCTATAAAGCTAAAGTAGAAATTGACATTGGAATAATTAAGTTCCAGAACCATGGCTGACGAGAAATGGTACAAGAGGCTGATCTGTAAAATCTACAGACCGAGAGGAGGTTGGTTCCATCAATTTGATTGCTTCTAATAGACAATAAAATTCTTTTGGTTGGAATTTAATATTGAGATTGTTACATTGCTTAACCCTGTAACTCCCATGAATGACAAAGAAATAATTTCTTCTCACAATATCAAGTACACAAGTGATGAGAATGAAGAAGAATATCATTTAGAGGAATATCAGTTGATCCAATACAAAATTCTCTGAACTGACATCGTAATAATTGTATGAAAAACAGTAGAGAGAATTGCTAATGAGATCTTGGGAGCAGAAGGCTCAATGACAAGAGGGAAGGTCAAGGGGGTAAGTTTCTAAAGAAACAGCGGTGCTGCGTTGGTGGGAGAGTATAACAGGGTAATTTAGTATTATCATCTGAGTTGATAACGTAAATTGGCCTCCGTAAAGATTCCTAAAGCTGACAGTTGGAGCGTTAGCCCTTCGTTAATCGCTCTGACGAAGGGCTAACGCTCGAAACGTCAGCTTTGAAACTCCTTACGGCGGCAAATTTACGTGTTCAACTCAGTTGATAATACTAAATTCCCTAGTCAAGAATTACCTCGGTGACGAATAACCGATGAAAATTGACCTGCCGGTTTCTTTATCGATTCTACGCTCCTTGCTGGACAGTTTACCCTTTAACTCCCACGATCTGATTGCCAACTCTCTCCTCTAGCTGTTACACATTTCCTTGTAAATCAGTTACGTGAATTTGGTGTTAGGTCAAGCGAGATACAACTTCTACTCAAAACGTTTGAGTGTACTGCTTACCTGTTTTCCTTTTTACCTTTTACTTTATTGGAAGTTGAAGGGTTAACACTCGTGTTCTTTTTCAGTTTCACGAATTGGAGGTGCATTTGTTAACGGTGCATGCCACTCAAAACTAATTCGGTGTTTTATTTAGTTCTTTTCAGGTACTTTCCTGATATTTTCTTAGTTCAGTTTAGTTTTGTCTATATTCTAAATTTTTGATTAATAGTGTTTGACAAAAATATGAAACTGATACATACATTTTATTTCAGATTTTAAATTCTCAACGCAGTTAATTTCCACCTTAGTGGTTGCAGGAATAATTGTGTTTCAGGTCAGTTTGATTTTTCCGTGTCATGTAACTGCAATGACTTCGGTTGCGGCCACTGTTCACAAGCTATCTGGATAAATTTTCTACCGAAAACGGAGCTATTAAAAAACCTTCTTCACATTAAAACACAGCCTTAAACTAAGATTGGAGCAGCTTTTCTCGCAAATTCGCATAAATTTTCGTTGCATTATTACGTAAAAAATATCGTATTTTTCACGTGTGTTGTAACAGCTTTTATCACATAAACTGCGGTGTTACACAAGGATTTCCGGCCCGGAGAAAAGCCGTAACAACACACGTGAAAAAATATCGTTTTTTTATGTGTGTTGATATAGTCAATCAGCTGCTCACACGTTACTCGCCTTTGGCATCACACGGCCGAGTTGATGAATGAACGGCCTTCACGATTCTCAATACAAGTTGTTTGTCGGAGCTATCTCGAATTATGGCGGCTTAAACACTAAACAATCCGTATCGCTAACAGACAATGAGGTTCAAACTTTCCTAGAAGAGGAAGAAAACCAATATACTAAAAGAAAAGCCGAAAGTTGCGTATTCAGTGGCTTTGGTGGTAGCATTTCTCTCGGCTGAGAATAAAAATCGACTACCAGATGATTTGCTACTGGCCGATTTTGGCCATTTACCTGAAAGACTTCTTCTGTCGGTAAGGACAAAGTCAATAAATGAGAATTTTGTAAATCAAAAATTACGGCCATTGTTGTTTTTGTAATCATGATTCAACGCATTTTTCCATCTTAAGAGTCAGCGCCAACGCACTCTATGATTTTTATTCGAGGATTGTCGATTCATTTATTTTCATTCATTAATGAAGTCGGCTTTTCTTCCCCACTGAAGGGCTATTGTGTTTATATGATAAACAAAATAATACAGGGTTGCTTGTAGATATGGAATTTCTCTTCTCGTGTTCAACTCGACATCTCACGAGTGAGCGCAGCAGTTAAACACTCGAAGAGAAATTCCATATCTACGCACGCCCATGTATTATTCTCTATTTCTCAGGGCTGGAAGTCCTTGTATAACACCGTAGTTTTTATGATAAACGCCAAATAATTAAAAAAAATACTATTTCTTCTTATATTTTTTTTCAGGTTATGTTGCATTATCTCTCGTTGTTTGATTACTACGAAAAAGAAGTTGTCTCGTCTTGTGTTCACGACCCCATTTGTCGGGGATTTGTTCTTCTCTTATTTCGTAAGTTTAAGGCATTTTTTGGAATTTATTGGGGAAAATAAACTAACTGTGTTGTATAGGAACTATAACCTTGTAAGTAATGTGTTCTGTTACTCCCCCAGTTTTATTCCGTCAGTCCCCACTCCGCCATTCCATCCACTTGCCAGTCTGGTATTTTCTTCAGATAGCCAATCTTTTATTAAAATTAAAATTACTTTAGTTACTGACGTGAGTCAAAAGAAAAAAAAAACAAGCTTAAAATGTTGCCAGCAAGGACATGGATGAATACACAAAAATCTCGCTTTCTCGAAAAATGGTGTCACTCGCCACCTGAGTTATGTTGTAATATTCAAGACCCGCAATTGTGTGCAATTCTGTCGATCTTGATATGCTTTACAAGTCTCGAACCCAGATCTAACCGTGTGACTGTAACTGCAATTGACCGTGGAAGGTCTGGGTGATGAATATGAAAGCGATCTTCTTAGTAATGAACACCATTTAAGCAGTAGTGGGCATAAGGCCTGAAAAAAATTCAGGTCTGTTTAGGATTTGAACCCATGACCTTTGCGTTACTGGCGTAGTGCTCTAACAACTGAACTAACAAGCCAACTGGGTTTATTACAACCCAGCATAGTGCGAGACCAGCTCCCAGTTTTCATCAATCACTGCAAAGATCGCGTAAATATTCATTTCTGAAACCGCAGTTCACATATATGATATTTGTACCTTCAAAGTCAAACGAGACTAATGTTGTACTTTACTGTGACTTGAAACAGATGCTTTGGAGGGAGGAGTTATTACAGCAGCTACCGTTTCTATTTTGTTGATGCTGCATTTTATGAAATGCCACAGGTAGGTTAAATAAGATTCGATGTCCTCACGATCATTGTGTTTTTGTCTTCTTGGGAGATAAGAAGAACAGTATGGAAAATATGCATACTGATGATGATGATGATGATGATGATGATGATGATGAAAGGGTTAAGTCTTCTACATGTAAATTAACAATTGGTTCATACGTCAGCATGCGTTCCTCGAGATATGAAGCACGCGGGAAGTTTGGAGAGCACGAAAGATGCGTAAGAGCTTCTTGAGTGTTCTCCAAACTTCCCAAGTGCTTCATATCTCGATGAACGCACAGCTGATGCATGGACCAATTGTTTTATAACAGTTTCAACCCGATGGAAAATTTTTTTTCGCGATGGATTTGTTTGCTGACGTCATGAGCGTGCACAATAGGAATATGAAGCACGCTCGTGCAATTGAATTTGATGAGGCAAATTTACGAGATATGTCATAATTTACTTTGAAGGAGGAGAAAGGACTGATAATTCGCTAAGCTCAAGCATCTTGCCAAATATCCCACTCTTTTAAACCTTTCAGATCTCATTATTTCACCAATCTTACCTGCTCAGTACTCCATTTGAATGATAGCTTACAAATATGTTATTTTTGATTCAAGAGACAATGTGTTACAGATGTATCGAGGCCAAAGAACTTTTTTCCAAGACGTGACTGTCTCTCCTGCGAATTTAGTGGTGGGTTACTATGCCTTCTGCTTCCAGTGTTGCGTTACTTTGTGCTATAGTTCGCGTTACATAGTTTGTGTTGCATAAGTTTATACGTCGCCAGGTTTTGACTGACAGTCTTGTATGTTGCTAAGGGCCACGTGCGCCTGGATTGGATAAGACTTTGAGGGTTAGATATGATACAAATATAAAATACAGTCTTTCGGGTGAAGACAAGTGTAATTTACGAACTAGCAAGTGTGTTATGATTGCATGTGCGACAGTTACTAATGCTCAAAACCCTGACATCTCACGACTTTGACTTCTTTGCAGCCAGATCTCGTTCGCGTTCGAACTTATCAAGTCAGTAAGACATCGGGCAATTTTGGTTATTGATCATGCTTAACATGTTTTATTGGAATTATGAGACCCTTTCCTCCAACAACGGACCCTTGGAAACGAGTTTACATCAAATGTTGAGTGACAACACGTGTCACTCACAACACGTGACTGCAGCAAGACATAAAATGACAAAACCCGACGTCACTTACTCACGTGTACTAGTTCGATTAAAACCAAGAACTTTCCATGTTAACAAAAGTGGTTTATTTTTTACTGAAAACTTTATGTTGGTCACTGTTGTTTCAGGGACAAAGTTTGTTATTTTCTGGATACCAGATTGCGTTTGTTCTAACAGGTATGTAACAGGCATTTCTGAAAATTTACAATGTAAAATATTTTTTCTACAAGGTGTCAAATCGTAATGGTACTGTGATTAACAAATATTTTTACCTGGGGTATGTTGGGCTATTTTTTAAGCTTTTCAACTAATGACATTTATTATTATTTTTAGGATACACTGTATTGAGTTTTTTCCTGGCCATCATAGTTGTCAGCCTCACTGCCATTTTCAAGTACATCGATTTTTAGTTTCACCGGAAATGTTAGAGGTGTACAAAAATATTGGACAGGCCTTTGCGTAAGTTTCATGCTGCTAGATTCACTGTTAAACATGAACTTTACCAATTTGTTTCCTTCATTACCTTAATCAGTTTGAAATAAACATTCCGTCAACAATGGGAAAGGAGAAGGATACTCCTTGCCCAACTGCGCAAAGTAGAGTACAAAAGACGGGCAGACAGAGGACAATTATCCTGTCGTACTGTACAGTTGGTTTTTTTGTATTGTAGTGGATACCTGTTTAACTGGTCGACTGCGCGCGACTGTGCTTCTTTGCTTTCCCCGTCGTACGCGAAATGAGCAGAAATACTTGACAGAAAAAAAACAAACAGTTAGATAATAAATAACTTATCCGACATTTTGGTGTGGTATTGTTTAGTAATTTACTCTCTGTTTACATTAAGGCATAACTCGTTCACTTACTCAGCGAGAATACACACCAAAACGTCTTACAGGATATATTTATACCTCATATTGATCGAGTTCGAGGTCCATACTGTAATAAACGGACCGAGTACTCTGCTTAGATTTATGGCCCTGGTGCGAAGCGCGCGGGAGGGGGGGTCAATCTCGGTCAATTTTTTACAGTGCTTACCTCAAACACGACTAATCAGAGGTGGTGTCCTTCCCCTCCTCCCCTCAGTGTACGCCTTCCACCCCTAGCACTTCCAAGGGATAATGGATTTTTTTTATGAATGCCATTTCAGGCCACCAGTTTGCTTGGCAATTTGCTTGTGGCTGTACCAGTTATTCCTCACCTACTACGTATTTCGAGACAGAGACTTTCCGAATATCACAATCACTGTTGATAACAGGCAAGTTCATACGAAATAAGTAAGTATTTCATGTGCCATTTTTTTCCTTTTTTCTTCTTCTCCATTTTCTTACTGAGATGATTTTTCCACAGACGGTTTTACTCCATTATGTCCTACTTCTTCTTCTTCTACAATATACTCCTTGGACTGTTCTCCTGCATCATGCGAATTCTAAAAGGCATGATTTTAGGAGTGATCTTCATCTCTCGAATCGACCGAACCTCACTTATGCAGGGATTCCAGACTTGGGACAAAGGTATGGAAGCAAAGGGGGAGGGGTGGGGATAAGTTGTAAACGTTAGAAATCGGTCGTGATGAATCACGATCAATTTACTTGGAGGTGAGCCAGGAAAATTGGTTCGAATTCAGCAAGTGGAGGCTTAAATGTAAACTCTTTAAGAGATATAATTATCATCAAACGACGAACTCGTCTAGTATAATATAAAAGACAAGAAAAACATGCACGAACAAACAAAAACAAAACAAAATGAGGCATTTTTCTTCCTGTTCTTTTGCGTGTGCGTGTGTATGTTTTTAGTTTGCTTGCTATTTCATTGGCTCAGGGTCTTCATGATATCATCTTTTTTTAACGCTATTTTCCAGCCTTCGTGGCATATCTGGGATTCATCCACATACTGGTGGCTCACAACCACCCTGTTATGCTGATGTTTTGCCAGCTGCTCATCAACAGCAACAAGGATCGTCAATATGGCACAGTGGGGAGGGAGGGTAAGGAAGATACTAACAGTATTAGAGGAGTAAAGGGTTTGGACTCAGGGTTTTTTAAACATTTAGTCTTCGACTCCATCTAAAACAAAATGATTATGATGAGAACGGTATTGATAACGATAACGTTGTGGAAGGATTAGATTAACGATAAAAGTTGTGATAATAATAGAGATTATGATGATGATAATTATAGTGATAACGATGATGATGATAATTATAGTGATAACGATAATGATGACGATGATGTTGATTATTATTACCATTATAAAATGATAATCGAGCTGTTTGTTGAGCACTGAAGAAACTGAAGTAAAATAATTATTCAATATCTTAACTTTTCAAATTTATTTCCAATGAAAACACAAAAAAGCTTTAATGCCTGTAAATATAAGGAAATGAATATGGAAGCGATCTTCGAAGTAATGAACAAAGAAATTCAGGCCTGACAGGATTTGAACCCATGACCTCTGCAAAGCCTGTACAGCGCTCTACCAACTGAACAACTGAATCGGATATGCAGTGAAGCGCAACCAATCAGGGGACGTAGGGCATTTTAACAGCCTCTTCGGGCAGGCGTCTTTTCTCCCCTCCCCCGCCCCCTACCCCCACTGTCCACTCTAACTGCAAATCAAAAATGGCCGGTCGAACAAACGATCGCGAGCTTTTAGCATCAGCTCGCACTAACAAGACGCCTGCACTTCAGGCTATCGAAGTAATGAACAAAAAAATTCAGGCCTGTACAGGATTTGAACCCATGACCTCTGCAATGCCTGTACAGCGCTCTACCAACTGAACTAACAAGTCAACTGGGGGCTGGTAATTATATTGGTTCCAAATAAACCCGTCTATAAGTAGTGTTCAGTACTGCGAAGATCGCTTCCATAATTTATTTATCCGCAGTTCATGTACATGATTTTCATTTATATTTACGGTCATTTAATCACCATCCTTATCAGTTCGAGCAAGTAATTTTCGTTATGGCGGATATATAGAAATTGTATACTTTCGGGAGTTTTTCGTCCATCGATGGATCATCTTTGTTCACTCTAGAGTTACCAGGCCTATGTGTACAAAATTCGCATTCAGAGGATCAGAGTTCTGCTGGTGAGTTTCGTCGCTTTGATCTTGTCCCTTTTTGGGAAGAAAAAACATTGGCGATTAGTTGTGCCACCAGTGTAACATATAATGACAAACTGTCATTTCTTTGTTTTTGCTTCTGTATTTGTTTGTAAGTTTGTTGGTTGTTTGCCTTTTCTAAAAATACAGAACATTATGTCTAGCTTGGGCAACTTGCTTTGAGATTTGAGGAGGAAGTTTGTTTCATTCGTCCTTTTTTCGGATTCATTCTAGTACACGTGAGTAAGTGACGTCGGGTTTTGTCATTTGTATGTCTTGCTGCAGTCACGTGCACGTCTGTTGCCACTCAACATTTGATGTAAAACACCTTCATAGCATATTCAACACATTCTTAAAAGATGAAATTGTTTAAGAAGTTTGAAGGACCATCCACCTAGTCTCCTTCGTGGCCGTTTTTTGTCACGTTCCGCAGCGCGATCTATTGGAGGGGAGAGAGGGCGTTGCGTTACGATATCAAACAACAGCTGCGACCTACATTAGATTGCAACCTAGACTAGTTGGCTTGACTGAGTACTCCATACCAACCGTAATCTCATTGTCGCTTTGGCTTTGTTTTGTTTACTTTTTATTTAATTTTTGTCTGTTTGTTTATTGATTTTTCTTGTTTTGTTAAAGGTCATCCTGAGGCCCGTGTATTCCGGCCACCACACATGTCTCACCAGGCGATCAACCGCTGGTTCCTTGCTTTCACGCTTCTTCGAAATCCCTCTCTCGTCAAGTATCGCCGGCGGTGTGCCAGAGAAGCCAAAAAATGTAGCGTCTCTATTGAAGATGCAAACTATGGATCCGTCACACCGATTTGATCTAGGTAATTTCTTTTTCCAAATCGATTCACCCAATAATAAAAATAGAACTTCCAGCTGAAGTAACAATTCGAAGGGTAATTGGTCTCGCTCGTCGCAATCTTCTATTCAAAACTTTCAACTCTGTTGTAGTCTTGTATGAGAGGATCAGATCTGTGTATAGTGTCTTATATAGGTAGCAGTTTATAACTGCGTGAAAATGCACCTGGCTATTATTGCCGTATTACAATTCTTAATTCTTTTTTTGTCCCTCGCCAGAAAAAGGTGAACCCTCTCGTCCCTTGTCTGATTAACCCTTTAACTCCTGTGAGTGACCAAAACAGAATTTCTCCTTACAATATTCACACATAATTAAGCAGAAAAGTGGGGAGAATAAAGAAGAAAACTCAATTAGGGGACTACAAGTTGATCCAACACCAAATTCATGAGTATTTTATGCCAGACAGTAGGGAGAATTACTAATGAGATCTTAGAAGTTTAAGGGTTAAACCCCCTTCCCACTTGTACTCCTGATCAAGGTTCTAAGGTGATTGATCGATATTTTTACGATGTTCTTTTTAACTGGCTGTAAAAGGACTCTCAGTTCAGCCAAAGAACTCCTAGCTGTGGCAAGTTGTATGAATGATTAAATTACAGGAGTCCTGTGAGTTGTCTGAAGTTGTTAAACTGAATAAAGTTTAAGTCGTTATCTCTAGTACTGAATATTTCGTACTCTTCTTTGTCTCCAATCGTTCCTGTTCGTTATTTTTTTTCTGGAGTACTCTGAAATTCGTAGCTCTTAAATCCCCTTCCAAATTCAGTCAGCTTGAACCCTCGACCTCCCGCAAGGCAGTTCAGCGCCCTACAACCTAAACAGGCGGCAGTTTAACGACACACCACACCAGCAAAAAAAAAAAGGAAGTTTATGTTATTGTGCTACACTCTTGATTAATGAAAATGAAAACTAAAAAATGTTGTGTGACGCCAAGTCCCAACTTGGCGTTATGATAGTGAAACAGCATAGCCACAAAATAGAATCATGTATCACGAAATAAACAAATAATACAGGATTTTCAGTTTCGAGTTCGATGAGCTCATATTCAGCTTCTTCAATACTGCTGGCGTTACGAAGTGCATCGTTTTGTTACACACTTGTGGGGCAAATCACATTTTCACAGGAGTTAAGGTGAGGACAGAATTAGTCAATAAGGATCCATTGCAGGGAATGAGATAGGCGAGTATTGACTAAATTACATAAAAAAATAATTTGAAATATAAGAGTAAAGAATGAAAGAAATATCGATCGTATTTACTCGTGTCGAGCGTGGGAGAAAGAATAATATCGACTTCACTCGAGGCTTCAAATCTTTGACCTTCGGATTTCACGATCTGAAAGTTTGACCTTAGAACCTTGCAGCTCTCGTTAATGCGCCAAAACACGCACTGTTTATATATGACAATCGTCCTGCATATTGCTAAGATCTAAAATGTAGTTGTGTCATGTCTGAAAATAGATAAAGAAAGTGACTTTTGAGCTCTATTGTCGAATGAAAAAATATTCATAAATCTTTATCTGCTGGTCTAGACATTGAATCCTCAAAAATTTCTCTATTACACACTCGTGAAAATAATTAGAATCGTTCTTTATCCGACGACCGAGGAAAAAAAATCATACTCTCCTTTTTTTATTTAAAATACAAAATTATTTCTCAATACTGACATACAGATTGTCATCATGAAAAGACCTTTAGGTAGCTTATTTACATATCCATGAGAATCTATGAAACTACAACATTACCAAGAGAATATCAACTGCTATTCTATTGATATTACTGATTCCAACATCATGTGTGCCGCTTGTCTTATGTGCACCTTAGTAAATAGCCTCAGTTAATGAATCCGAACGCGGCAGAAAATGCTGGGCTCAAAGAGAGAGCTACAAACTCACATTTCTCTTTCACGGTCCCAGCTTACAGAAAACTGATTAAACAACACTTTATTCAAAAAATTCCTGTAAGATTCACTGAGGTTTTCTCCACACAGAGATGCATGGAATTTCCACATATAAAATATTTATATAACTTCAGCGGATATTTCTTTAAGAAGAGTTCATATGGTATTCTGAGTTTAATGTAATCAACGTCGTTCTTCGTTAGATACGACGAGAAGTCAAGTATCCTTTCTGGAAAAGAGCTTTATTGGAATTTAATTGCGGCATTCTTAAGGTGAGGAAAGATAGTGAAGTAATAAGTGGCATATTATAATCGAAAGGGTAAAATTATGAAAAATAAGTATACAAGACTACTGTATTATTCATGGAACCTCTTTAAATTTATATCTGCCTCCAGTTATGAACAATGATGTGCCACTTTTTCTCATAAAGTAGATTTCAATGCAATTTTCAACAAAACCAAAATTTAATCGTTCAGAACAGGAAAATTTATCTCATAAAGGAAAAAATCTTAGTTTAACACAAAATTCTCTTTTCATGTGAGAGGCACTCAGTGAATGAATCAGGAAGATGGGTGTCCTTTAATCTTCTTTGGGACTCAACAGCGAGTGAACAAATCTATCTTGCAAATTAGTATCCTTTTCTTGTAAGGAAGAAACACATTTCATTTCTCTAAAAGTAATCGTATTGGGATGAGATATATAGCATCATCATATTTGACTGGGTGTTTTTTTTTTCACTTTTGACTGCAAATATGTCAAGTGCAGAATTGGCGGGAAGAAGAAATAAGTTCCTCGTTATTATTTTTTAGCAACTTTATGGAGTTGTCACGACAAAAGCGGAAGATGAAATATTGAGAAAATCGTAACGCTTTTTTCATGGAAAGATGATAAAAAACCATTTGTCTTATAAACTGCATTGATTTATATCGCCAATCAGCTGCTGACTTGTCACTCGCCCTCCACGCCACTTTGTAAGGTGGATGAAGGAATATCAAATTCTCATTTTTTAGTATGGTCCACTTTTCTTGTCAGTAAAGGACTGTAGTGTTTGTCTAATAAACAAAATAATTCATGTTTGCTTGTAAATATGGAGTTACTCTTCTCGTAATCACCTCGATATCTCACGAGTGAGCACGTCAAACGAGTAAGATATCGAGGTGATCACTTGAAGAGGAATTGTATTGTTACGATATTTAACTCACGGTTTGAAATTATTCTTTTTGATCCAGTTATGGCAGAGAGTGTCCTGCTCTGAGGAGAAAATGGAATTGCGGGTGTTTTCCACTGAAAGGGGAATAACTGAATTTGAATCGCAGAATGAAATAATCGTCACGCAGAAACATTTAAACAAACAGTAATAAAAAAATAAACAAACGATAACTTACTTGAGGTAGAAAAGGAAGTTTTGATCACGATTCTGGGAATTAAACGAGACTAGTAAATGTTTTAAACTAGTGAATATAAAATATTTCATGTTTTCATCGATATTGTTGTGAAGCAAATAATGTTCTTAATATTTTCAGGCATGTAGAAATAACAAAGAGCATCGTTTGGAGAATAGAGAGATTCAGAGGAAGACAGTGTAACAGGTACGAATCAATTTTTAAATTCCATATTATGACAGTTGTTTAGAGCTCATGTTTTTTTAAAATGGAAGCGCGTAATCTTATGTTCCTTGCGCCTGACAACAATTAGGTTTCATTTCAATCGAATTTTCTTGATTTGCCGCTGTCATATGAAATATTTCACTTACATCACGCTAAAAAAATTCATTGGTTTTTCTCATATGATTAATGGTAATAGGACCGAGTGGAGTCTAATTCGGTCTGTAATCTTAAGAGTGATTAACAAAATCGGACGACCGCGAAGCGGGAGTTTGATTTGTCAATCCGAAGGATGATTTTGGGGGCTAAAAGGTTATTAGGCGGCAGCCGCACGTGATGAGAGCGTGACAGAGCTGGATGACAGCGTGACAGAGCTGGATGACCTGTTTTATTTATAACTCTCGTCAACATCAAAACCAGCCAATATTTCTCGAAAACGAAACGAGGCGTGAGGTTAAAAAAAAATACAAATACAAAATGCATTTCCATAAAAAAGTTTTTTCCCTATGTCTTAAGATCGCGGTTACAGTTTTGATGTCGCAAAATTCACGATGTATTGTAATTGTAGCAGTATTGTAGATGCCCATGGAATAGAAAACATGACATCTTCACCGCACGCAGTAACGCACCATTGATGTCTTCACATGTTAAAATATCAATGTTGTCATAATAATCGGATTTATCAACATTACAGTTATACTTTCCGGGAAGGCTTTTATCTGCGAATGTGTCTAAGGTTTAATTCAACTTTAAAATTTAATAATTATAACAATGATAAAAATATAAAAAAATTATTTTAAAAAAAGGGGAACATTTCTTCTGATGAGATTTTGCGAAATTTTCATGTCTAAATTTGAAGTAGCTTTTTGGCAAGCTGCGTTTCGATGCGCCAGATCGCCTTTCGGTGCTCTCAAAATGTTTCAAAATGATCTGTGATTCACATTTGTTGTCGATATCTATATTAAAAGTAGGATAATACATGTTCACCGCTAGATAAAAATTTATCCATGATCTTGAGTTTGAAATATTTGATCGAAAGAGAGAGCGATATTACAACAATCGATGGTAAATTTCGTATCCTTGCGCGGGTGTGTAATGTATGTACATCACTGACTAAGTATGAGCTAGAGAAGGCCAAGCTTCTTCTCTGCTGTATTCTTAAAGACCTTGAAGAAGGCTTCGTAAATAAAGAAATTGTCGCATGGAAAAAAAATACCACTCGCAACTCACGAAGCTCCTCGAGCTTTACTTTGTTTTGACTGAAGACGTATCTTTTACACAATTGTAGCCAAAACCTCCAGGTAAACCTGACTGTTCAGTCATGTGACAAAACGAGATTGTCTAGTTATGGCATTATACGAGTTATTTAACCGGCTACAATCCTCTTTTTTCCCCTTTTTTGCGGGATAAAAGGGAATTAAAAAGCAGTTCATTTTGCACTCTTGGGTAGCCGATCACTGCATA